CCTGCAAACAGAACAGCTTTGTGACCTCACGCTAGCTGCGTGCAAATTGCAAAAAATAACATGACCGCAGGCAAGCGTCGATGTCAACGGCTCCCTTTTTTTGTCAGTCTACTCTGGCTTGCTGGTTAGTTAAGTACAACCCAGAGTTGCGCGCCCTGTATGCTGAAGTTGGGCATCTATATTGACACAACATGCCAATTTCTCCCACTGCGGCAGGTGGCGGGCTTGTGGCTTTGCGGCTGTCACGGATCTGCAGAGCAGAGCCATCATCATCGTCACATCAACTGACAAAATAATTAATTTTATTCGAGTTTTTTGAGTTAGATGTTGATATAGTGACGATGACGACGTTGATGATTGTGAGACCGACCGATGCTCTTCCTTTCGGCTTGTCTGTCCCTGTGTGAATGTATGCTTTGAATTGACACGCACAGCATACGCAATTAAATGCGCCTTACGCAATGGTGGACAAAAAAAAAGGAAGAAGTGAAACACTCTGGATAAACGGGGCGTATGCGTAACACGCCCACTTGGAAGTCGCAATTTCAGCTTGGTTGTAATTAGTTTTCACCAAGAGGTCTTTTTTCATTGCCTCGCCACTTCTCCGTCGGTATTTCTTTTTTCTTTTCGTCTCTTTGGTTTCTTTTGGCAAGAAAAGTATTTTATTGAATTTTCTTTTCATTTGTTTGTTGATTTTTGGGATTTGGCGCATTTTGTATGCACAGCAGCTGCTAGACCGTTGTTTGCCAGACATTGAGCAAAATCCTAGGGTAGCTGGCAAACTGCCTTTTTGTTGTTTTTTGTAGTAGTTGTTGTTCCTGTTGTTGTAGGACTTGGGTGCCTGTTTTTCCAATAAATTACTTTGTAATCAAGTGAATTCGAGTGCAAAAGCTCTTGGGATGGCAAGAAGGTGTAGGAAATGTTGCAATCGCTTTTGATATGACAGTAATTTGTGGAACATTCGAATTTTTAATAAAATCTTGCGAACTCTTTGTGGAATGGATGATATCCTGATATATGTAAAATGCCAGATTTTCTTGCCAGCGTCATTATACTCGTAGTTTACCTTTTTTCCCCGGCAAAGTTTACAATGGCTTTCCAATAAATTTGTATTTTATTTTAAACATACAAATTTGGAAAGCAGAAGCTGTTGGGATCTCAAGAATCAAAGCAATTCTTATATTTAATCAAACCCAGTTAAATATATATTTTTCCGTACATCGAAATATTATCTATCCAGAACCATTAAAATGCCCTATACAAATATATTGTATAAGACGTTGAACAATACTAAGAAAATAACAATAATAACAACAGCGCATAGACTTTACAGAGTGCTTCCAGTTGGGGCAAGCATGGGAAGACGGAGGCAGTTATGTTTTTATAATGGATTTGCTACTTAGCTTTGACAAAGGGGCAAGTAAGGAATTGCGAAAACAGGCGGGCAAGCTTATTGAATGCCATTAAAAGGCGCACAGCACTCTTTCACACAAACATACACCAAACCACGTACACGCATGCACAACAATTCAATTGCGAAGAGTGTATAATAAAAAGCAAACTGTCAACGGCAGATAAAATTTGAAATTGGCCTGCACTCGGCCAGGGACAATAAGAATCTCAATGTGCATGTAATTACCCCAAATAAAAAGGCACAAGGATATGCTAAATTGTGGTTATGCAAAGAGTTGCGCCCGCCTGCAGCGACAACCGAACACAATTTCGCTCGTCTTAATGAAATAAAATAAATGCTGCGAACAGCGACTCGATGAGAATCCGCTGTCACAGCAGCATCCACATAACTGGCAGCAGAAGCAGGAGCGCCGACAGTAGCAGTAGCAGCAGCCGCAGGTTGCCCAATGACGACGACCCAGCTCCGACCCAGCACTGTGTGCAGCACAAGGACAAAGACAGTTGACATTATGGCATTGTTGTATCAGCTAGATGTGAGAGCGTGAGAGGACGTGTCACGCTTACTCACGCTCACTATGTATTTCATTTCGAATATCGAACCACCCTATATGATCGATCTAGTGCTATATATGCTGGTTATTTTTCTTACCGCTATAGATCCATTCAGTGATATTTAAAAAAGATTTAAATAATAACAAGTCTGCCCCAAAACATTTTTACAAACAGTTAATGTCAACGCTTCTGTTTACTTTTCACCTTGGCAATGAAATGTAATACAAGTATTTTTAAATTCAATTTTATTAACAGCATTCATCCTTAATTAACATAATTTATTTTCTTACCAGAATTCATAAGTTTCACGAGCCCTTCTCTACGGTCATTTTCTTCCCCTACCACTGTGTGCTGTTCATATTATATTACATTTTATAAATTACATTTTATGCGAAAGTTAATGCAGAAACACAAAGGAGAAAAAGTCACGTTGATTTTCTCTTTAGTTCGTCAGTCAGTTGCAGAAAATGCCATGAATTGCTTTTATATAATGCTGTTGTTGTTTCTGCTGCTGTCGCTCTTGTTGCGCACGTTAGTGGTCGCCTGCAGTTAGTCCTTGGTGAGTTTGACTTCAATTGGCGAAACGGAAATGCATTAAGAAATTCAACTTTGACTGCCAGGTGCATTTGCTCAATAAGCTAACGCATAAATATGGGACTAATGGCGAATGCGCGACTAATAGGCACTTGGAGAATCAAATGCCTTTTTTTTACGACCATATATATATGAAAACACACATAATCGTATACATAAGTATGTACATACATGTACGAGTATATGTAGCAACAAATTGTGGCCTGAGCAATACTAATGCGCTGTCTAGCCATAAAAACAACAAGGACTAAAATGGGATGTGGATTTGTGTTTCTATTATTTTCTATCACAAAGAATTGGCCAATTAAAAGCAGTCAGCTAGCAAAACATTTAATAGGTATTGCGTAAAACAGAATGACAGTATACATTGTATACATACCTATATGCACCACACTCGTAAATTGAACTCAACTCTTTTTTATGACGCATAATCCGCTTTCACAGCAATTGATATCGCTCGCACAAATCGCCACAAAATGAATACTAATACCCCAGCAACACGACACAATTTATTGGACGAATATTGTAGGCGGCCTGTTACGATAACACCTTTATATCATTATTAATTTTTTATTTGATGTTGCTCTTGATATCAGCAAGAGCTGATGAAAAAATATATTTCAAGCGTGCGTGCAAAAAAGTAAAGCTCTTTCTGCTTCTCATTAAACTTAAACTACTCAGTAAATAGCTTTTCAAAGAATGTCTGTCTCTATATTAGAATATATTAGTCTTTCAATATACTTATCGTTTTTGAAAATACTAATTTGCAAAAGATAGGTCTGATATATTAATAGGACCTGATATATTAATATGTGTAGGCTGTCGTGCTTATCAGAAGTTATCAAATCGTATGTTTGATTTTGTATTAAATTAGTACCACAACTGTGTGGTTCACACGCAGAGCGCTTATCTTCATTTACCCATGTATCCATTCCCACTCTTCCCCTCACACATGTTTACATTGCGGTATTAACAATTTATTAAACAATTTTATGGTGTTATCATTTGTGCTGAATTACGTATACGCCACATGTTCATCTATGTGGTTGGCCATCGAAACCGATTTTCACAGTTCACAGTAATGTAATTTCCGCAACGCATATCTGTACGCGCTTTTCAACTTCAGCACAGATTGATTGAAAGTCCCGTATTGTTCAATAATTTTATTCATTTCGCAGTTTGCACAAACGCCTGTTAATTTCCGTTGCAACATCAATTGTATGCGTATGATTGAGTCTGTATGATAATCTGCTGATAATGACTATATAATTGTGTAAACCACAATTTTATTGTTGCATACTTAACGGCGCCGACTGATAGCCACCCAAGCGAACATTATGGCATCAAACACATGTACTTTTTATGACCCAATTATTGTTGCAAGGCCTACATACTCGTACATACAAATACTAATATTGAATCCAATTCAACAATCTCATAAAACAGAGCTTCGTATATATTTAGTAGGTTGTGTTTTACAATCGGTTGTTATTAGATATATTATTGGTTTTTTTTAAAATAATTTTTTTAAGCAAAATCAACCCACCGTACGAGTTATTTGTATTTATAGTTTCCTACCTGCTTCAAATCATAATATTTCTAAGGGCCTTCTATGCTCATATTGGTGAATTAAAGATGAGGGTCAGGTCACCTATAACCGCACAAGCTCTTCTGATATTGCCAAGACCTGACATCAAAGTGAAGGAGAGGAAAAGATTGCAAAGGAGATCAGTAATATACATTTTTCAAAAACGTCAAATTATTTAATCAATTAATAATTGATTTCAGCATATTCGTATGGAAGTCGCTTAAAAATAAGATGAAACCCTATTACAGGTTGTAAGTACATGCCCATAAATTCTACTTATTTCGCAAGGGATGTCCCGATTACGACGTCTAGCGAAATTGGCTTCAATTATGTGCAGCATTATGAAATTACGAAAGTAGCTACTTTTGCTGGCAAAATGTAATTACTGCAATTGTCGTCCCCGCACAATGGGCCACATTACAGTCAGCAATGAACATTGGATGGGAGGCGAGGTGGGATAGAGGGCTTCTGACTGCGCTAATAACGTTTATTAAAGCCACACAACAACACGCATGCTACTCCCGCCGCCCAAAGCTCGCCAACAAATGCAGTCATTATAATGATCCACTACATGCAATCACACAAACATAAATGGCATACATACATATGTATGTATATATGCATATGTATACTTACATGCACATACATTTGTGTGCAAGGCTGGCGAATTACACAAATCCTTGTGAAGCACATTAATGCGCACAATGACAATTAATCGCTGTAAATTAAAATGATGACAACGTTCCACATTTTTCGCATATTATGGATTATGCTGATGAAGAATTGAAATCTACAGCATACGTTTTAAATATAACATAATTAAATAATGCATTTGTATGACAATAATATATAACTATAACGAACGCACAGGGTTATTAATATTATGCTCCCCATTTAGACGGCCCACATCTCGTTCCTTTTGCGCCAAACGTCGCTCCTCATGCCGTCCATCTAGGCCGACGCCCAGACGCTCAATGAACGCAGCCGAGCGATACCCATTTTTCTGAAATGAATACGAAATATGCACAAAGTTAATTTTTGAACAATTTTCTTATAACAAGTATTTCAACGGACCTCATAATAAAGGGCACGTGCTTTTTTTGCTGCTTCAGGATCGAAGTTCCACTCTGTCCGCTCGTGTGTTATGGGTTCGCCCGCGACATTATTTTGCAAAGTTTCGCTTATGAGGCGCAAGATAAAGCCATCGGTAGGCGGGCAATGATGCAGAAACAAACATGTAAAGCACTACGAAAATCTCATTTGTTAATGTAAACATGTTTTTTACTGAGTTTAAAAGCTGGATAAAGTTGGTCCGATTTCACAATGAATAGTTAGTTTAAGCTTTCTATTGCAAAGATATGTTATTTCCATGTATTGTAAACTCGAAACCTGACAATTTATGAGCAATTTATTAATGGCTCATAGCAATTGCCTTCATGAGTATTGATGGTTTATATTGCTTCAAAGCTAGCGCCAATAGAGTTATTTATGCCCAAAATATAGCGTTAAGAATTACTCTTGACTCCATTTTCAGCTTTACACTCTTCACAGATGTTAAATGTACTTCATATACATACATACATACTTAGTATGCTTCACTAGCATCATTTTTTACGCAGTTTACCGCAAAATATTTATTTTTGTATAATTCAGCTGAAACTACATTACATACATCGTTAAAAAAAAAAGTAATAATAATATACTGATTTAGTTTTTATTTCTTCACTTGGTTCACCTTTTGCATGTTTAAGTAATTTATTTAAATTTGATTTTACATTTTAATTGGAATTTTTCACTTACACTTAACACACATAACAAACGCAACTGCAACATTTTAAGCCGACACTTCAGTGTAAATTATGTTTTCAAACACTCACTTGCAATTTAAGCCGCGTGTTTTGTGGCCAAGTACGTGCGAGTCACTGGACCATTGATCACTGAAGTCGCGCTCTTGCATAAAACGCAACCAACCGCCAATGAAGAAAAAATCCAAAAAATATTCAAGCAATACATATGCATACATGTTCGAGTATATATACATACATATGTATGTATGTTTTTATAAAAAGGCGAAAACCACGTAAAAAAACAGGCCCGCACTTCTTGTTTACTGCAAACAAAATAACTCACAAATCAAGACAAAGAAAAGAAGTTACAAAGCAAAACGCAAACATGCACAAAAGCACACCGCAATGTGAATGCCGGCAACAATAACAATACTTTTAAAAACCCACAAATGTGGCACTAAATTTTCCAAGACGAAATGCTAATTTTCTATGGCCAAGGGGTACATTCATATGCATTATAACTATATTTGAACAACAATTTCTAACAGTGTGGTTAACTTTTGACCTTGACTCCACGGGTGGCACTTTTCAGTCGCCACTTCAAGTTTTCTAATAATTCTAAATATTACCCATGAGACGGCGACTCCGAGAACAAGCTGAGTTGCACAAACAAATAATTTAATTTACCTACAAAAAAATATTGGTAACAAAAACTGGCTTGTCATTCATTGTATTTGCTGCCGCTATCGATTGCTGCAGAGATTACATAACGCCCCGGTTGATCAAGGGCGGCTGTGTCATCAACATTAACGTCAACTCCAGCAGCGTCGACATCGACATGAACTTCATTATCACGATCAGCATCTGGCCAAAAGCCACTTAACTTAAGAGCAACCGACCAAACAAACCACTTTAGTAATTTGGCCTCAATTCCAATATTTTTGCGCTACACACAAATTGTTGCTGCTATTGTTGGCTACCTTTTGTTAATATTGTTGTTGTTCCTTCAAACAGCTGACTAGCAAACAATGCCACTGAGTCTACGTGCCGGAGCTCATGTGAAGTAATAATCGCTTCACTCACTAACTTACTTAAATTGTCAAAACTTAGTTGTGCTTGCTGCCTAACCACTTTTGCCAATTTTCCGGCAGCGTAATTGCCTCTAGTCTCTCTTCGTGGCATGTTGAGGAAACAAAACTTCACCAGAGCTAACTCAATCATTAACCCATCGATGTCCATGCACGATATACTTACATTACTTGTATATCTTTCAAACATTTGCTATCCGTTAAATTATAATTATACAAGTACTAACGAAACTATAGAAGATAATTATTCTGAATATTTCAAATAAATTTCATATCTTCCTAAATACTTACGTAGATCAAATATACTTGCATATGTAATTTTATTTAATAGGCAAACATTTATAGGATCCATTTAAAACTAAGAGCGACAGATGAGCCAATCTATACCTACATATGTGCGCTGAGGAGAGTTGTTCAAATTCTACGCTTTGTAACTTTGCAGGATGTTTGAGTTAAAACCAATGGGTTAACAGCTGTGAATCATTGTTATTTAACCGTTATGCAGAGTTGCGCTCACTCAATCGAAAAGAGAGCACAAGCAGCTTGAGTACTTTCACTTTCATCCATCTTTAAGAGTAAGTTGCATAAGTTTTTTGTTTTGTTGAAGACATTTCATATAAAATCAAAACAGAGACGAAAGACACCCACCCCATAACAAACTGTGTACATTGGCCAATATGTATTTATGTACATATGCATCAAAAGATTGTAAAGCTTTGATGGCTAAGCTTAGCTTTACGCGCTCCATTCAGAGCGCCGAAATGAAGCTCACTAGCCAAACCAAACCGCTCAGTTGTGCTCAAGTCGAGGAAGCACTCGCTTTAAAGCCAAATGCGTATTCAGTTACCAAACAAACGTGTCGCGCACAACTTCGTGCATTGCAGCGTCGCAACTGCAAGAGCAATAGAAAAAACACGTTACACCTTAAATTATTCACGAGATTAGTAAATAAATTTACTTTTTTTAAATTTAGTTCCGCATTTAGTTAGCCCGAACGATGGCAAATTTGAATGCGCTATTGCTGTCTGTGAGTCTTGGCATTTCACTTTGATATTAGTTTAGTTGACCCGCTTAATTAGCATTTATAATCTAAAACTCGCACATTAACGCGCTGACACAATTTCCGCTGCGTCTACGCGAAAGTCGGCGGCTGGCTAAAAAGAAAATTGTTTCTGTCGTTGCCTTTGTCGTTAGCCCCGTCTTTACGAAAATGTGGATTGAATTCTCAATGAACTCCAAAGTGTGTTTTGTGTTTTGTTTGTCCAGCGAATTGACACATTTCGAAATGATGTCGCGCCAAATACGATAAGCCCCCACATCCCCCTAGAGACCTTGACCAGCGTATTGCTCAATGAATGGATGAGTGTGTGCGCTTGTAGCGGGTTTTCCACCATAAACGCATGCGCTCTTTTGCTGTTTCTCTCTATCTCTCTCTTTGTTTTGGCCAAGTTAACTGCGAGCTGAAGACGCAAAGGAAGCAAAAATGTGTCATAATCTCAGCCAAACTAGCTGCCCAAGTCGGCGGCATCGCTTGTCGTTTGCTGTATTTTGTTACATAACACAACTCGTTGTTGTTATTATTTGCTGACCACTTTTTAAAGTTACTTCATGCAAGGCACCGCCGTCAAAATTCGTGTGCATTTATTACAATTTTTATGTGCCTATATGGCACACTGAACTGATGTGTGAACTGAACCTCCATTACTTTTGTATATGTTAAAGTGCACAGACAATAAAAATAACAGCCATCATTCTTGTGTCTCCCTTTAAAAATGATTATAAAACTTATTATATTTTAGTTTTTTTTGATCCTCGTCTCGTTTGTGGTGAACATAACATATGCTACCGTTCAACCAAGAGCGCCAAATTTTCAATATTTTGAAAGGTAATTTAGATAAATGTATGAATTTAACAATATTGACACCTTGTAATAATGTCTTTTTGCACAGACCAAAGTATCGCTATCCGTACTACGATGAAAATGGACGAGGAAAACTCCTTTACGGCTATGGCGGACCGGAATTGTACCAATATAAGACCTACACTCCATTGGAAGGCATTCACTAAATGACACCAGCATACATTTCTAATTGTAAATTTAATAACTTATAATCATCTGGAATTTTGGTATACAAATTTTTCCTATGTTATATTAGTTAATTTATTTTGGGGAATTTAATGGTTTAAAGCTCATCAAGGAAAAAGATTGAAATGTGAAATGGATCGCTATGTTCAAATATGCATAAGTACATGCATACATATGTACATACAAACGAAGTTAATACGAGCTTTTGATGAAATTAAAAATGTGCGAAATGTATTTTGTATTTAAATTCGGCAATATACATTTTTTACTTAATCTTATCGGTCTCTTCTACGCTCATTACAGAAACTAAAGCACTTGTCAATAAACAATTTATAAATTTCCTCAATTAAAATTTTCCCTTAATCGGTAGAGCAAAATAATAGTCGATAGTTTCAATAACATCGATGACATTGCCGGAATATATCGATACTATCGATAGTGCTGCCATTAATTGTTCTCCAGCTCTACGAGTACTAAACGCCGGAAAATGTCTCGCAAAGAAGCGCTTTCGCAGTTTATTAATCAAATTCACGGCCGTCCCGTGGCTGTTAAGCTCAACAACGGTGTTGACTATCGTGGTAAGTAAAATCATATTGGCCTTATTAGTTTATTTTTATTTACACATCCCTTTTTCCATCAGGGGTGCTCGCTTGCCTCGACGGCTACATGAACATTGCCTTGGATCAAACGGAGGAGTATGTCAACGGTCAGTTAAAGAACAAATACGGCGATGCTTTTATTCGAGGAAACAACGTGCTCTACATCTCAACGCCCACGCAAAAGCGCAGAATCTAGACTAAAATATAAATCATAAATACACACAACTTTTTTACACACAAATTACTTATACATATATAAATGCTGAAATAAAATTATCAACTGGGATAGTAACCGGTACCGAATTCATATGGGATTGCGCCGAATGTTCGCAGCTGTTTTACAGAGTATCCTGAACCCAGAGCGGCAATCAGACGCTCTCCTCTGTAGCCAAATTTTCTTTGGTAGTGCGGACGCCAGGCCTTCCCAAAATGTGGATCAAATGGAATCTCGCTTGGCTGTGTAAAGGGCGAATTGCCAAAGAAGAGACGATCTAGGTAATCCAGCACAGCTTTCTTTTTTTGAAAATGTTCGAGCAACGGATTTGCTTGGGCTGCGGTCCTTGGATTTTGCGATGCCAAATTTTTAAAGTATTGAAAATTTTTAAAATCCACATTTGAATAGTCGAACATCGGCAGATCTAGCAGTGTGGCGTATGCGGGCAGCTAAGACATAATTAGATAGCAATTATTATACATTTTCACTAATTAATTTTATTTGCCTCGTACCATAAGTGCCAGTGCAATTAAAGCATATTTGCACATTACAAATGTTTAGGTTCACTTTCAATTGCTTGGACAGCACCTTTCGACTTCCTCACACGAAACTCAACTGATTAAAATAAATTCGGCCAACTGCTGGCGTTGTCAACGATTTGCAATCAATTGTCCAGTCTTGTATTTTTTTGTAACCAACGCAGTTGCCCAATTCTTCCTACCATGTAAGTGCCAGTAACAGTGCTGTGGCCAGCCGCATGTGACACCACCGACAATTAATTAATATGCACATCACATATGTAGATATTTTAATCAAAGCGTCGTCACAGCTGTTGCTTCAGTTGCTTGTTGGTGCTGACGATTCCGGACGCAGACATTGTGATCGCATTCGTCTTAATGAGATTCCATTGTTTCATTTTACGAGCACTCATTAGTTAGTTTCGATTGGACTGCATTTCATGGGACTTCAACATATTGCATATATGCAGTATGATTATGTGCAAAGGTTAACCCATAATGTCGGTATTATTTATTTTGTAAATTAAAACCGAAACAAAACATGCGGAAATATTAGCGTGAAAAATTCTTCAAAAAATACAAGCGTATAACTCGTTGCATTGAAATTTCTTGCTGTTCAGTGTGTGTGTGTGTGTGTGTGTGTGTTTGTGGTGTTTTGCCTGACTATTTTCGTTTATTATATTATAAAAATCACATTCCTATATTATTATGATTACTTGCCAACACAATTTTCACTCCACTGTTCAACTGCCAATTTGTTTCGATAGAAATGTAATTTATAGTTAAAGGAAAAACGATTTGGGATAAATTTGCAGTGAAAATTACGGAGATTTTGCTAAAGCCCTTAATTAGCCCAGGACAGCAACTGTTTCATATCGGGATCATCTGCAAGAAAAAACATACATGTTATATATCTCCGAAAGTACATAAGTGTACGTTTTGGTTCACCATCAGGATCAGCGGGTGCCGTCGTTGTCGTTGCCGCCGGTGCCTTCTTCTTCTCCTTGGCCTTCTCGGGTAAGTCATCTGTGGGTGCTTCCGGCAACGTCGGCTGCGGCTCGGGTATGCCAATAATCTCCTTATCAAAGTTCTCTTGCTCCAGTTCATCGAGTTCCCGCTCGAGATCCTCATCATCAAGATCGGCACCAAAGGCCACTGGATTGGAAATGGCATCAGAGATTTCCTTTGCAACATCCTGCTGTTCGGCAATATCGTCCATCATATCGTGTACCTTGTCCACGTCCCTAAATAATTGCAAGAAAATATGATTGCATTAATTCCAACTCAAATTCGAATCCGTTACGATACAACACTTACATGTTTTTGTGTGCCAACTTAAGAGCGTCCGCAGCATCCTTCATTGTGGTCAATACGGCAGTATTTGTGTTGGCGCTCTCCAACGCTTCGCGCTGCATCTCAATTGTAGACAGTGTACCATCTATTTGTTGCAGTTGCTTCTCCAAGCGCTTCTTCTTTTTTAGCGCCTGCAAGGCGACTGTAAAATTGATTAGAACAGAATTAGTATTCCTAATAAATCACTGCATTAATATTATGAGGGTGATTAAATTTGATTTTTGAAGATGTGCGCCCAATTCAAGTACAATATTATTTGGCATTATGCTACGGTTTACTATAGAAGTTAAATGAAGCATATTACGTTCTTATATTTGCATATGTTGTGGGTCCAGCCATCATGGTGGGTGAGGATGTTTGTATGTAGCGCAAAAAGAAAGGCGGAGAAATACAGAAATGTTTATACTTGACATTCAATACGGTCGTATTTGTTGACTACTACATAAATCTCTAGCATAGCAATGGTTTAGGCAATAGGATATAAATGAACACCTTAGCTACATTGCCAAAAACAAAAACAAAGCAACAACAAACAATGAGTCATAATTTTCATCGCAAATCGCCACTTTCTCAGCTAACCGCAGCAGCCTTTCCAAGGCATAGATTGAATGACGTACATACCTCTCTTGTTCTTGGATGCATTTTTACGTGCTGTGTTCAGTTCTTCCTCAATTTTGGACTCCAGAAATTCTTGTTTTTTTATGAGCATATTTTCCGTCTCTCTTAGCTTTTGTATGGCCTCGCCCGTCGTTGGAGCCACCTCCTTCTTGCCACCAAACATTTTCCCGAAAAAACTCATCTTGTTTTTTTTAGATATTATCACCAATTGCTCCCTTATAATTGGTTTATATGGACTTTTACTGTTAAATGCGTTTTCCCACTGTCTGGGCTATTATTTAGTCTTGGGGCGAGTGTGCGTCATCGCGATAGAACTAAAAAAATACATCGTTGCGTAGCGGCCATCGATATGCGCGTGATAAATATCAATGTATCGATATGTTCCGCTCATCCCTAATGTCATATAAGAGGCACAACAATAAACAACAGCCGGAATGGCGAATCGCACCGTGAAAGAAGCAAAAAATGTGCACGGTACAAATCCGCAATACCTTATAGAAAAAATCATCCGCTCGCGCATTTATGATTCCAAATACTGGAAGGAGCAATGCTTTGCGCTCACCGCCGAGCTCCTGGTGGATAAAGCCATGGAGCTACGTTTTGTTGGTGGTGTCTACGGCGGTAACATCAAACCCACACAGTTTCTGTGCCTGACTCTAAAAATGCTCCAGATTCAACCGGAGAAAGACATCGTTGTGGAGTTCATAAAGAACGAGGAGTTCAAGTATGTGCGTGCGTTAGGTGCCTTCTATTTGCGCCTGACAGGCGCCGCCATCGATTGCTACAAATACTTAGAGCCGTTATATATTGACAATCGCAAGTTGCGGCGGCAGAATCGGGCCGGTCAATTTGAGATCGTCTACATGGACGAATATATTGACGAGCTTTTGCGGAATGATCGTGTGTGCGATATAATACTACCACGCATACAAAAGCGCAGCATACTGGAGGAGAATAATGAGCTGGAGCCGAAAGTCTCGGTGTTGGACGAAGACCTGGACGATGAAGTTCCCAGCGACGATGAGCAAAAGGAGGCGGAAGATGAGGATAAAAGCCGCTTGAAGAATAGTGCGACGACTGTGCTGCGTCGTCCAAGGCATGCAAGGTCCCGCAGCCGTGAAAACCCGTCAGGTGTTGGTAGTAGTGGCAACGCACGGCGCGATTATTACGATGATTTGGAGGACTACGACAAGCAGCGAAATCGCGCGCGGATCGGATATAATGACAACAGAGGGCGTCATGAAAACCGACATGAGCGTGACCGAGAGAGAATGCGCGGACGTGAGCGTGAACGCGAGCGCGATCGTGAAAGGGAGCATAGAGACAAAGATCGGGAAAGAATGCGAGGAGGTCGCTACGAGCACCGAGAAAGGGACTCGCGCAACGAACGTGACCATCGCCGTTATTAAATGTAGAGGCCCGTTAGTCTTAAGGACACTTTTAATAAACCAAAATATAAACTGCACGTTTCCGTATTATTGCATCCCACTCCAAATTTAAAACAAGCCCGCATTACGCAGAGTTGGCAGCACCCGAACGAAATCGCAATCGGGGTTTTCGATAGTACAAACAGCTGAGCGTATTAGTAAACAAAAAGGGCACACAAAAGCTTTTATTTTAGAAAGTATTTTACTTTTTTATTATCAAATTAAGATACTTCATTGTCCAAACAAACTGTAAAGCTTAAGCTAAATGTAGTACAATCTTACTTTAATTATAGTACTTACATAGATAAGACACACATTCGCCCAGAAACAATGTGTTACGAATTAACTTATTAAAGCGAACTATTATAATTATTCAGTGTATCGCTTGACTTCAGCGCGCATGGAAGTCAGAGCATAGTGCTCAATATAAAGTGGAGAAGTGCAATTAATATTAGAAGCATTAAATTGCAAATTCCTTTGTTCACCAATTGGTTGTGATATTGAAGTGATTAACTTTTAAATAAGCCGCATACAGTTCTGGACAACAATGACGACTAGAATGACGCAAAATGATGATGAGGCTCTTTTGGTAAGCGATGAAGAGGCTGAAGAGAGATCTCCACAGCTGCTGGACGCCGCCAGCGTTGAGCAGGGTAGCCAAGACAACTCATCCACGACGACGACAACACCTCCAAACGAAGAAGGAGGCCTGGGCAAACGCTGGTTCATATTGGAGCCGGCCGTATTCCTAATATTTTTAGGACGTTACTTGATTGGTGTGTGTCACTTAAATTTAAATCATCTGTGCGCGCTAATTTTTCAATTGCGTGTCTGTTGCTTTATTTAGGGGCGGTTTACCAAAATCAAATACTTTATCAAACCTGCATTAGTCTTAAATACAATGAGACACAGTGCAAGCCACTGCTCGGACTGAACAAGGAAACGCCGGAGGCACAAGTAAGTAACAAAATGATTTGATTTACACACGCAAATCAGTATATTTATATGATCGTTGTTTTTTTTTTTTTTTTTGCTGCTGTTGCACAGTGGTTCAGAAACATTATTTATCATCCGATTTTCTTTTAGACTAATATAGAAAATTTAATAATTTGTTTTTGTCAGATAAGGCATGCAATTAAGCTTGTAGGAAAAATTGGGGACTCCATTTTATAGTATTGCCTCAACTAAAATATTTCGATTTCAGTAAAATAATTTTTTTTAAATATCTGTATGTTTAAGTATTTTATATTTACGATGGCTGAACCACTGTTTCTTTTATCTTTACTGTATGTCATTTGTTTCTGTTTTAATCACGTTTCACGTTTTAAGCAATGCAGCGATTTTATATAATTTTGTATTGCATATGGGCAAACTTTGTTTTCAACATTAAGGATTTTTTAGATAACTTTTCTCTAACCAGCTGAAAAGCTGTCAGCTTTCGGAACAAACCCTGATAAACGCCCCATAGATTGCAAATATGCATATACTTATATACTTATATCATTTATACTTATTAGTTATTTACAGATGTAGCATTATTAGTATATAAATATATGTTAAATCAGAAGGTCCCTAATAAATTAAAACTGTGCCAGCTGCAGCTATTACATACTTATATTCTAATAAAAAATAATAAGCACTTATCAAAAGTCAATACAATGTGTAAATGTGTCTAAATCTATGTATAGTATATCAACTACGTTTATTTTAAAAATCCATTGTTTGCATTGTAGAAGCACGAATTATAAATGTATGTACATATGTACATTTTTATACATATGTATGTACAAACATGCTAATAAGTGGAATACAAAGCTTAGCGCTTATCTGCAAATAAACAGCTCAAGAGCTCCGACAAATGAGAAATCAAAATCATATGCATAGTATGGACTTGTATGTACGTACATCCATAAGTTTTGGGGCAAGCGGCTGCATTTCGTGTATGACTAATTATTTTACGTATCAATAATTGCTTGTGTCAGCTTATCAATTGTAAGCGCTTGGGTATACCTGCATATGTATGTACTATGTATGTATCTTAAATAATTACCAGAACGCGTCGCTATGAATCATACGATTTAGGCGCGCAGCCGTGAAAAATGTCATGCCTTTTGCAAAACAGTTGTTTTTTGTTCAAAAATGATTAACAGAAAAAAACTATGTTCACAGATCATTGAAGAAATTGTACAGCCTTATGTATCGCAAATTTTAATGGCTACTTCGATATTTGAGAGTATTATACCCGCTTTTGTGAGTCTATTCATCGGACCTTGGTCGGACAAATTTGGCAGACGTCCCATACTCCTGACCACATTCACAGGTAAATGTTTGCCTCAAAGGCGTTTTATGTACAAATATAATGGCACTCTTCTTGCTGTAACTATTAGCAATATTAATATTAAGTAGAAAATCTGATCAATTTTTAGCTTTTTCATGAAATATGTGACCGCCACTTTAAGTTAATTCGAAATCAAAGGGCTATCTACATACATATATCGTAGGGACGCTACAGTCGAGCAAGCCCGACAATCAAATACCCTGTATCCAGACAAACTTCACCCACTGAGTTATATGCGCCCGTAGCAGATGCAAAAATAAGAAGAGCGAAGTTCCGGGGGGAAGTTGTTTCTATAATAACTTTTCTTCAAATTGACCGATTTCCTGATTAAGAATAAGAATTAAGAAATACCTACATATACTTATGGGGTCGAAGATGCCTTCGTCCTGCCTGTTACATACTTTCCACAAATCCAATATACCATTTTGATCATACAAGTGCAGAGTAATTATATTGATTAATTATACTTTAACTTACGTATTATTTTCAGGCTATCTCATAAGTGCTATCATTTTAACTATCATAACACTGATTTCTACTGGAAGGCATATAAATCCATGGTGGTTCGTGCTTTCCTCAGTGCCTTCAGCGTTTAGCGGTGGCACCTGCGCATTGATCACTGGCATCTACTGTTATATATCGGATGTTGCCAAGGAACGCAAACGCGCTGTCCGGTTAGTAATGAAACATGATTTGTGTTGGAATTTTTAACATTATTTTTATCTCCAACCACAGAATGGTGCTAAATGAAGCATGGCTATGTACGGGCATGATGTTGGGAAGCGTAGGCAGTGGTTATATCTATTCTGTAACGAATGCCTTGACACTTTTTTGTATAGCAACCGGGCTCATGTTGTTAGCCCTAATATATGTCTATGTGTTTGTGACTGAGAGTGTTCAGGTCATAAATATACCCGGTACTGTAAGTTTAAAAATGACTTGAATTTTCGCCAACTGGTATTATCTAATAATTTCCTTTCTATTTCCGACCGTCTCTAACAGTCACGCATCCGAGAGTTCTTCAGATTTGGGCTGGCAAAGGATCTGGTCCGCACTTGTTTCCAATCGCGTCCCAATTTCGATCGCTCTATCATTTGGCTTACCATCATTGCATTAACATTATCTATTTTTGTAATGGAGGGAGAGAGCACTGTTAATTACCTCTTTTTGCGCAAAAAATTTCTGTGGACCATCGAAGACTTTAGTTCGTTCAGCGCCGCACGCATTGTTATTCAAATTGTTGGGAGCATTTTTGGTATGATCGTGTTGCGACGAGTTCTCAAGTTCTCAATCGTGTCTATGGCCATGCTGGCCATGGCTTGCTGTGTTCTGGAGAGCACGGTCCGTGCGACCGCCGCCTATTCGTGGGAGTTATATGTCGGTATGACGCTGGGAATGATGCGCGGCGTTTTGGGCCCTATGTGCCGAGCGATCCTTTCCCATGTTACACCTGGTTCTGAAGTCGGTAAGAAGCACTTCGCAAGACAAAGCTTACCAAATATAAAATTATATCTTAATCAATGCTATTTCAATATTACATCTGTTATTTATTTTATAGGCAAAGTATTCGCTCTGACGACTTCGCTGGAATCAATCTCGCCGCTAATCGCTGCACCATTATACACGTATGTTTATAATGCCACGTTACTCCAATATCCAGGGACATTCAATTTTATTAGCGCGGGACTTTACTTTTTATGTTACGTTTTGATTACGTGAGTGGCACATAATAATTAATGCAATTATTTTGATCATTTTGACTATCGCAATTAATTACAGCGCAATTTTCGGCATACAAAAATCCATGGGCGATTCCGTTGTCTACCAGGCTATTGGCAGTTAGCCGGCATAAATCCAACCGGATTTAGTTTAATTTTAACAAAAAGTTCAAACCGATTTACGTGTGATTTAACAAAACAAAAAAGGAAACAATTCCATTTGCGTGTTCTTGTCAGTCAGGAAATGTTTTATAGTGTATGCATATCGAAGTATTATTTCGTTTTTATTTAATTAGCAATCGCTCGAAGCGTGTACAACACTAACTTTTTTAACTTGTATTATCTCCCTTAATTTATCTGTACCAGTGAAAATATCCACAATACGTACCCTTTTTTGTTTTTTTATAGTTGTTGACAGAGTTTTTGCATATACGCATGACAGAGCGTATTTTTGCAACACCTAATATCACTAGAATGTTATTCACACAAAAATTATATGAATATTGAAGGCCGTTACCTGTGAATATGTATATAGGTATATATTTAGCTTCCAAATAACGTAAAAATCTGTGGACACATACAAATATATATATTTATAAAAGATATAAAATAAAACAAACCTTTTCATTTTATACTTTTAAATTCGATCTACAACATTTATTCAATAGCAAATCACACGTACACATATTTTTACAAGTGTATATAAATATTATGCTAAGTATTTAACAATTACTTACTTCAGCACCTTGGCATAATGCTGCTTATGGATGAACTTGATGCGCAAGACACATCTGCAAAACGGTTCGAGATCGATATTAAAACATTCGGATGGCAATAAATGTGTGCACATATCTTACCCGATAAATACGAATGACAGAAAATATAGCGATGCGCTGACAAAATTAAACAGACCCGGATAGGTTGTCAATGAGAGCTTGTACACGTACGTATAGAGAGGTGCCGCAAAAAACGGAGCAAACGATTGCAGAACGTTTTTGATAGAGAAAATCTTGCCTGCAAAAAACCAATCAGGCAAAGTGTCAATTCCACTATTTACACATGAGTAAGGCACATTATTGTTCAAGTAAAAGATAAACTATATATATATTTCATTTTAAATATGTGTGATTGCGAAGAGTAGTTTTGCGTTTAAGAATGCGGCCGGAAAAATTCTCGCTTACTCCTAGAGCTTACTGTAGTTGGTTTGATTTTCAATCCTAATTTTTGGCTGTGCACCAGAGATGCGCATGGAAATTAGTTAATTTGTCTAATAAGTATATGAGACTTGATAATTAGACATTGCGCCAAAAATGTTTAGTAAGAACTGACCGCCTGATACAATGGTGTTTTTTTATCCAAATTTAAGGTTCTCAATTATACGATGAAAAAGTGGCTTAGAGTTTTGATTAATGTTGCAATTTTATTATTTTATCAATTGTTTAAAACTAAGAACACTGCTAAATGCCACACAATCAATATTTAAAAAATTTCAATTTATCTAACAGAAAAGGGACGGTTTGCATTCGAAAATGTACAAGTCCGTATTAGTCGTTTTTGTTGGGGTTTATAGATACTTGTACTTACCTAAATCAGACGGCGGCACTATATTGGAGACAATCGTGCGACACATTGGACCAGAGATGGAGCGAAAAACACCCAACGCCACAGAAAGGTACATATGCCAAGCCTGCGTGGCAAGACCTTTCGCCATATTGTTAAGTATCTCGGAGAAGAAAGCCAACAGTGCCAGAGTAACCACGGACAGTCGAAAGACCTGTCGAAGATAAACACAGTGTATAGTACATCAAGTCGAGTCAATCTGTTCAAATTTGAAGCTCTTATCTGAAATATCAACTCACTTTGCGCAACACAAGAAAGCCTACAAGGGCTCCCAACATCGGTACCAAATGGCTGACGGTCTCAAAGAAGGTATAATCACGCACGGTCCAGTGGAATTTTTCGCGTACAAACAAATACATAACACCCATGACACCGTCTACGATTTGGAAATGACACATTATTTTTAGATTTTTAGCGATCGGGTTAGCATATTTATGGAAATTGTGGTCAAGTGGAGAAATGTGCAAATTAAATTTATGTTTGAAGCTCACCAAAAACAAAAATGGACAGGAACATGGCCATGGTGACTAGCCAGATAATGGCACGCGCGTGATGTTCACGTTTTGTGAAACAAGTATTTAACATTTCTCTGATATGCATATAGCTGAATAGTCCAGCCTTTTTCTTTTTATCGGTATCAGGCAATGTTTTCCTTGCCTTTTCCGGCAACTTTTCCACATATCGCGCCAAAATATCCTCATCACTCTTTATTGTGGGAGATGGCGATGATACCTCTATCTGTGGAGAATCACACTTCTCATTCTCATTACTTTCTACGAAATTGGGGGGACAGTCAATAGCCACACGATCCAGCTGTAAATCACAAGCCGTGATAGGCACTTCATTCTCCTTGTTGAGCTTGGTTTTGGCATCCCGATCCAGACGTATGTGCAAGCTTTCGGGCACGAAGAAAATTATGAATAGTGTGGCGAATGTAACAATAATTCCAGAGATGCCGATTGTTATTGATGCACTAGTCGCCGCATACACAAAGCTGGAGAGCAGCGATCCACTGGTGAGACCAATGAAGAACAGCACCTCCATGAAAATCATTCTGAGAATGGACGACATTACCAATTGCCAACTGAAAACGGAAACCACTTTCACTCACCTGTAAGGCCGCTCTTTAGTGTCCGTAATGTCTGAGATGAAGCAGAAAGCGGCTACAGAGAACACACAATTACCTCCAAGGACCGAGTGGGGCACTGCAGCCATGATATACCACCAGGGATTGATAACATAGAAGTTGGATAACTCACTGATCGAGGCCGTCACAAGAAAAGTGGCAGCAAAGCCTGCGATATATAAAGATGGCTCGATCACAGCACTCTTTCACTCGCCCGCTAAGCTGGGAAACTCACCAATCATCGAAACAATGAGCAATGGCTTGCGTCCATAATGATCCGACCATGAGCCGATAAAGAGACCGCAGAAGGCGGGAACAATACTTTCCAGTAGAGTGCGCGACAAAAACAAGTTCGCCACATATGGCTGCAGTTCCGTTTCAATGGCCTAATAACCGGAATTAAGTCGCTCTTCTAAGATTCAATAATTAATTAATTCAAATATGTATACACACATTTATTTCGGCGCTAGCATTCTTCGAATCCAAGAGTTTGCAATCGCTCTGATTGTAATTAAAGATCGTTGTGCAGGTCTGGTAGATGATTTGATTGCGCAATATTGTACCTTTATGTGGGTTGGAGAAAAGTGTTAAGAGGCATTACAGCGGCTTTCGTGGCTATTACATTTAATAAAACAAGTAAAAAAGCCAAAGTCGGGTGTCCCGACTTTGAAATACTCTGTACATATGTTTAGAATAATTATAGAAATTAAAAAAGTAAGAGAAAAAAAAACAAAATTTACAAATTTTAGTCCAAGAATTACGGGAGTTAGAGAAAATCGCGATTTGCGGTGGAGAGGGGGGAGGGAGGGAAATTCCAAAATACACATTTTCTGCGTATTCTCATAAGGCATGTGGGACTAAAATTTGGTATCCGTAGGTCTTATATTCTCTTAGATATAGGCGATTATACGAATGGAAAATCGGGAAAACCCCCATAGGGGGGAAGTGGGGGGGGGGACAAACTTGCACAGCGTACACATATAACGCATCTTTGTGCAAAATTTGGTGTCTCTAGCTCTTATAGTCTCTGAGATCCAGGTGTTCATACGGACAGACGGACAGACAGACAGAGCTAGATCTACTCGCCTCGTCATGCTGATCAAGAATATATACACTTTGTGGGGTCTGCCACGCCTCCTTCTGCCTGTTACATTTTCAGCTCGCGCAAACCTAATATATTATTGTACATTTTATGTACAGAGTATAAACACACGCATTTATAACACGCACAACTCTTACCTGACAATGTATGCGAAAATAGTAACATGAACACAACCGGTTCTATGTAGAACATATGGAAAATTCTGTGCCATTGCAGACTTTTCAGACGCTCCCATGTAAAGGCATGCGACGCTTTTTCCACCATTTGATAGCAGTTGTTTTGTTTGAACTGTCTATAAAGCACTTATATTCGTTTATCTATATTTGAATAATTATTTGTGCTTCCCATATGACACCGTCTACGTTTTAAATTTTATTAACCTTGTCGAGAATATTAGCACCACTATTTTAACTTTGATTTCAAGGCGTAAAACTAATTCGGCAAGTTCAATATGCCTATTAAATTTTTACGAATTCGTGCCGACTCTTTTATATAGCTTATACGAGAATATGCGGCACAATTGTTTAACGACACTATGCACGAAGCTCACTACCGAATGCAATTAATAATTATACATTTTAAAAGCGTGTCAGTTTTTATTCGAATATATCAACTTATTGCCAATAACAGAATATTTTTTTGTGAATTTTAAATACTTGTATTTGTCGTTTGGGGCATATTTTTTATTATTTATATTTTATTGTTGTGGTACTATTTGTATTGTTGCTGGCAAAGCTCAGCTTGTCGTTTGACTGGGTACTAGGGACTGGCGCTTAACAGATTCACTGACGCGACACGGTACCAACGACGACAATTATTTACAATTAGAGTTTGATTCTGGAAATGAGCAGCTCCCGCTAAATGCGACTGTTTATATAGTGTCGGGAAACAGAAATCGCAAACAGTTGTTCATCACTTAGTAAATCGTTCTGTGCATACATATGTACTATATGTATGTATTTAAATAGATATGTATGTACTTTGAATGGCCACTCAATACTCTATGTACACATGCAGTTTGTTTGTAAGTTTGGCAAGTCGCCTGAGGCAGCGAAATCGCAAAAACGCAGCGACAATATCGTCGAGATTCACAACGTCGCGACGCTTCGGATTTGATTGAATTGAATTTCACTGCGAGACTGGCTTAAATAAGTTTTTGTCGCTTTCGACGCTTTACCTTTACCGCACCTGTGACTTATCACAACTCTGAGCCGATGCTGGGGCTGTTTTGATTTCAGTTTTTTTCATTCCTTTTTTTCTAGTGTTCGTGCCGCTCACAAATGAGTAGCACGAGGCAGACTCAATCAAACTTAGATACATGCATATGTTTATACATACATACACTGTTTTTCGAATGACTTGCAAAGTTTATCACTCGGAACTAAACTGGAAATATGGCTTGTAGGCATACGCGAACCCTGTTTTACGCTTCTTTCCACTCTGACTGATTAAAACAGTTTCCGACCCTGGGCCCTTCCTCAACTTACTACCTCTATATGAATCCAACTACTTATGGCATTTATTAAATATGCTCAGCAACGAAAAAGTACTATCTTGTGGGAAAGTTGGCAATATAGATAATTATGTTTATTTTGAAAATGCTACATATATTAAAAATTTCAAAAAGACTCTTTTGACTATTGCTGAGCGCTCCTTGAATAAAGGCCATCTTTCCTTTATACAGGGTGCACCATCTTTTATGTCGGTATGTAAATATTGAATTACTTTGTCATTAGTGAACCGATTGACTTGAGTAGACAAGTGTTGAAAACCTCAGTTCAAGAAATTGTACAGAACCAAATTAAATAAAAATATCTCATACTTGAAAATCGGTTGTTTATTTTCAAAGATATTCAATGTTTACATACCGGCATAAAAGATGGCGCACCCTGTATATGTTATTTTATATCACACTTTTGATAATTTTATAAAACAAATTTAAAACTAATTATCTACAGCTATTCTTATCCCTTGCATTAGTACTGCTCTAAACAAATATCTTATCATGCTGATTTAATTAGAGCTCTCTTGGCTTAGATGTGCCAATTTAAAGACGGATTCAGGATTTAGAAATGGGTTTTCCCTATAAGAGTAAGATGAAGTAAGATGAAAAATGATCATAAAATTGAAAGAAATTTACTGCATAGACAAATGGGAACAAATTTTGTTATGCTTTACTAAATAGGGTTTGTTTTCTTTTAATCATAAATATTTTTATTTTGTACCTAACAGCAAGTTCGACATGGGTGTAAACAAATTGGCAACCAAAATTTAATTAGCAAGATTAATAAACATTTAACACCACTCATTAGGAGTTGGTTTAATCCAAATAAAAAAATCATAAAATGCGCTCGAGCAGGGTTTTTCTTAGGAGAGTGTCACACGCCATTGTGTCAAAAATTAACAAGTCGAAGAGCTAAAGAAGCGTACATGTGTAAGTCCAATAACCGAAATAAAATATTATAAAAAATATTGTGAAAAAGTATCCACTGTAATTTATAGAATTGAAAAGCGTATTTAAGCTAGGCTAACATCTTGATTAAACATTTTTAAAAGACTTTGTGAAAAGAAATGCACACACACAGATTCCAATTACAGGGGCACAACTGCGTGGCGATATTATTCACAATAACACGGTGTTATTTAAAACGGAAATTGGTTAGTTAAATGACATATAATTTTGTACAGATGCCAGCTTACTATACAATGACTTTGACTTGCTTGGGATCTCGCATACTTCAATAAATTAACTAAAAGCACTTTCTTGTCGAACAGCTGAGAAATTAGCACCCCGCTGAAATATTACACATTGTTAACGGTGCCCTAAAACCCCCTAATTATTTATGTGGCACTTACTTATGAACGTAAATAGCTAAGGCTAGCTTATTAATAGTGGCACGAATAAAAAAGCACCAAACCAATTGTTTTGATTTAAAATAAACGTATTATAAAAGCATTATTGTTTGTGGAGCTGAGTGGAAATCATAGGAGAGAGAGTTGCTGAGTTAATAAAATTAAAAATATTTCGTTGAGGCTTTATTTATAAATTCCAAGTAGAAGTAGGTTAGAGTATATCAGTTTCAGTATTTAAAATAAAAACAGTGCTTCTTGTTATGTTAATTTTTCTTATGTGAATTTTTCGAATGCATTTTTTTAGATTGTTTATTATCAGTGTAGCAATCTATATCTAAAAATTCGAAATACTAAGTATATAGCATTGTAGTGCATCCTCATTTAAAAACCGGCTCGTAGTGTGAGTGATTCGTTGACTTTTGCCGCCAGACAATACTGAAAATGTAGTTAAATTTTAATTTTCCATACAGCATCCGTTGAAGGTTAAGAGTGTTGGGTACGTACAGTAATAAAATAATCGCCAGACCAAACACATTCGCACTTACGAAGTTGAAAAAACCTGGATAACTTATCAATGTAATGCTATAGATAACGATGTATAGTGTAGACGATGCAAATGGTATAAGCGACTGCAGCACGCTCAGCATGGAGAACACTTTGCCTGGCAAATGCAAATATAGAAAAAAAAAATCACAGATGATAACTGATGTGATTCACAAAAATATACATATATATAAGTATATGGTTATATATGCGGCAAATACGAACCGCGCTCATCAGCCGGAAGAAGATTCGTTATTACAGTGCGGCACATGGGATTGGAAAGAGACTTCAAGGCGCCCGCACCAATGGCCAAGTATATTTGCCAGTCGACAAAGGCAAATGCAATACACAAGCTGCTAGCCACATGGCTGACTAATGAAATGAATGTCAGCCACCACACAGAAGAATTGGTGCACTGAAAATACAGGTATAAGGTAACAAAACAGTAGCAGTCATTAAGTTGCCTTACCTAGCAGTATACTTATAGTAACTAATGATAATGACTTACAATTAGAAATCAACAAACCTTTCGCAGCAGCCACAAGATGAATATACCACCGGATCCGGCCACAGCTGGTACCAAGATGCTGACAGACTCATAGGAAGTAAACTGACGCACGGTCCAATGGAATCTTTCACGAATGAACAAATAAAACACCGAGTTGCTGCCATCTGTAATTTTGTAATTTTCAATGAGTATCAGCACTTGTACATATAATGAAGGCTGCCAATTGTTTCAAATGCAATTACCATTCACAAAAGCCGACAAAAGCAAAATCGATATCGACAGTATTATAATGGAGCGATCCTTGAAATCGCGCGTTCGTACACAAGTGTGCCAGAATTCCTTCAGCAACTGTATCAATTTATTACAGCTCCAAAATGTTGGGTTTGTCGATCCCGATGTCGATGTTGTTGCTGGCGCTGTGCTCCCATCAGAATCTAGCCGTTGAGTGGCCGGCAGGCTTTCCGGCAGAAAGAAAACGATTATGAAAAAAGCACAGAGTATTACTAACGCCGATATTGCGAAAACCATGTACGCATTTGTGGCCTCATAAACGTAGCCAGAGCTGTAAGCACCCAGCATCAGACCAACATACATAGATAACTCATAGGCAATCATTCTACAAATAAACAACAAAATAGTTGTAAACATAAACACCAGCATGGTTTGAATACCAATTGCCTAAAACTTACCGATAGGAGCGCGCTTTCCCTGTGGAAACATCGCTTATGAAGCAAACGGCGGCTACCGAGTATGTTATGCTGCTGCCCAAGCAGGCCAAAGGGATCACAGTTAGGACATAGAACCAAGGACTGACCATGCCATGCCGCTCCATAGCCTGTTGCGCAATGCCAGCCGACATCAAGTACTGCAGGGAGTATCCTAAAATGTTCAAATAACGTTTAGCACTTACATACGTGGACTGAGGGGGATACCACATAAGTGTTTAGAGTTCCAAATCGTCCTGTAGAGAACATAAATAAAAAACCCAATTTTTTCTCTCTTCAACATCTTGATTTGTTCCAATTATGATGCTTTTTTCTGAACCTCTTTAGCCAATAAGGGTCTGCTTTTTATACCCTGTACCCGTAGGGTTAAAAGGGTATATTAGGTTTGTGCAAAGTATGTAACATGCAGAAGGAAGCATCTCCGACCCCATAAAGTATATATATTCTGAATCAGACGAGAGAAATCGATCTAGACATGTCCGTCCGTCCGTCTGTCCGTCTGGATGAACGCAAGGATCTCAGAAACAAGAAAAGCTAGAATAACCAAAGTTGGCATCCAGATTCTCCTAGGTCCGAGAAACGACGAGTTTATTTTATTTTTTGGAATTTTCCCCCCCTTCCCCCGCTACAGAATTTCGTCATTACCGTCCACATTTGAAAAGCTACTCTAACCAAACTTTGCACACATAATTTCTATATAATTATCTACTTTTGTTTCAAATTTCATCTAAATCGGATGGTTCTAAGAAAAGTTATTAGCGAAACAACTTTACTTCGGTACTACGCCCACAAGCTGCAGCATGAAGTTCGTTCTTCTTCTTCCTCTTTTTGCTTCTGCTAGAAGCGCATATACCTCAGTGTCGGAAGTTTACCTGGGTACAGGGTATTACACTGTCGGGCTTGCTCGACTGTAGCGTTCTCTCTTGTTTTTGTATGGAAAAGATGAGAAGCACTGAGCCTCTAATTTAGATTATATTCTATTTTGTTCATTTTCAATAACATTCCCTCTTCAAGAGACATCTAAACAGTTGCTGCAACGAAAAACTCTGCGTCATCCCAATCCAATAGCAGTGGATCTCACTATCAAGACCACACGCTGTCGACTAAGAGAGTGCCATCCACTGAACTGCGCTGTAAATATTTAATTATGTACATATGTCTCTGTATATACAAAAAATATATCTTTTTTCCTTTGTGTTGTAACCTACCCTTCTTATTGTTTCTATGTTAAGACATATGAAGAAACTAATATTTTAATTGGCAGCTTAAAAGCTGAAAAAAGACATACAAGTATTGTTTTTGAGTTACCCAGAAATGAAGCCATTAGCAGAGGTTTTCGTCCATAGCGATCTGCCCAGGCGCCAACGAAGAGGCCACACAACGCGGGCACAATGCACTCCACGATTTTCATGATCAGGAAGATTTGTGCCGCATACGGCTGCACAACTGCCTCAATTTGCTGGTGAAAACCAAACACATTTTAACAAACAAGATGCTCTATAATTACGAGAGATATGAATCATTTGTATACGCATACCTTTGTGGCATTTGTAGCATTTTTGGTGCCGAGCAACATACATTCGGCGTCTGTGTAATCGAGCCATGATGTACATGTCTGATAAATGATTTGGTTTTTCAGAACGGTTGCTGTAACGGTTGTAACGACACATGTGTAGATTGCCTCTTGAAGGTTTTGCGTAACAAACTTACATGAAAAATTGTAGCCAAAGAGCAGCATCAGTATCAGGGGCTCCAAAAGATAGATGCCCCATTGTATGGTTCCATTGGCATTTTGCTGGAGACCTGTTGTGGCCGGTGCCAAAGGTTGTGTATCAATATTCACCGATGCTGCACTTATGGAACCTTCACTCCCATGTCGCCGAACCTTGGCGACCAACGTTTCATGAGCATGCGGTTCCTCATTCATCTCTGCGATACGACTGTGGAGCGGCACATTTCCATTGTCGCCAAAGACGCACAGCCTGACCGCAATTCTAGATAAAGTACCGACACATTTATACATACAGTAAGAGCTTGTGTACATGTACACACATGTATCTTTGACTTGTATATATAGACGTATCGGGCAAGTTTGTGCCGGGGTTTACCATAAAGAGCCTATAGTCACAGCGAATACAAATGTGTATGTATGACTCCAACGCTTATTGGCAAATCTGTTCTTATTCTCCTTCTGTGCATACTACTTTCTGACTCAGTCCTGAAGGCACGCGCTCTCAAATCGCGAGCTTAATATGTTAAACGTGACTTATCTGACCGCTGCAAATTTGTTTTCAATTTCGTACTTGCCTGCGGTTAATCATTTAATGAATTTGGATACAACTGCTAACTTAACTCAATTAAAATGTATGCAACGTTAACGAAAACTAATGACATATGTAAGTACAAGTATATGCAAATGTGTTATCCTATGTTTTTAAAATAATTCTTTTATTTACGAAGTTTTGCTTTTTCAATGTAAGGCCCCAAAACACACAGATAAAGACAAATGTATATTTAATAACTAAGAAATCCCAATTGCCAATGAAGCCTCTTTGATAATAAAACAAAGTGGGTTCATAGACAATAGACATTATTTTTGGTTGCTAATACACTGCGTACGTGTTGCCAAAAGGAAGGCTATGCAATTGTATTGTAGATTGTAATTATAACTTTATTCTAAAATACACAATATTAGTAAATAAGCCATTAAGTGTGTCAACTTGCACTTTTTTAAATATAAAATCGATATTTCACGGTGTGAAATACGGTATGGCGTGTTACCCGTTTGGTAATCGATATCAATATTGATCGATGATAGCAAGCTGTCTGCTGGCGCTCGTGACACAAAGGGTCGAGCATCTGAATACAACATGGTGGCAACTCTACGAAAATAATCAGGTTGGCAGCCTGGCAGCTGTCAGGCGCCAATGCCTTATTCATATTTAATTTTGGCCGTTAACCACTTAATCGGGCTTTTGGGGTTTTCGGAGAACGTAAACATTTGTGTTGATTTAATAGAAGTGCGAAAAGTAAAATGTAGAAATCCTGAACAATAAAATGCAACTTTTGTTGTAGCCTAATATCTATGTATGTATGTATAATACATATAACATAATCACACTGGCACAACCAAGTAATTGTTCCGATAACCTTTTCGCATGCATTTTAGTCTGAGCAAGTTCTCAGCTTCATTCCGCTCTCATTCCGGCTATTAACAAGTCAGGTTTTTGACGCGCTTTAAGCAGTTCAGGTTTATACTCGTCCGCTCAGTGTTCGTTGCGATGCTCGAAACAATGCATATGCTCTGGGAGATTTTTTTCGGAGCTGTTATTTTATCAGTGTCGAACATAGTAGTGGCCGAGTACTGCGACAATGGTACCGGAGAGTGCAAAAGCCTAACCGACACCGATTGTCCCGTCATATTTTATAATCAACACTTGATCGGCGATAATATCAAATACTGCGATGAAGACAATTACATTGTTTGCTGCCCCATACCAATCAATTCGCAAAGGCAGGCCCCAGTGAGCAATAGCCGCAGATTCGAGAAAGGTAGTGTATATGAAACGTAGCTACTTTAAACGTTATTTTTAATTACAAATTTCTACGTAGAATGCAAACGATATAGCGAAGCACAAGGACCTTGCCCCACCAAAGCATTCATAGTGGGGGGACAAAAAGCGTTCGGAAAGGAATACCCATTTATGGCCCTAATTGGCACGCGCGATCCGAAGAAGCCAAATGTCAGATGGGATTGCGGCGGAACTTTAATTCATCCCAAGTTTATACTTACGGCGGCGCATTGCCTCGAGACGAGCGAGTATGTGCTTTTCAAATAGTCTTCTTTATAATACTTAAAACCTAAGTATTCCTACATAATTATAGACCGAAAAACGAGCGTTTGGATCCCAACAGTAGCTCACCAAAATTTGTTGTACGTCTGGGTGAAGTGGATTACAATAGCACGACTGATGAAGCTCAACCGGAAGACTTTGAAGTGGTCAATTATTTATTGCACCCCTCGTACAATGACGATGAAGAAGAGAGCCATCAGAACGACATCGCCCTGATCGAGCTGGACAGGAATGCGACATTCAATGAATTTATTGCGCCAGCCTGTCTGCCCTCCGGCCCTGGAAATGATCACTTTCAGTTGACTGCAGCTGGCTGGGGGTCCACCAAAGATGGGGGTCAGGCCTCATCACATCTACTTAAGGTCACTTTGGAGCGTTTCACTGACGAACAGTGCCGGCAGCGTATCGAGCAGAAAATAGACGACCGCACCCAATTCTGTGCCGGCTCAAGCACGAGGGAAGCAGATACGTGCAATGGGGACTCGGGCGGTCCGATCTTCGTGCAGCACCCGCTCTATGACTGTCTCAAGCAGGTGATTGGCGTGACTTCTTATGGACTGGTGTGCGGCACTCGCAACTTGCCAAGTGTATATACAAAGACTTACCTCTATATCGATTGGATCGAAAGGATTGTGTGGGGAGAAGAATAAGCTAACGGCCCTTTCTAGTCACTTAAATTACAGGAGGATAGCTGGATATTGGTCCAACATATTATATAAAGTATATTTCGTAGGCTAATAATAAAAACTTTGCTAAACACAAACCCTAAGGTGATCAAGTTGTGAGGGGAAGGTAAAATGGTTTATATTTAAAAAAGTTTAAATGCTTCTCTTTTGGGCAGAAGTTTAGATAATTGATATTGCACAAGCAATTTTCTTTTTAATATGTAAATATATTTAAGCAAGGAATCGGCCTGCAACGTTGGCCATAACAGAAAGGTTTACTAAACAAGTGAATACAATTTTTATTTCGAATAGCACCATTTTCATTCGTAAATACACGCCCGATATCATCATCTTGAGAAAGAAACGCTTGCATTGAATATTCTTTGGAGCTGCTTCTTCATCTTTTTAAACAGCTATTTTAGTATTGCCAAAATTACCAATTTAATTATACTATCGCATCATAAGTTATTAGTCAGCTTTCCACTTCCAGGACACACAATTTATTTCTCACAATTCCCTGCAGTACCAGACAGACAGATCTGTTCGCACACTCGCTGCATTTTCGTAGCTGTTTAATCAAATCCTTGCACCCTTTCTTGCTTCTGGGCGGAATATATACTTTCCTCCTCTTCAAGCGTGTTATTTGGGGGCCCCTAAGGGTGCTAGAATCTTTTGAGTGTAGTGGGAGAGAGTGGAGAAATGCAAACAATAGTGGATCTCTAATAATTAATTTTAGCTTTAATAACAATTTTAAAAAACAGTTGGCATAACAAGTAGATTTTAATAGATACATAGATACGTCTTTACTTATCATAGGATGTGAGTATGTGCTTGTGAATATAATCGATGATTGATTGCTCTTGGCTTTGTGCTTTGTGACTTAGAACTTAAACACAATAAAAAGCTAAGTGCTAGAGGACCCTGTAGAAGACCAGTGACAGCCATTAGTTGCATAATGATTGCTCGTGGTTGCTGGTTACAAAATATGTTTAAGACTAGGCATCGGGCTCAGCATTTATTCCTACACTCTGGTCGAGCGCCGGCGCTGTTGAATCTCCTTCTTCCTCACTTGCTGTTGCTTGTAGACGAACAAGGGACGGAAGACGATGGCGCGGCGTTTGCGCTTCTCACCCGTGCTCTCAGCATCGCGACGCGTCCTGGAGTAGGGACGGAACAGGTCGCTTTTGGCGGAGTCGCGTCGGTAGAGAGTGCTCAGGAAATCAAAGTAGGGCCGAGACCGCAGGCTGTCCGGATGTTGCAAAGGCGAGTTGTAATTAAACGAGTTCGGTGTCTCGATGTCCAGAAGCGTGTGCGGTACCTCGCCCTGAAACTGCTGGGGCACTGGGACTGGGCCGGGAGCGGGTGCGGGTGCGGGGACAGCAACTGTCGTCCAAATCAGCAGAGCCAATACCAAGGTGGAAAACTGCGGAAATAACAAAAGAGGCGGTGCATAAATACTAAAGTCAATAATAAACGACCGAGCACAACTCCAGCTATATCTACTAAATATATATATATTGTGTGTGTGTGTGTGTGAGTGGAAGGTGTGAATAGAACGTAAAGGCCGAAGCTTTCTGCAAATTGTTGGGGCTGTTTAGAACCTGTCTACATTTCTACAGTAGAAACTGGATAGTGTAGCTTATGCTTCGAATTAGCATATAATAATTAATTTAAATTAAATAACATCAGCAGAAAACAATCAAATAACCGCAATCAAATTTAATTTATAGTCACACGAGAAATATTCATGAGCATGTCTAGAATTTGGGAGGCGTTGTCGACCATGCTGGGAACGTTGGATGGCGATCTTATGAGTAGTAATTAGATGCCATTGCAAAGGCAGGAGTGCACTCTATGGGCACTCGCTTGCACTAATATATGCACTCTACAGTTTTCACAAACTATGCATACAAATGAACAATACGAGTATGCATGATTTAGTAGTGGACTCTGCTTAGTATGCGCTACATAGTCGTGCTGTTATTATTTCTTATGTAATTTGCAAAAAGACTTTCAAGACCTTTTACTTTTCATATCAGGCAACATTAAACATTTGAATACGAAACCTAATGAGATGCAAAATTGTTCAAACTTCCTCGAAGAGAACACAAATTTATAGTCAAATGCCTGCTCAGAATTCTTTGTGGTTCCTACTCGTATGTCTCATCACACACACCTCAGTATTAGTAAGACGGAAAATATTCTGTATTCGATTTTGTGGTATTCTCACACATCGAAAAATATATAATGTGTAGGTATCAATATTTGGCTCATTATGTAAATTTATAGTTTTCGGATGGGTGCTGTGACCACATAATATATAATTATGCCATGCAGCAAAAAATGGATTTCAATGAATTATTGATGCAGCGAAATTCATAAGAAACGACTACATTTCTGTAACCGGTTGCTTTTGTGGCTCAGGGCTAACACTCTTCGAGTAGAAATATCAAGGAGAAGACGAAACCTGTGCTGGGTCAAAAAAAAAAAACACAAAAATAAAGCAGAGATGTGGACAGGATTTCATGACTGCAAATGCAATTGAATGGGGTTGGGAAGGGGCATGAGGAATGAGGAATGAGGAATGGGAAACGGCCAAAAGGTCGTGTTAAGAGAAGATGAGCAATTTTAATTTTACGAGCTTAGCTCACACTTCCTTATGAATGCCATTTTCGAAATAGCCATAAAAAGAATTTTGAACAAGTTTCAAAAATACAAAAAAAATATATAAATATATATATATGTATGTGTATATATAGTAGATACATATAATTTGCCCAAGAAGAAGAATAATTTAATTTAATTATGCCTTTGGCCTTGTCAGAAAATCAGAAAATCAGAGTACGCTGCTATGGAGACGACGAAGCCACCGTTAGCCTTTGTTTTTATTTAATGGCGTTTATTTATTTATTTCGTTGATTGCGGATTTTGATTTCAATTCAAGTTATTCCAAAAATGTTAATGAAGTAAACACGTTTTATTTTTAGCAGCCACACACACACACACATGGGACATGCAAAATTTGATTTTAACTGTTCATCTCGAATAATTACTATTTTGAGAAAACAAAGTGGAAATCCGATACTCACTTGCCATGTTACTGAAGACATATTTCTCTTGCTCTTCTTGGTTTTATTCTTAAGTGTGTTTTATGTGTTGTTGCTAATACAAGTATTATTGCCTTCGACACTTTGAAAGAGGGGCTATCCTGTCGATTGTTTGCTCACTGTTTTTATTTATTCAAATTGTAATTCGAAAATTATTCCAATTGCTGTGCACACGCGAGATGCCGAATCGCAACTGTGCTGCGCCACTGATTGAGATGTTGTTTTTAAACAAATAAATCCAATATATGTAAATGTTTTGCACACGCTGACTTTAATCTGACGCTCATTAACGTCTGCGTTATCAATCTAAAGTTCACACCTCTACATATAAGTATTGATATTAATATTAATATTTATTAATAAGTATGATGGGCTTTGTTTTTGAGTTGTCGTAATCCGGCTAAAGCTCCTTGTAATAAGTATTGCTCTATATGTTTATTGTATATTGTGGGTTGTTATCGCCACAGCGACTGTTACAGACTGTTCAGAATTTTAGTGACAAATTCACTTTTATATGGCCAGGCAGGCTGCTGCCGTGACGTTTCAGATGGAACTGAACGGGTTTTGGTTATGGTTATGGCTTTAGCATGACGATGTCGCGGACAGCACACACACACACAGAAAGACACACACACACAACTCCTAGGCAACAATATTTGGCACAAAGTGGGGGCAGGTTCGCCGATTTATGACTGTGGCCTGCACTTTTGCGCACTCGTAGAGTGTCTTGTAATTAGCACCTGTGGGCATTGAGGCCCATTGAGTCAAACAAAGAGGAAGCCAACATTTCTATTTCGTCATTCCATTTGATGATGATGAAATGTTTTCATTTCTAATTAAATTTCTAATTGAATTTTTTCCATGACGCACGCGCCAAATCAAAGCTACTAAAATTTATTAATCGCCTGATAAGGTTCGCTATATTGGGCTTATTCTGGACATAATCAGAATAAACAATGACAACAACGACAGGATAAAGTCAACACGCAACACGCTCCGCTCCGACTTGCTTAGCGCTGCTTAGCGAATACGGAAGCCGGCGCTGTGGCTTTTTAGAGGCAATAACGGCGCCAATTTGAAAACAGTTCCTCTGTAAGCCAGACACTCTTGTTATTGGCAATAGCAATAGCCTCTTTGTCACAAAAGCTGAATGAGAGCACATTTGAATATGAATGGCCAGATGAACAAACCCGAGCTAGTTTATGCTTAAATTATGCAAACGCTTCGTTTATGACGTTAACGCGTCTCTCGGAAAATTGTCAACACCTCGTTTAGTGTTCAATACACACCACAAACAATACGAAATTGGCTTTCATGCTTGGCAAGCCTGAAGGTTAATTCGGGTACAACAAAAACCAACTATTGGCACAACAATGGACAGCATGTTTGTTAAATTCTCAAAGCACTGGACCACCGCATAGCACACAAATAATTATATACATACTTTACTATACACACAGCAATCAATGAAATATCAAATACGAGTTGGACACCAAACAGGATGTTTGTTTGTTCTGTTCTGTTTTTTGTTTGTTTTTGTTTTTGTTTTATCACCATTTTTGTTTCGTGCATAATTGATGTCGTTCGGAGACTCGTATTGATAGTCAATACTCTACTTGTATTTGTTTGCTTTTTAATCTGCTTTTTGTTTTCAATTTCCAGCCGAGGCACAGTCATAGATAGCAGCCCGGCAGACGGGTCTATGGGGGGTCTATGGGGGTCTATGGGGGCATATGGGGGGGGGATGCGGCGATCAACCGGTTGGCTTCACAGACATGCTCTCTCAAGTGAACCTATTTAAAAAAGGTGATTTATTGAGTTGGACATATTTGTCAACACCATGCCATACCAAGCGCAATTTGTGGTAAGTTGTTTGGTATTTTAAGCAGTCATCTATTTGTTCAATAAATAGAATTTAATTGATTTTGGTTGGAAGCCGGTTTCAAAAGCAAACGTTTCGTGCGCGCCATTCTCAAATGTCAGATGGTAGCCACAAGAGGCTTTCAATTGTTGTTTTGGAATGCTAATAAACACATTTACAATTCAATTCATGCCTCAGGGTTCCCTAACCCAACTGTGCGAGTATTAAGGTTTTTAAATAATTTCAGATTCTACTTATTTTCATTTCTGAGCATAATTTTGACTTAAACTTTTAGTCTTTTCCAATATATTTCCTATAAAGCAGAGATATTATCCTAAAACTCTGAACCATAGAACAGTTAACTAAAATTATTATTATTATTAGCAATAGCTTGTAGTTGACAGAGAAATGGCAGTGGTCCCAACGATGAAATGTTTAGATCGGATTAAGACTTTTTATTCGGCTTGAAGCTAGCTGCAACGTTTCTTCATGTTATCCATGAGAGAACTAATTTAAGATTCCATGTTGTTGATAAAGGAATATAATAGATATCGAACATTTTCGTAGCTGGGAAATGTTTCTTCTTCAATCTTAATTATTATAAGAATTTCTCTATTATAAATATCTGCCTCTGAAGTTAAAAAGCCAAGGAAAGTCTGGCTTAGTTTCTGAAATGCAATCTAAATCTATTATCTATTATCCTAAAATTCTGAACCATAGAACAGTTAACTAAAATTATTATTATTATTATTATTATTATTATTATTATTAGCAATAGCTTGTAGTTGATAGAGAAATGGCAGTGGTCCCAAAGATGAAATGTTTAGATCGGATTAAGACTTTTTATTCGGCTTGAAGCTAGCTGCAACGTTTCTTCATGTTATCCATGAGAGAATTAATTTAAGATTCCATGTTGTTGATAAAGGAATACAAGTATAATAGATATAGGACATTTTCGTAGCTGGGAAATGTTTCTTCTTCAATCTTAATTATTATAAGAATTCCTCTATTATAAATATCTGCCTCTGAAGTTAAAAAGCCAAGGAAAGTCTGGCTTAGTTTCTGAAATGCAATCTAAATCTATTATCTATTATCCTAAAATTCTGAACCATAGAACAGTTAACTAAAATTATTATTATTATTATTATTATTATTATTATTATTATTATTATTATTATTAGCAATAGCTTGTAGTTGATAGAGAAATGGCAGTGGTCCCAAAGATGAAATGTTTAGATCGGATTAAGATTTTTTATTCGGCTTGAAGCTAGCCGCAACGTTTCTTCATGTTATCCATGAGAGAATTAATTTAAGATTCCATGTTGTTGATAAAGAAATACAAGTATAATAGATATAGGACATTTTCGTAGCTGGGAAATGTTTCTTCTTAAATTTTAATTATTATAAGAATTCCTCTATTATAAATATCTGCCTCTGAAGTTAAAAAGCCAAGGAAAGTCTGGCTTAGTTTCTGAAATGCAATCTTCAAAATAGACACATTGAGATGAAGAAGATGTGAACTAATAATGCCGTTGCATTTGGTTGATAATTGGAAAGAGCCAATTAACGACTACTCATTGCATTTCTCTGAACTGCGACCCAAAGCATCCGCTGGCGGCTCTGAGTCGGTTCGTTCTAATTGATACGGGTGCGAAAGTGTGATCTTCCGCGAAAGACCGTAAAGGTGCTAAACAGTTCGGTTTGGGACTGGCACCGCCCGCTACACATTTCCGTTGGTTAAAGTTAAATGATTCATGGCCCGACAATATCGCACGTTAAACACTGGAAGAGGGGCGCGATGCCCGGCCAGTGTTGGCTTAGCCAATCAAGTCCAAATGATTCCAATGCAATACCCAATCAAATGCTATGTGAAATTTTAATGATCCTTAACGCGTGCGCAGTTTGGCCGTGTTTGCTATTTTACTTACTATTTCGATATTTGTTTTAGATGTGCGTCAAATGTTTGATTAACACATTGATGGCGCACGTCATTATAATATTTCCTACAGATGTACTTCGACTCTATCATGAAGCTTGCGAGAGACCATATATATTTCTTATATCGCTATTCATTTTCAAATCCGTCTTTGTTGTTAAATATTTTATCATAGTAGAGTATACGAACACCTGTGTGAACTAATAAAGTATATCATAACGGAAAGTTCAGGCAAATGTGTTGATTTTTCTTTAATTAATACTACTTAAGTTGCTTGCAAAAAATTCGATATCGTGATAATGGAATTTTTTCACTCTAAATATATTAATTAGGTGGCTTAGTGTGTCTCGGCGTTTAAAGTTTCAGGTGCGTCTTGAAGCTATGCTATTTAAGCACATTTCAGTGACCTAGTCTGAGATCAAGGACTGCCATTGACCTAGTGTAGTGCGGTCGCAGATTGACAAAATCATGGCTCAATTCGACGTTCCAATGCCAACAAGGCAAGTGCAGCGAATCGCATTGCAATTGAATGAGCGCCAGCATCGCCGACTATTCAGGCGTAACGTAGGCCTGCGCACCAGAGCCATTAGCTAATAGCCATTTGCTTATACCTCAATGTGTTTGCTCCGCAATAAAATGGCCATTTGCGACTTGTGCTCGACCCAGTTAGACACTGCTGTGTCTTTAAACGATAATAAACGGCTGACAGAGCCAAGTTCGATTACATTTCGTATTCGTGGCTAACACCCAGTTGGCCATTTCAGTCAGGCAGATGGTCAAAATGTTATATTTCAACGTTTGCGTTAGCGGTTAATAATTTCAAATTTACGGCTGCGCGCGCAACTTGTCTATAAAACAATATGTGGCAACGCCAACGGTGTCATAGCTAAGAGCTATTGCCTGTTGCACTGCCATTGCGCTGGTCACCCTGCTTAACCGCTAAATGCAAATCACAGTTAAATATTTAAATTAAATCAGCTGTTCGGCAAATCACTTTTTGTTTCAAATTAAAGCATATTTGCGCGATTTATGTTTTACCATACATATATTCTATTGAATTAATACAAAATATGAAGACTTCTCGATGTAAGAGCGGAAGGTCAGCAAAGCGCTTACAACGAAATGGATGCAATTGTAATTGTTCTTCCCCGCTCTTTTTTATAACGAAAGTTTCACGAAAAGAAAGAAGATATGTGCATATGTACATAACTACATACATACATATGTACATATGTATGTTTAAATATTTGGGAATTGTTGAAGGTATCAAAAACAAATAAGCCCATTTTCCACAAAAAGTAAAGTTTATGTTTTCAAACTATTTTACACATTACAGACTTAAAAAAAGCGCATGCATTCATTAGCTTGCTTTCCAAAAAGACGATCAATTTGAAGAACAATTGTAGATACACACATCTAAATTATATGATGAATCTATTATATGTACAAGTGCGTTCCAAAGTAAACCGGACTTTTTGAATCTAGCGCCCCTGGTGGCGCTATCTATATATCGACTGGTGCGCTAGAATCTGCTATCTTTATCGATTGTCCAGTGGGAATTTCATGACATTTCATCGATTGGAAGTGAAGTTATTGAGTTTTAAGTGTTATCGGTGCGTACATTTTGTTTTAAAATTGGTAAAACTTTCACCGAAACGTTACAATTGATGGAACAATTTTATGGCGATCATTGCCTATCCCGTACCAGAGTGCACGAGTGGTTTCAACGTTTTCAAAGTGGTCGTGAGGACATAAATGACGACCAACATGTGGGCCAATCAAATTTCGTTATCACCGAAAATTCAATCGAAACTGTGCGTGAATTCATCAAAAATCAGCCGAAATCATCATTGAAATTGATGGAAATGGAATTGATCATCTCCAAATCATCGACTTATCGCATTTTGACCGAACATTTGGGCTTACAAAAGGTTTGTTCCGCACAAATTAACTGACGACCAAAAATTGCTCAGACGATCGACAATTGTGACCGATTATTTGACCAAAAATCACATTTTAACCATTAAGCACTCGCCGTATTCACCTGATATGGCACCGAGCGACTTCTACCTTTTCGGAAAAGCGCATTTGCCCATGAAAGGAAAGCGTTATGCAGACGTAGAGGCCATTCAAAAGGATTACACCGGCATACTGTCGGCCATACCGGCCAACGAGCTAAAACACTCGTTCGACATGCTTTTGGATCGTGCAAAGGGCTGTATTGAAGCAGAAGGAGACTATTTTGAATAAAATAAATTAGTTTTGCCGAAAAAATTAAAATTTTGATTAAATAATGCACGATGCATTTACGCATATGATCAATGAAAAAACTTCAACAAATCCAACTGAGATCCATTTTAAAGCGAAATAGGGGCAACAGCCCCCTGCCCCCTGCCCCCTCTGCCTACACCCTTGACTTTGACAACGATTGTAATTCTTAGCGTAGATATAACTTCGCTTTTCTTAGCGAAAAAACTTTAAGGTTCAGAAACTCGAAGTACAAAACCAAAAATAACTTAATTCTTAGGTCATTTTGGAACAAAATTTGAACGCAACAGATTTAACAAATGTAACATCCAGACGGGTTTCTGGTTCTACGAATGACAAAATCTAAATTTAGCTATCAACAATACCGGCTACACCAATTAACATAAAAAGGAGCATCTAACTAATATAACATTGAACATTGAACAGATGACTGCAGCTGCGAAACCTTACTGAGATGCGAAATCAATTTTTTTTGCACACCAGAGCTAGCAACCTAATGATTCCGTTCATTCTCTATTATCATATTTATTAAAATAGACAATAATTTTAAAGACATTTTAATCTTTTGCGCACCATACAAAATCGCGTTGTTCGCATTTCAAAGAGTAACTGAAAGCTTTTCAAAATCGAAAATTTCCCGTTTTTATGCTCTATAGACATGTTACATGGTATATTTTAACAGCGGGGGCACGACGACTTAACATCATTGATCGATTAACAGTGACTGGGAACTGGGAAATTCACATTGACAAGCTAAGAGAGCAGACCTAAGAGATGTGTTTGGTATATCGTAGATTGTTTGAGTTAATTTCGCTGTGCCCCTGCCCTGCCGGCTTCGAATAGCAGTGCCCACTGTGCCACTGCTCAGCGTTGTTACAAAAATTGTTAAAATTTCGTTTTGGTTATTTTTAAATGTTTAAAAAGCATTCAAATTGAATATAGTGTTGGTGCGTGCGCAATTTCGTGGAATCATCGTGCGGTTTCTTATGCTGATTAAATTGTGGCATTTTGCACAACAAATTTTAATTTAAATAGGAAAAGAATACATACATACTTACATATGTATGTACATACATACATACATAAATACAGAAACATTGATCGCAAGTCGCAACTGCTTTGAGTGTGTATGCAAGTCTAAATTGCGTGTGTGTGTGTGTGTGTACGAGTAAATTGGTGGTTGTTTTTTCTTGACAAATATAAAACACATTTTTTTAATATTTAACTTAAATTTTGCACACAGCAGTGCAAAAGCAAATGATAAGGCTAGATATAAATGTATGTATAAAAAAAATACATATGTACACATGCGTGCATACATGCATGTGTATGTTGTATGCATGTACATACATATTTATGTATGTGTGTGTGATGCGTTAAGCCTGAATAGGAACTATGTATGTAGAACGGACTTGGCTGCAACGAAAGCACATACAAATATACAAAATATGTACATATGTATGTATACAGAGCAACATTGTGCTATCTGTGTGAGGTGTGTGTGTGTACATGTGTAACTTCGTTCCCAGTAGGATTTAGTTGCATAAAAATTGTATTTGTAGCAGAGAAACGAAGGCAGAATATGTACTTATGTACATACATACATATATCAAAAAATGTAAAACTTATCAAAATATTAGAATTCACTAGTTCATAAGAAAGAGCTATAGTCACTTTTGACAGCAAATATTAGCAAGAGGCAGACAGACGGTTGGTAACTGCTTTCCGCAACGTTTTACTGAATTGTGTTTGTGCCGTAGTTAGCGCATTCTGCTTTTTTATTTTCGCTGCTTGCTTCATTCGCCGTTTGTTGCTGTTGTTATTGTTATATTATTGTTGCTTTCGCAGCGATTAGAATTAATTGACAAATGGCAAAAAAATGTTGCTGTTTTTTTCACCCACCTTTTGCAAAGAAATAACAGCAGTGGGCGAGAAAATACATACATATGTATCTCTTGATCGCAGAGAGAGCAATTCCTTCATTTACGCTTTGTCCTGCTCTCCCATGCTAAACATCAATAGGTGTACATACATATGTACATATAGAGTAACAGGACTCAAGAAGCAACGCAAAGGAGACACAGCAAAATTGAGTGAATGTGAAATATGGCAACAATAATTCACAACTTAACTTAGTACGGGACTGATCATTGGACGGAGAAGTTCGTTATGTGTGAACTATGTATATGTATGTATGTATGTAGAAATTTCTAAATGTCTGAAGCTTTATCATAGTTCAATGACCGCGGCCGTTGCCGACGTCTAAGCAGCAGCCACAACAACAACAACCAAAGACATATTACCTAAGCACGCCTACTTGGCGTCGTCTAACAGTGTCGCTGTGAAGGCGTGCGTGTGTGTTTGTGTGAGTGCGAGTTCTACATAGAAACAGCATAGCATAGGGCCAAGATTCACTTAACATCTTTAGCAGAAGAGAGAGGCGCGCGCGTTGTTATCAGAATAGTGGCAACAAGCCAACGATACATGTTAACCCGCTGTAAAAGACGCCAATGTTGTCATGTTGCGTTGCTACTGACCTTGAGGCACAATTTACAATTTCGATTAAAATAATTAGTGTTTGGCCATGACCTCGACAATTTTTGTGCAAAAGTTTCGTAAATAAACGTACATACGAGTATATGTGTACATATGCCACATCACAAGACACCCTACGATTAACCTATTATTAACCCGTGTGCCTAAAACAACCATTCAACCTACAGCCGACTATAAGTTCATCGAGAAACGGTATAAATCTGTGTATACAGAAACTGTTCATGTCGTTGTGAAGTTTTACTGTCTGCCTGTATAAGAACCGTATTTATGTCACAAAATAACAAAAATCGGAAATGAGCCCTTTCAAAAGTGCTAGTGATGGGAGCCCCTGCAATTATGAGAACATTCATGTCATCGGCACAGGTGAGTGAAAATGCCAGCACATGTGTATGTATAGTTTATGTATATTTGTATGTCTATATACTGGATGGGCATTTACCTCGCGTTGCCAGAGTCATCCCTTCCCCACCTCGCTGTCATTCCCATTGATAATTGGGTCTATAGATTTTTTGAGCACGTTTCCTTTGCATACTTTTAGGTTTAGTTTGGGATCCACGTGGTTCCTTATTATTTCACGCAATTAAATGGCTCGAGAAGTACTTCAAAAACGCCTACTCAAGTCCAATTTTGGGACAGACAACAATCAATTCAAATTCAAATTGCGTCACTCAGCCTACTGGATTTAAAAAATGTTGAAGATCATTGTCATTTCTGGTTCTCGTTTGTTGTTGCTTCAGTTGTTAACTCGCTGTGCCGAACATGGAATGGACAGTAGTGGGTTAAGGTTACAGTCATTGCGAAATAAATTGCAAATATACATATGTATATGTATGTATGTGTAGTATACAAGTATATGTGTTAATCATTGTTCCCACTACAGTTACAACTTCCCTATGCCTATTAATATACATATACTTATACTATATATGTTTTGAGTTGGTTTGCTATATGCCTATAGAGCGGCCCCTTGGATACGAGGCCCATGGCCAAGACGAACGAGTTGTCTTAACTTGTAACAGACATTGAAAAGTATTTATACATATGTAGATACATACATAGTATATATGTACATATGTACATACATACGAGTATATGTGTGTTTTGTTTTTTTTTTTTTTTTGCTTTTGCGCATTCATTCAATTATTGGCTCTTGCTTTTGTTGCTGTGATTTGTGCAAAAATTTGACAAAATAAAGAGAAACCGACAAAACAAGTAGCTATGTATGTGTATTTAGATGTATGTATGTATATACATATATAGCTACAGCTGAAATAGTCAAGTTGTTTCGTAGCAGCTTTTGCGCTATGGCCAAAACCTGGCCTTGTACTTGACCGTACAGCTTGGTTCATGCGCGTTTCAAGTTGGGTTTACGTTTCAAGTCCTCCTGGTCCATCAGCTCTCCGTCTAGTCAAATGCCGGACACCCTCCCCGCCCCCATTTAGGCGATGCAGACGTGGCCGAAGAAGTGCCGCTGTCACCCGAAATAGCCGTGGTCCGTACAATGTGTGTGTACACATGCACATACAAGTATATACTCGAATATATACATATGTATATGTGTGTGTGTGTGTGTGGATGTACAGGTGCTTGTGCCTCTGTCTGGGGGTGATAAATTTCCGGTGACGGTGACAGAATTCGAATTTTTTCCTTCACATTAGAATATATTTTGTGTGATCTGCTGGGTATGGCTGTTTCTAGTAGCAGTTGTTGTCGTCATAACTGGAATGATGGAATACATACATACATATGTACGAGTATGTATGGATATGTAGATATGTGTGCACGTATGTTTGTAGAGTGCCCGAATCAGCCGGTGCTTATCGAAGCTGCTGACAAACAGCTGACGACGTGTTTTGAATTCTCGTTTTATTGTATTCGTACGTACATACATATGTATATTTCTACGAACATACATATATACGTATGTACATACATATATGCGAGCGCTCTCGCTTGCCAAAATTCACTTGTTCTTATCTTCTTGCTGTTTTCTATTCCCACTCGTGTTTGCACAGTTTGATTAACATTTCTTTTCAAATCATTTCATTTTATTTGAATTTCTTTGCACACTCGCCAATCTCAATGCTCGACGAGTGTGGTCGTTTGATGGGGGGAGGGGGAAGGTGATGGGGTGATGGTCGTGGTGGGGTGGGGAAGGGGGGAATATATGATGATAAAATTGGTGACCTATTTTCGATTTTCATTCTAATGCTTATATGAATTTATATTTATGTGTATATGTACATACATACATATGTAAATTATTACGCGAAAATTGTTTAATGTAGTGTCCATTTAAATATGTATGTATGTATATGTATGTATGTACATATTTTCCTAATGTATGAAATGAAATGATGGTAGAGGGCTAAAATTTAAAAATTTACTTTTCAGGCGCCTATGGCACCGTTTATAAAGCACGCGATAACACTAACGGCAGAATCGTGGCCATCAAGAAGGTGCGCATTGCGCTAACTGAGAATGGAGTTCCGATGTCAACACTGAGAGAAATATCGTTGTTGAAGCAGCTAAATGCCTGCGACCACTCGAACATTGTCAAGTGAGTAATTGAAACAAAGCAGACGACTTATTAGCAGATGGCGCCCCACAACTTTAGAAGTTAACGTTCAGAGACCTTCCCGCATGTGTACGTACATACATATGTATGTATGCATGATGTATGTATGTGTGTATGGGGTTTTGACAGTTCGTTAGTTGTTGGCGTCAAACAGATTACAGTTATGTACATTAGCAACCATAGCAATGATTTGTGTGTTTCATTTTTTGCTCACAACTTAAGTGGGCGCACACAAGCTTACTATCTGCTACTGTATAGTATATACATACGAACATACATACACACATACATACAAGTGTATGTACTTATGTACATAAATTGGTATGTTGGTTTGTCTGTATGAATGTCTGTATATTGTCTGGGTATCTTTTTTTCGCCGCTTCACTTCGCTGCTCGCGTGCACTTTGCTCGCCGGCAATGCCCAACTGTCGAGGCTGAGACGTCGACTGCACAAAGCCACAAGTGGCAACAAAGTTGCGCTGCCGCCCCCCACATGCACACTCACATACAATTGTAAGTGAACCCACACTCGTGGTGCATGGCACTAAAAATATGACGGCAAACGTCAAACAAAGCGGCGCCAAGCTCTGCTGATAACGCCGTCGCCGCTGCCGTCACCGTCGCTGTTGACGCAGTTTTTTCCAATTCATTTGAATTAGTCAGAGTAGATACATATGTATATATGTGTATGTTTGTACATATGTACATACACTTGTAGGTATGTAAACCTCAGTTCGGATATGCAATGTAAAGAGATGTTAATATTGCCGTTAAAAATGTTTTTGAAAAACCGTTAACATACGCCAGCTGTGAGTAGCGTCTATGTGCAACAAGTAAAATCTTTGCAACACTCCTTATGGTATTGCTTGCGCCTCCATGCGGCCAACTGGAACATTCAAAACCAACTCGATTACTACTCACTCATGCGCTCATTTTACGATATTACGATCAAGAGAGTGAATGTGTGTGAGAGGAAATGTGAATACCGTAATTGAAAGAGCTAATATTGAAGAGAAATAACAGGCAGAACGTTAACAGAGCCGCATCCAACAATTTAAAATGTAACGCATTTAAGGCATGAAATTCAAATAAAAAATATAAATTGCGAAGTGGTGATTTTTATGTTCTGCTGGTGCAGATATTTGTTAATTTGACAATATACCAGTTTTAAAACTATTTTCAAACTCAACTCAACGCGAAAAACGTAGTAAATTATTTGTACCTATTTAGCTTGCGCAGCACAATGCTCATTAACATTCTGTTCATATGGATGCTCTTAAGCCATTTACGGTATTCACTCAAACTTGTTCTGTTGCTCACTCTCTTGAACACAATATCGTAATAATACTCATACACAAAGAAGCGAATGCGATAAAGAGAATGAGTGGATTGGATCATTTGAGTGCACTAATAGTACGAAAAATGGCCACAGAATGGCGACTGGCGCTATAGTCACGTATACATGCTGGCACCAACGCCGTAGAAGAGCTTTGTTCAAGCACGTTGCGTTCGAACTCCTACATACATATCTCCATCATGTAAGTTTGACTCAGTTTTGGCTTTTCCCCTTTTCAGACTGTTCGAAGTATGCCAGTTTTTGGAGCGCGATGGCAAATTGATGATTTTGCTTGTGTTCGAGTATCTGGAACAAGATCTGTCGGACTATATAGAAAATCTGCCCAAATCAGGTGTCTCACGTACAACCATACAGCGATTTTCGCGTGAGCTGCTCACCGGCGTCGACTTCCTGCACTCCCATCGCATCATTCACCGCGATTTGAAGCCCCAAAACCTCCTCATCTCTTCGCAGGGACACCTGAAAATCGCTGACTTTGGATTGGCAAAGACCTACGATTCGGAAATGAAACTGACTTCGGTTGTCGTTACGCTATGGTATCGAGCACCCGAGGTCCTGTTGGCCCAACCCTACAACAGCTCCGTAGATATTTGGAGTGCTGCCTGCATTATGGCAGAACTCTTCATGCGCAAGGCCCTGTTTCCGGGCACATCGGACAAGAATCAATTGGATCGCATATTTGAGTGAGTCTGCAGGACTGTGACTTTATTTAACTTTCTTAATAACTTCTCATTCCATATGCAGATTAACTGGTCGTCCAGGTGTCGATCAATGGCCCAAAACCATTTCAGTTTCACGCGAATACTTTCCCATGCGCCATCCGAAGCGGCCCCGAGACTTTTGTCCCACGTTGTGCGAGTATGCGGATGATTTGTTAAGTGTATGTATTCCGATAAAATTCTTCAATTTCCCCAACACACTTGTTAATATTCGTTCTGTGTTTATGTATTTTATAGCAAATGCTTTCGTACGACATACGCCTTCGTCCTTCTGCTTTGGCCTGTCTAGAGCATGAATATTTCCAACAGGAGCCGCTTTAGCGAACGATAAGATTTCGGAATCCGGTTGATCAAGCGCAGAATGTGTTCTTGTTATATGTTCCTTTAGGCTGCTTTTCAGGGCTCTGGCAGGAGTTGGCCCGCCATTTGAGAAATTCAGACATATATGTATGTGTGTAACTCAGCCTGTATAGTTGTAAGTCATTCAGTTCAAATCAAAACTCGGGGATTGCAGTCCCATTTCAAATGTGATACACAAAGTCCAGGTCTAACTTAGAGCGATATACTATACAATACATACATACTACTTATTTTCAAAATTGCTCTGTTCGAAACGTTTATACATACATACTTACACCTAACAAGATCTTGTTTGTAGTAATAAGTGAAAACCCATATTCTATAATTAATACAAAGATGCGAAAATATATACATATATATAGTGCTATTTCCTTATGTAACATTTGTTTTTAACCAATAATGAGGAAGTGAAGGGTTTTTTTAAAAAAAAACTGACATTTCTGACTCTAAAAATGTATATTTGCTGTTGGCCCGTTTTGAACGAAATCTGTTGCCACAGAGTCGATCAGACACAAGAAAAAAATGCAGCATGCACAACTTTTAATTGTTTATGTAGGAGATTGTTGTCAGATTGTTGAGGCACGCTATTCTACGTGCAATGTCTTCCTGGCAAGGATTATCCTATGTGGTGAAACGGCGTCGATCGGGTGCTTCTCCTTTGCAACAAACAGACAAGTGGGTCTGTGGTCATATTAGCACCTTTCTGCACAAAATATTCGCTTGTGCGACCAAACCAAGACCACCCGCTGGACGAGATCGGGTTCTCCCTAGCCGGCAATTGCTGAGGCAGCTGGCTGTAGCCCCAATGACGAAAGCTGACTGCTTTAAGTTGGCTCTACCTGTTATTTTCGTACATTGTTCTGACTCCCTGGCCATTGTCACAGGGTGTTGCATGGGGAGAGAAGGACGGCACTAATATAGGTTAGGTTGTTGTTAGTGTAGTAGTGAGTAGCCGGCGAGTATACCGCGGCGAAATCACAACGAGACATTTTTATAATACTATGCTCATTTTATTGTTTACATATTTACATCATTTCAATTGTTATTGATACACTTAATTAGAGTGCTTTTTGCACCTAACGGACAACTCTTTTATCCGTACACTCCGCGGCGGACGCTTTCTGAAACATTCGATCGGTGTAAGTATCCTCTTAAGCGGACACTCCCCTTGGGCGTACAAAAATTGGCCGAACGTGAGTGTCCGGCCAAGAGAGTTTTCACTGTATATGCGCTTCATTGTTATGCGTCACAATACATGTATGTATATGTATGTATGTATGAGCTGCTGAGCAGCCAAAGTTATTCGTTTTTAAACGATTATTCATTCTATTTGAATATAACGTACAGCTGTTAAGAACATAACATAACTGGCAGGTGTTGTAAGATTCCATAAAAAATATAGGGAATTTTGCCAACATGCATATTGCCATCCCGCTTGCACGAACAGCTGTTCGAGGCTTACAGTTTTGGAGGCGTTGTACGGAGGTTGTCGCGTCTTGTTTGTTTTAGTTAAAGAAAGTCGCTAACGATGTACTAGTTGGCTAAGAAGCAACATGGGTCTAGGGGACAATACTTCCTCGTCATCGAGCAGTGATGAAGGCGAGCGCGAGACGAGGCACCACAGCCGTGCAGGCGGGGGTCGCGGTGCACGCAAATCTCAGGCCATTCTGCCCAGGTAAGCCATTACATAGGTATGTACATACATATGTATGCATATATACATATGTACATATGTATGTATTTATGTACTTTGACTTCGCCAGCTTGTACTCAGCGAGCAATTGCAATTAAATGAGTGATAACACAACTATTTATCTCTTCCCCCCTCTTCCTCGTGGACTTCAGACCGTCGGCTTCCTCGGGCGGTTGGCTCTGCTTTCTAATGCCGCTGGCATTCGCGACGCGTTATCTTCACACCCCGCCCTGCGACGCCACAGCCGATCTGCACAAGCTGCTCACCGTGGCAGCGACTGGGATTTGCGTGGAGACGCTCTGCTTCTTCGTCTATATGTTTGTGGATACAGGGATCCTGATCAAGTGCCTGATCAGTCTGCTGCCAGGCGCCATTACGAGCGTTATCTATGTTGTGGCGCTGGACACGTCCTGGGCATACGCACTGGCTGCCGGCTTCCTAATCACTGTGCTCTATCAGCATTGCTATATTTGGTAATTTGAATTGATATTTTATTTTAATGCGCTCCTAATTGGAATGATAAATCCGATGCATCAGTGTGCTTCGCGCCCTGCCATACACCTTTTCCTTCGGGGAGGCGGCCGTGCTGGTCCAAGGACTCGTGCTATTTGTGTTGAACGCCACTTACCGGTTGTACGAGCTGCTCGTCCTGGAAACCAAGCCTCTCAGCGATTTTGACCAGCTGAACGCTATAATGCTAGTAAGTCAAGCTTGCTTGGGCTCCTTAAGGAATCTTCTGCTTATACTCTGTTTTCTTTTCGTAGAATGCCCTTATTTCTCTGCTTATCTTCTGCGTGCTGCTGGCCGTTGTGCGACCTCTGCGGAAACCTGTGCCCTTTTATTTATCGCTCGCAGTGCTCGCCGTTGTCGTCACCTGCACTCCAGTAACCAAACCGTTGCCATTGATAGCGCTTCTCAACTTCATTTTCAGAGAACAGAAGCGGGTGAGTAATGAGGGCGAAGTATTGCCTGATTATGAATTCGTTAATCTTGTTCCTCCTGTAGCTCAACATCCTAGTCTTTTACTTCACCCTGGTTGGCTTGACTGCCGCCACTGTGGGCTGGCAACTGCGCAATTCGAGACGTGCCAGCACCCGAGTGCGCAAGATATTCCATCTGCTGATCGATCTGGTCTTTATTCCGGGAATTGTCTACCAGTGTGCTCTGCTCTATATATCAACGGGCATCGCATTAGCAGTTTTCACTGTGCTTGAGCTCTTTCGTCTGCTGGAGGTGCCACCGTTTGCTGCCAGACTCAAGGACGCCTTCAACTCGTTCAAGGACGAGAAAGATGCGGGCCGACTAGCCCTTACACCCTTCTGTTTGCTCATTGGCTGCTCTCTGCCCATATGGCTAACACCGTGTCCCTGTGACGCCGTCGCTGCTGGCAATACACTGGCCCTATTATCGGGCATCTTGGCCGTTGGCGTGGGCGATACCGCAGCCAGTGTTGTGGGCTCCAAGCTGGGACGCATCAAGTGGGGCAGTGCGTGTTCCTTAATTATTTCCGAAGTATGTTCTTGTTGTTAACGTTTCACTGTTGCAGAATCCAATCGCTCGGTGGAGGGTACTATTGCATTTGTGGTATCTGTGCTTCTGGCCACGTTGTTGCTTCAGCTGACTGGTTTCTTGCCAATGACGCAGGCGAAATGGTTTGCGACTGTTTTCGCTGCTCTAAATACGGGGCTGGTTGAAGCGTTCACCGATCAGGTGGACAACCTTGTGCTGCCCCTCATATTCTATATACTTGTGGGGCTCGCCTAAGTCTGAATTTATTTTGTATATAGTGTATGTACTTTTTCATTCCCTTCATTTACAATTACGCTAAGGTATCCGCTAGTAAATAAATATTGTTGTATATTGGAAACATACTTGTACACTTTGCTGCGAACATTTCAAACAAGAACATATCCGTCATCAAATGAACGGGCATAAGCTTTTAAATGTTTTAAAGACTTCAAATTGTACGAATCTAAAAAAAAAATCTCTGTAAGCCAATTCTGAATCCCACTGCTGAGCACCCAAGCGAACTGGGACCAATCGTTTATTATCTTCGTCAGAATACGAAGAAGAATTCAACTTCTTCAAAATAAAACCCATTGCATTTACACGCCAACGAGACTTCTTGTATCATTAAACAAAACAATAAGTACCTGGCATTTTATAATTAGAGTCCAGAAACAAGTGGAATGTTTGGAAGTTGGCAACGAACAGGTACTTTGTCCAAATCATCAGTTGTGTTCGGACCAGACACCAATGCCCAGAGATGCGCCTATTTCTAAATCAAAGAGCTGCATTAGACGAATACCAAAGGAGGACACTTCCTTTTTTTGTTTCATTTATTATTGTGTAGCTTTAGCGATAACGCGTCACATTTCACATTTATTATAAGACACCAAACTTTGAGAATTTAAGACTGCAAGTATTTATTTTCATTCAATCTTGCAGCTGCGATGATGGCAGGGCCGCGAAACAAATCCACATTGCGAGCTTCCTGCCAGTTCGTTGAGCTATGCCAAGCCCCAGAACACTTACCGGAACAGTTACTTTCGCGTTTTGTTGTTAACATTCATTAACTGGATGTTGCTGAATGCATATTTGTTGTTTTTTAACCTTAATTTCCAAATATATGGGAGGAGTGTTCGCATATAAATCGTTTTGTGGGCGTCGGAGAAACCATTATTTTAACACTTATTTGGAAGTAGAATCCAAGGATCTTGGCTCCCAGACGCTTTATCCTGGTCTCCTCGTCATCCATAATGCCGCCAGATGTGGTCTACACAATATAGCCGAACTGCCGTGAGGGCAACAGATTGTTGGTCCATTTCTCAATGTCGTTGATGAGCGTGGCGAGAAGATGCCACATTTGTTGAGGTATCCGGTGAGGCAGACAACAATTTTGCCCGAACGATGATCATCGACAATCTCGAATTCACCAATATAGACGTGCTTCATCAGCACAGTCAGGAATTTGATGATGACTTTCGAGCAGGGACGAAGCAGGACCGGACGCTTGCCAGGGTTCTCAGCATTGTTCATACATTTCAAAGCATCGGCCAAAACGTTCATACGCATCATGGCTAAGGTTTAATTTTGTTATTTTTCAACACAACCGCGAATGTATCGGAAAAAAAGCGGCGCATTCTGCAGACCACGCCTGTTGATCAAGACCTAAACCAACCTATAGTATCATTGGACAGTACGATATTTCTAGCCTGTGCCTAGGTATTGCTCTAACGGCAATCGGATATCAGCTCGATCGACTTTGCAAAAGGGGAAATGGAACAATATCGGCATCTTAGCAAGGTAGATGCATGCGCCTTCTGATAAATAACTCTAGACTAATACGATTACGCACACCTAAAACGCAAGGTGTTTGGGGACAACTTTCATTCAGTAGTCAAGTAATAACGAAATTTATTTAACTATACTTACTAAATTAGAACAATTTTGCAGCAATTAGCTGCTATGATTACTCATGCATTGGCCAATGCAATATATAAGTTCTTTACTCGTGAAGAAACAATAAGATATAAAAGCGTGCCTTCTCAGCTACATATGTGATATACAGCCCTTCAATCCGATCGGTAATTTCAAATATCAGTGGGTGTACAAAAACACTTTCTGGTCCACTTTGCTTTCGAAATTTGTATGAACAAGACTTTCTTATTACCTTTCCTAAACCTGATCGTTCCAATGTCGGTTAATATCAAAGAAAACCACGTTTTGGTTTTAATTCTCACATATATTTCGACTTTATATATAGCTTTTAAAAAGAGAAGTTGTTGAAGGTTTCTAGCTAGAAGATAAAAGGAATCGATACGGCTCGGGCATAAACCTGACCATTTATCAACATATAACATGGGCTCTGCCACGCCTCCTTCTGCAGGGATATAAACGAAAACAAGCATGCATCTTTTGCGGCCAAAGTCAACCATTTTCATAAATACATGTGTATAAAATATTTTTATTATTTAGTATTTATTAAACAGAAACGAAATTCGTATGATTGCTTGTTCAACTTGGTTTGTTATTTTGTATTAAATGCTTTACTTTCTATGTTATGTATAAAAGATGTCTTGTTATTGATTTGTTTTGTTCGTTTGTTGTTGTTGTTGTTGATGTTGTTGGGTGAGGAAAGTTAATACGCGTATTGTTTGTTTCTGTGTCGTATAATAATTTTGTTTTTATTTTCACTTTATCTGGCATGTGTTTCATGTGTGTTGAATAATCATCGGCAACTGCCCTCGAAAGAGTTGCCTTTGTATTTGGAGAAGGGCTGATATTTTAGCGAGTTTATGCATCTTATGTTGTGTTTTTAATTTAAGTATAATAGTTTATATAAAAAATAACAGAGACATTAATTATATATGTAAAAGAAACATTAAAATATAATCGTTTATTTGCTTTTTCATTCAATAATTAACGCGTCAATTGCCCGAATCCTCGCCATCTAATGATTCATCTTGCACCGATGAGCTGTCGTCGCCGCCGCCGCCTCCTCCGCCACCACGTTTCGATGAAGGTGTGCCCGTTAGCCGGGTGGAGCTGAGGCCCATGCCGCCGGTACGTCTGCAGAAATATAAACAAAAGGAGTTAACACGTGTCTAATATACACTTTTCAAACAAATACAAATTTTTAACGTGCAGTGAAAGGGACAGCGTTAGCCAAAGGGCGGGGCATTCATTTACGATACTCGAAAATCGTGTAGAATTCATTTTGTTTCTTGCAAAACGCACGATTTTCAGGTTTCGCAAATATCTAGTTTGGGTCAAACAAAAGAAAAATTCGCTGAAACGTTGAAATGGATTATTCGTTTTGTTGGGGAACTAGGTCGGACCATCAATGAAATCTGATACAACCAGATCAGATCTGATCAGATACAATATATTAGTTGATTTTCGTTTATTTGTGGATGTTGTATGCTGCGGTTTCATTTGTTTTAACATGCATTGGATACTGAGTGCCAGGCCTACAATGTGCTTTGGATATGTTGGGCACATGCGTTCATTGTTGATGCCACTTTTTGGAGCAGGACACTCACTTACAGCATAGCAGCTTAGCAGGCTATACTTAAAAGAGTTAACCTAATGCAGACCCTCACAATTCATAATGAGCGCCGCGTCCTTTTTGGGTGAGTAGGCTTTAGCCTTTTCTGTTTCGGCCACTTGTATGGAGCTGCGTCGTCGAGAAGAACCAAAAAATTGTGAGAGCGAAAACCAAAGAGAATCAAATGGCATATTGTACTAAGAACTTATAAAGTGCGCGCTCACGTTTTAATTAATAAATATTCCTATTGTCCTTGTCCAGACTATAAAACGCTTTCATGAAGCCAATGTTGGATTGCAACAATGATCGTTTAGAGAATTTGAAACATTTTATAGTCTGTACAAGAGAATATCACCACTCCTTTTTCACTTACCGTAATTTCGTTTTAAGCGAGTTTATCTCACGATTCATGGCCTCCTGGGATTCGATCATGTCCTCGCATTCACGTTGATATTTGCGTTTCTGCGTCTTCTCCTTTTGCAGCTCCTCTTCGGTCTCGTCAAGGTTGCGCTTGAGCAGTTTAATGCGGCTATTCAGCTATACAAAAAAAAAATGGAAATTATTAAAATCTGGTAGTTCGAAAGCATCAGATTTGACATACTTTATCCATTTGCTCCTTATGTTGATCGACATGCCTTCTTTCGTCCTCAATGTTCATTGTCAGCTCCTTAATCTTCTTATCCATCTTGCGATTGGCCTTCTGTTGCAGCAAACGCTCTTTGCCCTCGTTCTCCAACTGCTCCTCCAAGTTGGCTATCTTTGCCTCCAGCGAGGAGATGGTGGCCTTCACCTTGGTGCGTTGTGCCGTTTCAATCTCAGCGAGCTTCGCCTTCAGCTCCTTATTTTGGCGCTCAAGCAATGCTCGTGTATTTTCGTTCTTCTGCGAGTTGGACTTCTCGTTGGCTAGTTCAGTGGTCAGCTGTTCTATTTGGAGTTGGGCCTTACGGCTGCGATCAAGCAATACTTCGGAATTGGACTGCTCTTCCTCGAGCTCCTCCTCTAGGGTCGCAATGCGCGCCTCAAGGCGTCGCTTCTCATCGATCATTAGCGAACCCTTGCTGGCATTAGTGGAAATTTCCTCGGCCAATTCGTCGCGCTCCGTTTCGGCAGCGCGACGTGCTCGTTCCGAGCTGGCCAGATCCTCTGTGAGCTGCATTACTTCGGCCTCCAGCGCCTTAACCTTCCGTTCTGCCTCTTTGCTGAGCGCCTGAAGTTCTTCTTTGGCTGCCTTGGCCTCTTCGGCATCACGCAGGGCATCTTTAACTTGTGCTTGCAGCTTCTTGGCATGCTTCAACGCATCCTCCTTGACCTTGTTGTGCATTTCCATGGTGGTCTCGATTTCCTTCAGGTCGCCCTCAAGTTTTTTCTTGGCCGCCACGGCTGCCGTGCGCTGCTTACGCTCCTCGTCCAGCTCGGACTCGAAGTCGCGCAATTGCTTGACCAGACCGCGTCGCTTTTCCTCGGCCTGTTCCTCCTTGGCCTGCAGGTCTCGGTCAAATTGCAGACGCAGCGCCTGCATATTGACCTCCAGTCGAAGTTTGGCATCCTCAGTAAGCTGCAGACTATCCTCCAGCTCTTCGTTTTGTGTTTTCAGCTCTGCCAGCTGCGATTCAAGCGCTCGCTTTGCCTTCTCCAACTCGTGCACATTCTTGTCGGCGGTGCCTTGCGTATTGGCAAGATCATCAAGCTCGTTCTGCAGTTGTTTGCGCTTATTCTCGAGATCTTCGATCTTGTCGTATGCCTCATCAAGCTCCCGTGACACCGACAGCACCTTCGTCTCCTTTTCGCGCGCCTCCCGCTCAGCAGTGTCGCGTTCTTGGGCAATTTGCTCAGATATGGCTTTCTCCTCTGCAAGTATTTTGTCGAAGTTCTTCTGCTTCTTTTCCAGTTCGAGCACCTACGAAACGAATAAACAAAATTGTCACATCAATCCAATTTCAATTAACAGTTGCTTGTCTCTTACCTTTGTGCGTTGCGCCTCAAGCTCAATGGTTGCATCTTCTAGCTCGGATTGTATTTTCTTTTTGCTCTTGTCTAGACGATCGTTCTGTGCCATCAGCTCTTTGACTTGACGCTCCAGTGCCTCAATGTCTTTGTTTAGACGCTTCTTGCCCTCCTCCAGCTCCTTGGCCAGGTCGGCATCCTCTTCGGCCTTCTTCTTAATTTCTTGCATCTGAGCCGTCACCTCGACCAATTTTCGTTCATAGTTGCGCTTCGCCTCTTCATCCTCTTCTAATTGTTCCTGAAGTACTTCCTTTTCGGATTCGATTTGGCGCAGCTTTGAGCTAAGTGCCAGTTTCTGGCGAGTCTCTTCCTCCAGCAGTTGTTGGGCTTCCGTGAGCTGCGACTCCATATTGCTAGCGGATTTAACTGCAGCTGAGGCTTTCAGTTCGGCCTCCTCCAGTTGATTCGTTATGTTCTCAGCCTCCTGCTGCAACTTTGTGCATTTCTCCTGCAGCTCAGATCGCGCGCGTTCTATTTCGGCCAACTTAACCTGCGTACATTTAGAGAGAGAAACTGTTTAGACTGAGCCCTCAAAACTGTTTGCTAATGCCACAAAACTGGGCACTTCAGCCAGTAAATCGTGGTTTTGCTGCCTTGTGCTATTTTTTAGTGAATTAGATCTGAGACTCGTTATTGGACTATCATGGGAGAGACTATTGGCCGAGATGTGCATTTACCTTTTACAAATCTCATCACATAGCTTCAGAAAATAAGACGAGATCATTTATTTATAGGGAAACTTTCTTAATTGTCTTTTTATCGCTGCATCATACGATTAAGCTCCAATTTATGGAACGGCTTGTTAACTTCTATCGTGAAAAATGTTTTAATCCGATGTCTAACCTAATAGTTATTTAAATATTTATTTTCGCTATATTAAACAGCTGAACGACCACAATTCGAACGTCTATCAATGTTAACCGCAAAACAACAATGTAGACGACAATCGAGCCCTTCCGCCTTTCCACCCGTAAACAAATTATGATCTCACCTGCAACTCGGCAATTTGCGATTCCGCTTGCTTGCGGCGACGATCGTTCTCCTGGCGGGAGCTGTTTACGCTGCGCAATTCCGTGGCCAAGTCTGCATTTTCGGCCTCGAGCGTGCTCTTGGCCTTCTCAAGAACAGCCTTGGCCTTGCGCAGATTTTCAAGCTGATCGTTAATACCGTTTAGTTCCTGCGAGTGCTTGTGTCGCATTTCAGCTAGGACGCCCTCGTGGTTGACTGTCTCGTCCTCGAGCGATTTCTTAAGCGTTGCCAGTTCCTGTTCGCGCTTGGAGCGTAGCTCTTGTTGAGCTGTAAGTCGTAGATAATTGGAGAGTAATATTTTCATTCTAGTAATGAATTTATTTGAAAGAATTTCCAGACGTATCTATCAGTCTGGGGCTACTCACCAGCTGTGGTGTCGAGGGAGTCCAGGAGCTCGTTCTTCAGCGCCTCAAGCTCTTCGCTCAGATCACGTCGCACCTTCTCGGCCTTGGCACGTGCTGCCTTCTCGGCCTCAAGATCTTCCTGAATTTCAGCCAGCTGCGACTCAAGCTCTCGTTGTGCTTTCTGTGCCGTGGCTTTGGTGGCCGACTCCTCATCGATGCGCATCAGGGTCTGCGTGAGTTCGACTTCGCGCTTGGCCAACTGTGCTTGCATTTCTTCGACCTGGACGCGACGTTCGTTGAGCTGCTCCTTCAGATCAGCAACTTCTGTCTCAATCTTGCGCTTGCTGCGATCCGACTCCTGACGCTGTTGCTGATCCTTGTGCATGCGTTCCTCGAGTTCCGCTATAGTTGCTTCATGTTTGGCCTTTAGCTTTGCCAAGTGCTTTGCCTTTTCTTCTTCTTCGGCGAGCGTCTGGGAAAGATCATTGGCACGTTCCTCAAGCAGTTTCTTCTCCTTCAGTAGCTTTTGGTTCTGATCGTCGGTAAGAGCCAGATCCTCTTCGTGTTTCTTGATTTTGGCATCAAGCTGAACCTTCTCCAGCTGCAGTTTCTGGCGTGCTGCTTCCTCTTCTTCTAGCTGCTCCTCGAGATCCTGAATGTGTAGTTCGAGTTTCTTTTTCTCACCGCCTAAGGCCAACACGCGTTCCTCTTCCTCCTCGATACGTGTCTCTAATTCCTGCATCATGTCTTCCAATTCTTGTTTGCGCGCCATTAGGCGAGATCGCGACTCCTCCGCTTCGGCACACAACTCAATCTCTGCTTGCAATTGCTCCGCTAGCGTCGTTTTTTCCACCAACGCCTGCTGATACTTGCGCTCGTACTCCTGCGTATTTTTGGCCAGTGTGTCGAGCTTTTCACGTACTTGCTTAAGCTCGTCTTCCTTCTGCACTAGCTTCTCTTCCTGTTTAGTAACCTCAAGTAGTGGTTTCACCTTAGTGTACAGACGCCACCACTGCCAGTTGCGCAGTTTCAAGTAGGCAGCGCAATTGCGCTGAATGATGCGTATGGCGTTGAGCTGCTGGAGTCGTTTCTGGTAATTACGGCGTGCAAGAAAACCGCGACAGAAGGCCTGGAAGTTGACAATTAAGTCGGATATCTTGAAGTCACGCTCTTCTTCTAGATGGGCGAGAACGCCGGCGCGGAAGAAGATCTTTGATTGGCCGACACGATATAGGTTTGAGTCAAGTTCCAAAGCTTGAATCATCTTCTCGCAGGCCTTCTTGCCATCCATAAAGCCCTTGGGTATGACATTCGGTGTGAGCAGTTCATAACGTTGACGGAACTCCTGGAAGGGTATGCGATTGGGGAAGCCCTGACGACAGATGCGTATACCTTCGAGCACGCCGTTGCATCGCAACTGGTCGAGCACCAAAGGCGCGTCGATCTTGCCAGCGCGCTTCTCGTGATTCGGTATGATACAGCGCACAAAATTGGGATTTGTGTTGCGCAACGTGTCCATCAGCTTCGCCAGCTGCTCCTTGTACAGATGCGACACGGTGCGGAACATGCCCTTGCGCGTCCGGGCGCCAAACTGAGTGTCAGTGAGTGCCTGCTGTGCCATGCCGACTATCTCCGCATCCTTCCAGATGTTCACGACAAACGGATCCTGCGAGGCTTGTAACAGAGACACAATGTTCTCATTGAGCGGATCCATGTTCTTCATCAGCCACTTGGCAGCCGAGTAGTCCACGCGTCCAGCATAATGCACAATGGCGAAATCGGCAACGCCTCGGAAATCCGTCTTCATGAATTTCGGGTGCATGGAATGTGCAGAGACGAGCTTGTCGACAAAGGTCTTATCCGTGGCCTTGGGGAACCAGCATTCCTCGTCCAGCAGCGCCATAATACCGCCCGGCTTGTCAATCAGATCAATTGTTGGCTGCAGATCCAGCCCGAAATCGATGAATTTCCATTCGATGCCCTCACGCTGGTATTCCTCCTGTTCAAGTATGAACATGGTGTGGTTGAACAGCTGCTGGAGTTTTTCATTCGTGTAGTTAATGCACAGCTGCTCGAAGGAGTTCAACTCAAAGATCTCAAAACCAGCCATATCGAGGATACCAATGAACGAAGCACCCTGACGCTTGGTGCGATCCAGGGACCGGTTAATACGATTCACTAACCACTTGAACATCCGCTCATAGCAAGCCTTGGCAATGGCCTCAACGGCGAACTCTACCTGCTCCTTGGTCTGAGCTTTTGTCACGAAATCACGACCGACTTTGATGCGTGGCGTGAGGAAGGCTCGCGTCATATCCGTGACGCTCAGACCCAACAGATGGGCGATCTTCTGAGCCACAGTGTTGTCCGGTAGAGTAGCCTGATCATTGTTGCGCTCCTGTCTGAACTTCATGCTGCCAAACAATAGGACAGCGCTGACGATGCGGAATATTGAGTTGAAATCCTCGGAGGTCATGCCCATGATGTTCATAGATTTAACAGTGGCCTGGAACTCGGCGTAGTCGTCGACGCCGGGCACGGGCAATGTGCCATTGGACAGGAATGAATACGATTTGATGTCGTCGAGTATAAACTTCTCACGCTGTTCGGGCGAAGCACCCGCGAGCAGCTGATAGAAAATATGGAATGTACGTTCGTCCTTTGCTTGACGAATGGCACGCGACTTCTCCAGCAAATAGGTCTCAATGTTGGCGCCCGAAATAAAACCAGAAGCGTCGAAGTTGATGCGTATAAATTTGCCCTGAACAGAAAGAATAGTTAATCAATAAAAGCTCGCAAGCTGTCACTTATGTTGATATGAATAGTCGGATTAAACTGCTGAAATCTACATTTTAACCGGTCACACATTAAAGGACTTAAACGAAAAGGTTTTATCTGGAAGCAGTTTAGCAATTAATCCAACTATTTTAAAGAGACTAAGGAGTCTTCAATCGATACGTTATAATTATGAATAATACTTACGAAACGGGATGAGTTGTCATTCTTAACCGTTTTAGCATTGCCGAAAGCTTCCAGTATGGGATTGGCCTGCAACAGTTGCTGCTCTAGCTCGCCCTGTGGAACAAAAATGGGAGATGTGTGCAATTGTGTTGGACATTAGTTTTCTTCTGTTGGTCACATGCTGGTCTCAAAAGACAAAAACAACAAATAGTTAGTTGGCTACAGACACAGACACGATATACATACACCTAACCAAGTTAGGATTAGTAGAAACATGAAATAAAGCAAAGCAAGGGCCAAAGCCATATATATATACATACATCATATATGTACTGACGATAATAGCATGCAGTAGGAGTCATAAACAAAGATTTCTTAAACTAATTACATCTATACACAGTTTAAATGGACGTTGCACAATGTCAAGGGAGCTGCAGCAACAGAGCATACCAAGGAATTGTAAAATTCATAGGCTGCTCTGACACCGCTTTATTTGATCAATAACTGGGATGTAGTATGTGGCTTTTATGAGGCATCAGATTGGTACCACTGGCACCACATCATGGCAGCTCACATTTTACCTCGGGAACAACATAACAGGGACAATCTTGTTCGGCCCCGTCCATGTTGCAGCTTCTCAGCTGCATGATCGTCCCTCCGTCGATTGCTTGAATGGTATGACTACTTGAGTGCAACTTGTGCTGCCCCGGCACTTGGTTGCATTCTCGTAAAATGTTATGCACATTACACTTGACTTGAATGTACCTATTTGTGTTCACCGAAAAGTTCTGCAATTATGGGATACATACAGATTGTTAGGTAAACAACAAAAGCCATGATGTGACTCAACGGTCTTACGATAAGGCTTGACTGACTTATAGTAGATGTTAGGTCCGAGTGATGCCTACAATTCACTAATTAATGTTAAGCCTTTGCCAGCAAATTAGACAATTTTGTAGTTAAGACTTTTGAATTAGATTGTATTTAAAAAACTATAAAATCAATGTGGTAGTCTTTGCAGTGTGGTTTGAACAGTACCTCTAAGTATATAGCATTTATTTACAAATCAGTGCTTATGTGCAACCACTAATCCATTTAAAAAAAATTAATTAAAGGCTATATAAGACCATGGAGAATTTATAAAGCGCTAAATATTATAGCATTTTGAATAACAGTATGAAAACAAATACATAAAATATGTATAATTATTTGGGATAGATGTTAAAATGAGCATTATTTTATATACTTTACCGCAAATGATTCAGTCTGACTATTCTAAAAATCGGTAGCGTTCGCGCGATACAGTTTGTAGTAGGCATGAGAGGAAGTTTTCGAATACATTATGTGGTTTAGTGTGGAAAATTTGGATTTTCAGTGATTAGTATGTAATACTTGTAGGAGGAGGTATAGTACTTAAATTAGGCACAAACAGTAACAGAAACAGCTTAAATGCAAAAACAAAAATATGAACTCTTTTTATATCGCATTTGATGAAACGAAAGGGAAAACGCAATTAACGATGCGTTTCTCAAACAATATGAAACATAAAATGGTTTACTTAACAGACTCGGTTTATTATTTTGTTATTATTATTATTTGATTGTTTAATTATATAGTATAACAAGGAACATTTGGTTAATTTATACTATAATGTAGACTTGCTTTTGCATACTTACAATGAGGACGGCGGGATTCGGCACCTGAGCAATCAGAATGGCATAATATTGATATTTTGGTTGGTAGATTGCCCGTTTTTGTCGATTATTGAAGTGGTAGGATGGTTTGGTTGATTGGTTGATTCATTGGTTGGTGTTGATTGATGTTGTTTAAAGTGGCATATTTTTGCGTTTAAAATTAAATTATATTTACAATTAAATTTAAATTGTAGAGCAATATACAACCATTTGTTATATTGTAATTAAAAAAGTGTGGAAAGTAGCAACAACCAGTCAATTTTACAATAACAAATCAGCAGCGAGATCAGAGTACGTGAATGTATTTGAATTGCATTTGTTGGGTGCGTGTGAGTGTTTATTTGTGTGTAGTTGTAGAGGTGTAGTAGGAGGATAACGTTTGCACATGGAAATAAAGAAGATAAAATATAAAATAAAAAATTATTGCAACAAGAAAGAAATGTATTCTCAAAAAAGCCCTTCTGCTAAATAACGAAACATTTCAAAAGTATCCAAATTATTACTCCAATTATATAATTACATATTTATTTATAAAATGCAATGCTGTGTGCTTCAATATGCAATTAATTACATGGAGCCATCCTATTATTGTCAGAAAAGCCATTAAAAATTGCCGGAAGAACTCATTCCACAGTTTCATTCGAAACTCGAATCAAACCAAATTTTCCGATTCGTCGACTCTTATCGACTACCAGACTATATCTTAGACTTCGCGCTTACAAGCATTCTTGTGAACGGCATGATCTAATTTCTAATCAATATGGTCTTTATCAGCTCAACAACAAAAACAATTACAGATGACAACAACCTTCAATGAATAAAACTGAATGGTTCAGTTGAAAGCAAGGCAGGTAATTTCTGAGCACGATATCAGACTCATCGTCTATTTATGGCGAAAATAGCAATCATAATTAATAGCTGACAAGTACAACAGCTTCAATGAGAACACCAACAACAACAACTAAATGCAATTTGTTGGCACTTCAATTTCGTGCTGATTTCGATTTGTGTTGTTATCACGAACTTGGGGGTAATACGTTGCTACACTATATGTACCTGGCTGGCTGGCAATCAGGGGGAGGAAGTGGTTCCAACATATAAGGAATGCAATGGAGCTCAAAATCAGTACGTTGTTGTTGCTTTTGCGGTAACTCATACACACTCGTGCATTCATACATATGTATTGTATGTGCGTGCTGCACGGTTGCAAACGCATTTTACCAATTTAGGTAGCGCCAATAAATTATGTTTTTGTCGGCCATGGCAACTAACTGGTTGACAGGCGGCTTGAGGCTGATGGCCAACAAGTGCATGCATTTGAGTGCCTAAATTTTGGAAGTCCTCCCTCCCCTGCTCAAGCCTCCACCCCCCATCACTGTATAGTGGACTGAGTGCGTTTAACGGCCACTTCATTGCGCGGCAATTCAAGTGATTTAATTTTCAATTTTTTTCAATTGTCGCACCCTTCTGTTTTCTGTGCCTTGCCACTGACAAAAGCAATTAATTTTTTTTTTTGGTTTGTTGGTGTTTATTTTACTGTCGTAAATAGAAATAAAAAATTTGGAGTGGAGAAATTTGTCAGCAAACATACAAAATACATTATTCGCTTGATTAGTAAAGTGTGCGATCGGGGCGATCATAAAATTGGTTTAATGCGAATGGCGCCACAGCGCATTCTTCCGAAATGGTGTCGCAATGCGCAGAATCGTGAAAGCGTAATCTTCATAATGTAACTCTATTGTTCAGTTTTTCCTAAAATGACTTCTTTATGGCAAACGTATTTCTCGATTCAACCGCTTTTAGAACACTTGCCAGCAAATACGTGATATAATGTTATTCCACATTAAGAAAACAACGTTCGGTGCTGCCGGAATGCATTTGTTACTGTAACTCGAAACTTGCTGCGGCGCAAGATTGGACAGACAGAAACCAGCTGGCGTTCCCATTGAAACTCAATTGGCAGCAGCCGACGCCAAAAACGCCCATTATGGATGGATCTGTTGCGGGCGTATTAAAGCCAATGTGCCGCTTGTCAAGCTGTACTCTACTCCTCTCCCCTGCCCTCCTCCACCCATATACCTCGCTACATCATTACATAATGGCGTCTATTGCCGTCTAATTAATTACAATAACAATAACAATTGTTGCGCTTGCGTGTCGTTAATGTGAGTTTAATAAGCATTTTATTTTGCCACATCATAAAAAATTCAAAACAAACTGGGTGGCTACACATACATAGTTGTATGGATGTACATATCTATGTACATATTCGTAAATACACAGCATTGCATTTGAATGGAGGTGGAGTGCCTCAAGTGGTTTTCAAAACCCACGCTTCTCACGACGCCTTTTCTCTACTTACCGCACCGGAACCCTTCGGCTTGGATGCTGCCACATATGCCAAAAACTGTATGACTTTCTTGGTGTTTTCCGTTTTGCCAGCACCCGATTCTCCAGTGCACAAAATCGATTGGTCTTCGCGATCTGAAAATTAAAGACGAAACAAAATTCATAAGTACTATATAAGATATTAAGCGTATGTGTAAGTGAAGAAAAATGCACAGTAATTTACTTTAATAAATACAAACAAAAACAAAGCCACACTTCATTTACAATATGGCTGACATATGCTTTTTCAGCGTGGTAAGAAAAAACAAAATCGACATGGCCAAGCTTCATTTAAAAAGAAAAAAATGTATTTTTGGAAGCAAACCTCAGCTTGAAATTTTAACGGTGACCCAAATTTATGTGCGCACAAAAAAACAAAGGCAAGCAATGACAGCAAAAACAACAGCGAACAGAAAACAAAAAATGGTAAAGACATACGTATATTGTATTTGTATGTACATCAATTGAAAATTAAAGCCATATAAAATGACGATTGGTGCATGTATCTGATACACACAGTTCTCTATACACACATGCATGTGTGTTTGTGCGTATTTGAAAACCATAAATTGTGGTCCAAGCGCCGCCAGCATTTGAGACGCTTAAAAAATGCTTGGATAATGGAAAAAAACAGAACTCTTAGCATCTTAAATTCCAAACAGTTGAATACAATCCACATATATGTACATATGTATATCGAAGCATGTGAACGCCAGATCTTTTCCAAAAGTCATATAAGAGTATGAGTTATTTTCAGTTCTTAAAGATATTGAAACGTAATTGAATCGAATTTTTTCTAAATTCGTGAAAATGCGGATCATTGATGAACAAATGTGCCATTTTTGTAATTGAAACAACTTACTATAAATATCAAGACTATATGCATTCGAACCCTCTGACTTCATAAGCAAAAGAGTTAAACAGTTTGGCTCTCAGTGTACTACATATGTATATGTGTGGCAAATGGCCGTCGCCGCCTAATGACGATGACGTCGTCGTCGCGGCGGTTATCATTATAAAATATGGTCATATATGTACATACGTAGTAGTATCTAGCATCTTGCTATGCATCTGAGTTCGAGATTGGGAAATTCATTGGAAAATTGCTGCGCATAGTGGACCTAAATGAGAACTCATATGTTCTACACATCATGGAGTCATACGATATGCCTCACTGCAAGCAGAAAAAAAAAATCGTTCACCCAAAAACATTGCGGCAAAAGGCATTGGGTACATGTCTATACACATACTATATTACGTATGTATTTACTAACCACAAAGATATATCAGACAACAAGCAAAACAAATAACAAATAAAAAGCGCACATAACGACCCCGTACTTATTATCGAAACCGGCACAAAACCATAGATGGACTGTTTATCTGAGCAACGTCATTTTTGTAAAGATTTTTTATTTTAAAAAGTTATCTATTTTTTTTTTTTTTGTTTTCGAAGCTGCCGCCAAGGCGAGTTGCACAACCGCCGCGATGTTGTTAATAGCAACAATGAATAAAGCAATAAAAAATAGCAGAAATTTAAGCGCAAGCATTGGCGCCACATTTAAAGATCGTTTAATGTTTTTTTTTTTATTATTTAGCATCATTGTTATTTTCTCAATTAAATGGTTGATCAAGAAATACACATACAAGTAGATATATAAATATGTATGTACAAAAAAAAAGGAGCAGCAATCAATGTCACTATCATTTGAAAATGAGCCAGCCCATGATTCTTCTTAATCATTGATTGATAGAAGAATGGATTACGTTTTATTCAAATAAGTCATTGGTAAGTTGATTTTATATATATTGTACTATATAGAGAGGTTTTCTGAGTATGAGAGCATGCAGACACTATAGTTTACTGCACTCGCTAACAACATTTTCAAACTTAAGTGGAAACTCTCTTTCCATAGCTTTGGAGAGCTTGAAATCCCTTGGTCATCGGCATTTAAGGCGTGCCGCATTGTTACGTATGTACATATAAACAAAAATGCATGACAGTGTCACATAATAAAGCTTCGAATGTCATGGAATGCCATAAACAATCAGATACAACAACAACAACAGCAGAGGCAGTAGGAACAAAAGTGCAGCTGGATCAGAGCACAATTGCGTGTCGTTGGGGCACGACGCTGGGCTTGTCCGGCGCAGCAGATATCAAAGATACTTAGACGCAGAGCTACAAAAAATAAAATTAATCAAAGCATGCATGCCAAGTAAAAAAGAAATGATACAAACAAAATGAAAGGAAAGGTGACGCTGCCACACCTCAGCAAAAATATTTAGTGGGGGAGGTGGTATGTAGGTGTGAGGGATTGAGTCTGTTTGGCGCACAGCTTTGCATGCCATTTATTGCCAAGTTTCGTTTCCAAACAATTCATTAAACGAAATATTTAAGCTTTTGGACAAGCAATCCATTAAACGAACTAAGTTGTTGATGAACGAAAACTTATAAAGCGGCAAATATGGTGACGATTTGTGTATACTTTAAGTATAGGTAAATGTGTATGTATGTGTGTGTTTGTGTGTGTTTGTGTGTGTGTAGAAGCTCGAGTTTAGTCCAAATATGGAAATGACACGTATACGTAATATATACATACGTGAATGAACATTTGTGTGTATGGTTGTCGGAGCCACCTCCATGAGTCACCCATCGACGATGAAGATGGAGAAGCCGCCGTCGACGTCTCCGCCGTCACCGCCACCGCCGGACATAATAAAAAGTCAGTGAAGCCGAGCCAAAAACCCAAACGCAAAGCCGACAACAACAGGAGCTATAACAACAACAACAACAGCAGCAGCAGCAACAACTCTTAACGCTTTGTTGCAAACAAGGCAGACATCCGAAATGCAATTTTTTATTTTTGTGGCCTCTGCTGAAACGCAAACCAGTTTCCATATACATACTCGTTATAAAGTAAGCTCAACAGCTTCACCACTTCAACTGATTAGAAAAGTGAGACATTTTTGTTCGATTTGTATGCTGCCCTCGGATGATTCACTAAAGAAAAAGTGCAACTCTCCAATACACTCATCCTCCTCATATGAAACATACCAACTACTGAGTATTTAATGCTACTAAGACGCACACAAATCATTGCGAATTGTGAAGCCCAATGTCGACAACATACAAGTACGGTTCGTGGAAAAGTCGGTTGGTTAGCCCCACTTATTATCTTATCGGGCAATTTAAGTTGCCGTTGTTTGCTTGCCAATGGAATTTTCGATAAAAACCTAAACATGCTGGAACTGCCAACAGCAATATTTGCTATTTTGTACAATAAAAAAAAATACATAGTACGTATGTGTGTATGTAAACTAGAAAGTAAATGTGGCACAAATGCATTTTTTCAGTTATGAAAATTAGGTACTTACCACCCAACATGTTTCTATAGGCACTATCCGTTATTGCAAATACATGCGGAGGCACTTCGTGTCGCTTTATACCCTTATATCGTTCCATTATCTTTTCCGTATAGATTGGTAATTTCTTGTAGGGATTAACCACAACGCAGAAAAGACCGGAATATGTCTGAAATTAACAGAATCGAAAGTTGAAGTCATCGAAATAAGTACAAGTTTTTGGGTAAAACACTTAAGCTTATAAAATTTCAATCGATTTACGTGAATTTTATTTATTTTTAAATCCTACATATGTACATCACAGACGTATGTACAATTATGTACTTATATCCCCAGTAAATATTGTCTAAAATACTTATATGCCTTTTCCAAAAATTATAAAAAGGCAACTGAAAATTTGGAATCTTGGTATTTGTTTACACTAAACATATTAATCTAAGCATTTAAGATTCCGGTGTTATTATTTTAGGTAGGTTTGAAGGGCGACCTGCAGCATAATTTGGTTTATTAGGATCTCCAAAAACTGTACAAAATTGCTTGGATCGTTTGATCAAATAATAACAATGGAGTAAAAGCAGTTTAAAATAAAAATGCAAAGGCATTCCACAGAAATATACTTGTATGTGTGTACGAATGAAACTTCATCTCTTACGGACTGGCCAGCAGGCACAGCCCACATAAAATGTGTGGGCCCCAAGTGTTCGACTTTATGCCGTTTGTTGTTTCTACTCCAGCATCTTGAATATTAAACAAACATTTGCTACAAATATTGAAATACCCAATACATAAGGCAATAAAAAAAGGCAAAATGGCGCCCACACCATGAGACATTGAAATGATAATAATGATGATCATGATCATGAAGACCCCAGCTTGGCCTATTGAAAATGAAAGTGTGTGGTCAGGGCACAAAGTAAAAACGCCCCGAAAACTTTTGCCAACAACTTGAAGCATAAATGAATTTTGATTTAACAAAGCAATTTTTGCACTTCAGTTTCTTCGTCATAATGAGTCATGAGCCTTACTTCAAGCGCGCACACACACATATATATACATACATACATATATATACTCCAAAACATATAAACATAAAAGTATAGCTCTAAGCATGGCATTTGGTTTTGTCACTTGGCAGCTACCTCCCAACTACATATGTACGAGTATATGGCGTTAAAATCACGTCTTGATAGTTGTTGTTGTTGCTGTTGGGTGGAACCAAAAATGGCATAAGAAATTGCCTTTTCGGCATTTGTTTTTAGAATTGAGTTTTCAACGTTGGCAATATGGCGGCCATGGCCGATTCGCTGACTGATGTTAAATGTTTGCGGTTTTGTTTTCTCCTCGGCTTGAATCATCAGCAGCGGTAACTTTAATTTATTACATCAATGATTCATTAGTCAGGCAGGCTGCCGATAAGTCAATGTCCTGATCAGAAGGCATACTCGTATCATATAACGTTTGTTTACACATTGACTGACCAGATTGTGTTTTTATTTTCTTCTTTACCATATATGGTCAACAAAAAATGGCAAAATCCAATCGTTCAAGTGTGAAACGATGTGTTTGAGAAACGTGATCAAAAATGCGAAATGAGTGCGTACATGATAAGTCAATCTTAAAAAGAAGGCCGATGAGAAAATACGTACTTATTGATGAGTTGGGGCATACTCGTATTTAGATATTTAAATGAATAACAGCAACAACGAACTGCAAAACACATTGCACTTAAGCTCCTATGAAAGGCATTTATATTCTACAAAAGTGTCCCAGAGGGGTGTGTAAGGGGAGAACAACGTGTGCCTGATTGCTCGAACAACGTGCGACGATTATTAATTGGCCAGCATTAGAAGTGAATATTGGCAACGCCAGCCAATGATGACGTACGGGAGGTATTGATTGGTTAATTGAGTGATCTCTTGTAGGTGAAAAAAATTTGCATTTCAAGTTTAACTTTACAAAAGATACTACCGGGTCAAACATTATTTTTCTCTTGCTATTTTAGAGCTACAGATTTGTGCACTTTAACAAATAATTGCATCAATCTATCCATCTCAACCTAATAAAGATTGTGCACTTTCAATTCGTTAAACTGTCTTCTAAACGGTCGACACAGTCCAGTGTTATATTTTTTGATATTCTTTAAGATATTTCATACATATTAGCAAGTTTTTGGAAGAGCGAAACAAAACTAAACATATCAATCGAAACACATTTCTTAATGTTTTCGAAATGGTTAAATCTATTAATTTCTGTTTTCTTTTGCAACCCTGGCGTCAATCACTGTGTCTTTTAATTGACGGTGCCTTTTCATTCAATTTTTTGTTCTAAACGTGTTTGTCCATATGTGGGCATGTGTGACTACAACAAGAACAGAAACAATATGAACAGCAACAACTACAAAGGCGGCGGCATAGAATGTGTTGCAAGCAATTACAAAGCAAAGCAAAATGCGGCGCTTTTTATGTAAATTACGTGTCGACTATTTTCAGCCCCCTGCCAAAGGCCCTGCACTGAGATAGAATAATAGAGCTCCGTCGAGAGCGTGTTCCTACAATATGTGTACATATAGTATGCTGAATGAAAGAGACACTGCTGACCAAAATTGTGCAATATAATTTATATGGCGCAACGCATGATAATTCGCATGCATCATAAATAAATGAGATATCTGTTTGCAGCGTTTACGGCGATGTGTGTGAAAACATTTTCGCTAAATGTTGCATATTTTCATTCATTCGAAGCAAATTTAAATCTTGCAAAACAAATTAAATGTCATTGGCATGGGCAGGCGGCAAAAGTCGGCTAAAATATACACATACACGCGGACAATAATATTTTCTTCCTAAATGAGCAAACTGGGTGGCATTTAGTGAGTCGTCTCACAGTGTATTTAAGCTGCTGTGTGCCATGCCATTAAATGACAGCGCGTTCTGTGCGCAATTTCAATTAGCGAATCTCAAAGATAGTTACATGTGACAGCAATTGCTAAAGTTTTATGTTTAACCAGGGGGAGGGGAGGAATGGCCATTTGCATTTACAGCTGGGATCGGTGATGACGTTGCCGACGCTATTGGCGCGTGTTTTTCCTTTCTAGTTTTCAAACGCCAAGTGCAATTATTTTTAGCTGCCAACGCATTAGCCGACATCTACATGCAAGCATACACCACACATACAAACATATCTACATATGTACATACATATATCTACACATATGAACATATGTTTGTAAATAGATGGAGAGATGAGGAGGGCCGTGAGGGGGGACTAATTAGGTGCTGGTGCTGCCGGTTTTTCTTTTGTTGTTATTCGCCATAAGATTTAACGAAATATGTTCGACTAGCAACAGCGGCTCTTTATTTGTTGTTGTTGTTGCTGTTGCGGTTTGTTTCTTTCTCTGCTTATTGGTCATTCTAGCCAATGTGGCACAGCACCCAATGATGCCCAACTGCGTCAGAAGCACCGTTAATTAATTATTTTGAAACACATTTCCGAAATAAGAAACATGACCAAGAAATGCATTCATGTAGAAAATTGCATTCAGAGCCAATTGAATTTGCAAGCAAGCGCTTCTAACGATCAATTTAGGCAGAGGCCACTAAATATAACAGGTTACAATTACAGAGCAATAATAATTTGTATCAATTTTCAAAGTTTCTATAAACAAGACACGGGAAATCGTTATCTGCGTGCAGGACATGGACATGGCTACGTGGAATTGCAACATTCAGGTGCTCATTTATGTAACAATTTTCTATTCTTCTAAGTATGGCGACCCGCTCTGCAGACGTCGGTCTGATGGCAACAGCTGAGGGGGGCGGGCGGCTGCTTGGGTGGTGCTTACCTGTTGAGGCGCTTGTGGGCCGAGACATTTGACGCCCATTTGCTGACACATGTCAACAAATTGAGTGCAGCGTTCATACACACACGCACACACAGACACACACACACACATTCGACTAGTTGGCCATATTTGTGGAGCCTAAACTGGCCCGTCGTCTGGGATGGTGTTGACAATTTATTTGCATTTGCAAATTATTTCGACGCATATTAATTGCATACAAGCAGACAACTACAACTAAGCAGCAACAACAGCTGCCACGAAAATTAATTCAAATGAAATTTAGAAATCAAATTAAATGTCAACAAATTATAATAATTATGCTGTTAAATGCAGCCAACACACGCAAATCCATAAATACACATATAAGCTCGCTCGTCTCTCATTCCCTCTCTCTTTCTCTCTCATTGAGTGAAGCATGCAACAAGTTAACGCGCTACGTTCTCTCATTAACAACGTCAGCAACTTTTGTCAGGCAGCAAATAAAATGGGACAAGCTGGCAAAAATGTAAAACTACATTTTCATTTGAATGAAAAGAAGAAATATAAATAAAAGGAAAAAGTGCGTGGTGGGCTTGTGTGTGTGTGTGTGTGTGTATGTGTGTGTGTGTCCGTATGTGTATGTGCAAACTATGTATGTGTTTCTCAAAAGCAATAGCAGCAGAAACAGTGCCAACCACAATAGCAACAATTTTTATACAGATATGCGTGTGCGTCGCCGTCGCGTCGTGTGCGCCGAAGCGTAACAAGAAGCGTCAGCGCCAACGCGAGCAGCGCTTCGCTAGAAGTAGCAGCAATAGCAACAACAACAGAGCGCAATGTGTATAAACAAATTCAAAACAGCGCGCGCCCACATCAAAATCAACAAGCTACACAACAAAAACAACAGCAACTTACAAACCGTGCTACCGCATTTAAAAGCTGCCAGTTTAATTAAACTCAGATGAAGGCAGCGATGTGGTGGTAAATAGCCGAACATAAAATATTTAAAAGAGCGCCACATAATTTGTTAGAAAGAGGAAGAAGCAAATGTAAAAGCACTGCCAACAGCTGCTGTTGTTGTTAGTTTAAACTTTATAAACGAACAGCAGGGAGAACTGAGTCGAAGAGAGTGGCTAACCCAGTAGGACTAGATTGTAGTGATTGCATTTTCAATTAACTTTAAGCGCAGTTCTATTTACCATATCTATAGACTCCTATTAAAGAAGGGCACACTTTATTCTTGGTTTTGCAACCTAATGAAATATGGGCACTTTTTCGTACAAAGTTTTCGTTTGTGGCACTTTTCCACGAGGCCCTACTGAGTGGTAACGAGTTTTCTGCATGGCTTTCAGCTGAACATGCCCCACACCCACAGCTGACTAACCTAGAAAACATAGTCGCAATGGGAAATATTATGAAAGTCCCTATCTGTTGGGAAAACCTAAGCATATTAGCAGTTAAAACTAGTTTTCTATTGGATTGGTTGGAACAAGACAATTTTCGAACACATACGGCTGCGTGCACACACATTCTTAACATTTTTAACCATAACTCTAAAGAATTTGTTGTTTTTTTTTTAAAGCGCTGATGTTTATTGTTCATTTCGCTTAATTAATTTTCAATTAACTTGCGCAGAGTGAGTTGTGAAAATGTGGAATTGAATTTTGGCAGATTCATGATATCATTCATTTTGATATTTAAATCTATAGGATAGTTAAGCTGCAATTGGGTGCGACGCCCCTTCGAATTAAACACTCACACACACACACATTCAATTTAGAGCCCACAATTTATGAAGCCTAATTCAAATGCGTAACGTTCAGCCTTGTCACAAAATTCGACGTCGATCACTTCCAGCGCCATTTAGCATTATTTTTTGGTGAATTGTAATTTGCAAAAACGTTTTCGGCATAACAATTAGCGGCTAAGGTTTTGAAAGATAATTTCCGAAAGTAGATATATACATGACGACAAGGTGTGCATTGCATGCATTTAAAAAACTCTCCTCTCCAGCCGGCGATGCTAATAAATTTTAGCAAACAATACGTCTTACCAAGCACGTTACGAGGCATATTTCCAAGACGACATCGACGGCATATGATTGAGTATTTGTGTGTCAAATATTTGCAGTGCTTTTAAAAGCAAATACAAGACCCAGCGCAACAATGGATGGCTGGATAGACGGATGGATAGATGGAAAGATAGACGGACAGAGCAGAGCCGCCAGCCAACGGCAATGTTTCGTATTTCAATATTTCCACAAAACTGAGCGGAGAAGCACTTTAAACAAAGTATACCCGCTGCACAGTACAGTTTCATTAAAGCGATCATGAATATTTTAATATAATTATAAACGGTTTCTCATATGTTAGACACTTTAAGACGTTCAAGTTCTACCTTAGCAATATAGTTCATTCTGAGCTGACCCCACTATATACATATCTTCTTCTCATAGACTTTAAAATAACAATTTACAGCATCCCTTCCTCTTAAACGCAGTAGTTGTATCCATTTGAAATATTTGATAGATTTGATTCTACTTACATAGATCAGGCCAGAGTAATATCTGTCCTTGATGTTGTGCAGTACGGATGCCTCGTTGAGACACGTCAGTTCTGCCATATCCTCGACTTTGTCGAATTTTGGCGGATTCATCTTTTGTATGTCATCGCGTAGAATCATGACACGCTTGCCTGTCTCGGCCAGTTCCACTTCAACTTCGTCACCATGTTCTCGCTTAATACTGGCGGCAACGAAGCCCTGTAAAGGTGATTAAAAGAAATAAATAAAAGGAAATTAGTCAAAACAATTATATTCTTCGATATTCGATAATGAAATGAAGGAACGAAATGAAAGTTTCAAGTCAAATAACCAGTTAATCTTAAAAAGGGACCGTTTATCGCTTACGCTTGAGGACGTGTATACAAATAAAACCATGCCACTACCATAAAAACAGAAATGCTATCGTTGCATATGCATGTACTGTAGTGATTGTTGTTGCCATCTTATTGTTGTTGTTGGCGTCGCTGTGCACCATAAGTGCGTGTCTGCGTTCACAGCGTGCGTGAGTGAATGAATGCACTTGGCGCTGCATGAGTCAAGCGCCAACAACAACCGCAATGTTGAAAAACAAGGAGGAGACACGCAGACAATTAGCCATCGGGCTAAGAATCTCAAACAGCGTTTCAAGTTCAAGGCGTTTGCTGCTTGCAATATTTAAGCAAAACAAAAATCGATTTATATTGTTAGACTGCTAAGATGGGGGTTTATTTAAAAATTATATCAACTCTTTGTAGTATATTTAATATTGGTGTTTTCTACCTCAACAATTTCTTAACGTATAGGCCGATTACGAGGACGTAAACGGATTCAAGCTCTTATAACGTTGTTAATGTTGCTACAAATGAGGTTTCAGTAGCATAAATCAAATTAGGGGCAATAATTAAGTAACTCAGTCATTAAGGCGCTGCGAAGTACAGCTAAGTAAATCCTCATTGTGCTCGCTTGTAAAGAACTATTGTTGTAGTTGTGGCAAAGTGCATTTATCCAAGTGCAACCACCCGCAAGAACAATAAAGGCAAACGACATGGGCAGACTCCATTAAGTTAAATATCAGCACGCCTTGCAATCGTTTCTCCCTGCTTGTAAGTGTGCGTAAGTATCTGTTATCTTTTCGCCTTTCCGGCACAAGAGTGATAAACACAAGGAAGACGCCATTAACCCAGCATTACTGTTGTACTACTAAATACTATATTTGCCCTCGCACTCTGCCTTCCACAATCGTTTACATATTTTCCTCGTAGTTTTTAATAAAACATTTTCCATTGCATATAATATTTGAGACCAAAGGAAGGTTTCTGATAAAAGATACAAAATTTTAATTACACAAAGAACTGTGTGTGTTGCATCTTGCAAAAAATCTCTGTTGTACTTCATATATCTACAATGTATTTAACTCACGCTCTGTGGAGAGCTATTCACCAATAATAAAGCCCATTTGAATTTGTTCATTAGCAACTTTCTTGATTGTTAAACACAACACAACACGCCAACGCCATTTTATATTTGTTTGGCAGAAGCTGCATATGTGTGGATGTAGATGTGTTGTCTTACTATATCTGTATATATGAAAGTCTAGCAAAAATGTCAGTGGCAAATAAAAATTCCAGGCAATCAGTGAAGCGAATCGGCAACCACCTACAAAACAATGCCAAAGATGATATTGTTGGACCTATTACTTGTTGCTGTTGTTTCTGTTGCCGTTATTGTTGTTTTGCCAATGTTTTGCGGACAAGAAGTTAAACAGCAGTTCTTCTAATTTTAAAGTAATTCCATGCTCGACACTGATGGAACAGTTGCTCATCGGCCATTATATATTGTACTATAGGCCAAACCATACCGCACCTACTTAAAAAACATTACGATTTGGCCCCAACCTTGAACTTGACTCGTCATCTATCGTTCAGACGGTGCACGCGTCTGCGACCCTCCAAATAAAATAAACATATTATTAATAATTTTTTCAAGAAACTAACAACGTTTTTATTGTTGTTGTTTATCTCAGTGTGCCGCTTGCACGAAATGTAAATACAAAATGAAAATAAATAAGGTTTTATTCATGAACCAACGGCCGAGGCAGAAGGCATTCCAGCATTTCTATTTATACTACAACACACACATTGTTTATATAGTAAACCAGAAGACTCTGGCGTGACACCAAAGGCCAGCTTACGTTCTTGCTGCCAAAATATATGTATGTATAAGTGTTTCTGTATATAAGGCCGGTCATAATAATTTTTTACTCTTTTTGTATTTTTATTATACATTGCTTTTAATCGATCAGCGCATATGCATGCTCTCAAAAGTATATGACTGTATGGGTCTTACACTTACAAGTCCATATGCGATGTGTGTGTGCCATGGAGAGATACGAGACCAAGTTCGTTGACCGTAAACCGGACGAGAGTCGGAGCCGAAAGCAACCCACGTTCGCGGTAGTTAAGCGGTGGCGGCAACGATTTGGTTGTTGTTGGGGTTCTGGTTGAGGTTGACTTTTCGTAACCGAAATAGAGTTTAAGAACGATCACAAGAAGCGACATAAGCGACGAACCATCGTCAAAATGTTTGATTTTTTTGTTTTGTTTAGTGAGAAACGCGTATAACATACATACATATGTAGATTCATAGTTGTGTAGAAATGTGGGTGTTTGAGTAGTTACTACTGATGTTGTGATTGGGCTAGTGGTTTTCTATTCTATAATCGGATGTCTAACTCTTCTAAATGGCATTTATCATATGAGTATTTTCAGATGGTCTTAAAAAATGAAATTGTGGATCAAATACTACTTAAAGCTAGATGTTATTTCGAAGGAAGCCCAGTGACAATTACCTAAATATTCGATGAATGTGTGTACAGGTAGAACAAGTTAAGGGAAACAAAAATTAAATACTTTTATTATTTTTATATTTTTTAATTTAACTGCCGCTATTTAGTTGCCCAAAAAAAAGGTTCTTGCGATAGTTATTTTGCTCGGACTTTTCTTGAGTTAGGTTGCATTTATAAACAACTCATATACATAGTATGTATTGAATTGTTAAAATGTGTGCAGTTTTTCTCCTTTTTTATTGCGCAAGGTTTAAACAGTTGTTGCCAATGTAGAGAATATAAATAAAATAAAATAAACCGACTTCACAATTATTGACACAATTTGCGTTCAAGCAGCAGAACGCCTTCGATTCGTTAACACCCTTTTCCTATCCCCCCACACAACCAGCCAGTCTGTTTAAGTGTATGTGTTGGACATTCCAGCGACGCAACAGTGTGCTATATGCAAATTTCTTTACATTTGTCTGTTTGTCTGCAAGCCCGCCAGTTTGCATGTCTCTCTGTCTGCCTATCTCTGCTCGGGGAGCTTGTCGGCTTCAAGCCCGCACCGCTTGACAACTCATGACAATCAGACGTCGCGACGCTGCGACGTTTTTGTTTTTATTTTCTTACTTTATCTTTACTTTTAAAATTCCATTGTAAAGAAAATAAGCAACAGCAATGAATGTATGTATGTACTTGTAGAATCCGTCAGTCCGTTCATACAAACACACATAAATACATTGTATGTGTGTACATCGATGTGTAATTACACAAAAATGCTGTGCCGTTGCCTTCTTTTTTTATTGGTATGAAGTCACCCAAAAGTGCTACCATTTTATGTGTAAGTAGGCAGGTATGTTTTTCTAGCGACTTTATCACTGGCATGGCATTTGAAAAAATGAAGCAATAAAGTGGAACACACTATGCATTCACTTGAGCGGTAATTTCTTGCGTTGCTGTTGATATCTTAGAGCATTTGCTTGGCTTATCAAATTCCAGCTGCTGTTTGTTGGCCCTAGATCGTTACTTATTTATTTTGTTGCCTGGCAGTTGAATGACATCTAAGCCGTTTTAAATGTTCCTAATTTTTGCATAACTTCATAATGAATAATAATTCAAAATAAATAATAATAACAACAGAAAAAATACCGTTATCTGTCATTGTTATCGAGCGCGCAAACTATTATTTCTTCGTATATAGAAATACATACATAAATATGTGTAGATTATAAACAGTCGGTCAAACAATCAAAGAAACTTGTTTTTATAAGTATCTCTCTTTTTTTTCTCTCTCTCTCTCTCTCTCTATCTACCTCACCATACACACACAACGAAGTGGCGCACATGACTCACACACTGTGCTAAATACAAATAGAAAATTTGTATAAACATACACACATACTCGTATGCAAAATCCCTAACAGAAAATTGAATTTGTTGCGTGCGTCAGAGCGGCAATGCAGCTAGCTGTACATTGCAGCAACCAACAGTGACGGCTAAAAGTAAAAGACGATAGTGACAAAAACGAAAATCGGACTGATTGACTGAAGATTATATTGAAAACACTCAATTACGGATATAATCTGAATGAATGGTGTTGTTATTCAAAATGGCCCTTGCATATACAAGAAACCACTCATGGGTGAAGAATTTGTATTTAAGTATTTGCGGCGGATGTTTACTTTAGTATCGCACCTTCGAAGAAGTTGTCGATAAAAATGGTGCATGATTCATTGAGAGCGATGAGTTGGCCCAATGATAACTAAATTAGCCGAGTTTGCCGATTGTGCGCTAGTATTGAGAGCTATCAATTGAATGCTTTATGACAAGAATGCAAGATAACGATAGCGAGAGCCATGGCAGAATTTGATTGTTCAATTGAACTTAGGTTAATTGTTCTTGTTTTCAGATAATACACTGATTCAAACTGTTGCGTTATTTTTGCCCTAGTCTACAACTTTCTCCATAAAGTAAACGAGAAAGACCTTCCCTTCCCTTCCTGTAATCGGATTACAAAATTATTTCCATAAATTTAATTTTTTAATTGTATCGATAAATATCAGATGCAGGCGGCTGTGACTTAAAAATAATCCCGCAAAAGCCAAACGGAAAAAGAATCCAAACTGGTCAAACACGCGCGCCCTGCAACAACAACAACAAGCATTGAGCCAACGCCTGCGCATCGTAACGAACCGCTACAGGTTTTTCAAGTCGTGCTCGGGCCCTGAGGCGCAAGCGTGCCAGAGTGAAAGCCAGGCAGAGCCTTCCTCTTGGATGCAATTGATAGGCGTGCTACCGCCCCAATAAACAAATGATAAAATGTATGGCATGTACGGGGACTGCCATTAACGATCACATGTATTAAATGAATGAAATATGTAACCTAAGACTAACTAATAACATTCTCAGTATCCAACTTATTTTAAAATAGTTGAGTTGGATTATTACGTACCTGATTCTCGTGAGGCACCCAAACCAAGCGCTTCTGTGTCCATTCCGCTTGTGTGGCCGGATCGTTGAATTGATTGCGCTCCACCGAGAGATACTTCAACTCGGGGTCGTTGCGATCGACTTCCTCTGACATTTTGCTTTAGCTATTTATTGACGTTTCAGCAATTTATTTGTATTTGAATTTTTGTTTTGTTTTTAAATATATTTCGTGGTATTGAGGTTTTCCGCTATTTTTTAACACTCTGCAATCGTTGCACAAACACAAACATAAATTGGCTTTAAATTTCTATGAACAAAATTTTAAAATTGAACGTTGCCTGCTGCCGCATTAAAATCGGATTTTTATAACACACACACACATGTATGTATTTACATATCTGAACATGTGAAGGTAAATATACATACAAATGTACATATGTATGTATGTATATATCTGCACAAAATGACCACCAAGCAACAAATGGCTAAATCTTGCGGTGTTGCTAATGCGTCGTCGTCGCTGCGGCTTTTGTAAACAAATAACCAAAAACAAAAAATTGCAACCGTCAAGATACAATTTTCGCGTTTTGCGGCACATTTATCTTAAGACGCGCTCTTTATCTTAAAAATGCGGCACAGAACGGAGGCGGCGAGAACAGAGTAGCGGCGGAATAGAGCTCAAAAAGGAAATACAGAAGAAAAATATGGCCACACCACATTTATTCTTAAGCCAATGAACAGCAACAACAAACATGCCGTTGCGCCGCTCTCTCACGCTCAACTGCACGCAAGAAGCACTCTCTTATTTCGCTCTCTCGGCAACAGCAACAACAACTTCGAGACTACAGTCTTTTATGCTGTTTTCTGGATTAGAGCGTTCAACATAAAATAGCGTTACGTAGCTGTTTGGCAATTAAAGTAACCAGTTTGCATTTTTAAGCCGAAACATTTTCGGCGCTACTCCAAACTATGGCTTATTTTTCCTACATGGTTACTCTAATTGCGGAGCAGGTACGTCAGCAAAATGCTGCGCGGCCATCGTTCTTCTTTTTCTCCTGTTGGCTGTTGTTCTGTTTCTGCCCCATACAAATACAAAAACACACACGAACACACTGCATAATATTCGTTTAAACATTCATTTAATATTTATATACGCTCTTTAACCAAGTCGGCCAGCGCTGCGTTTTTGCTAATTCCACATTTTACATCGATATACAGGTATTTAATTTCAATTTTGTTTCAACAAGCGGCAACGACGACGACAGGCCGGCGGCGCCTTTTGGGCGTTGAAATTATTTCACACTGCGCTTTGTATTCTCGCTCTTTTGCTTGCAGCCAAGCGGTGTAATTTTTGTTTTCATTTATTGCTTGACACGCATTTGGTGCTCATGTTAAAATGAAGTTGCACTGTTTTTTTTGTTGAAATGGTGTGTTTTATTTGTTTTAAGCGACAGCTGCACTTCTTTACTTTTGCACATATACAAACACACAACACTCACATCGATGCACAATAACACCGCTCAAAATTGACGTACGTCTTTACAGTCGCTCAGTCAGAGCATTTGTGCTTCGATACACCGAGCATCGACGATATTTCAACTTAATGCATCGATGTTTTTCGATATATTGTACTTTCAATGTATCGACAAAGAATCGATGCTCCTTCCAATTTAATTTCCAATTTAATTTGTTGGGTTGTTTGTCGAATGTGATAAGTACGTTAACTTTTCTTTATTAAATTATTTGTTAATGATTACGATTTGTCTGTCTGTATAACAAATTCATTAAGCACAAACATCTAATTATTATTACTTGCAGATTACAGCTTTTGCGACTAATAAGTATGTTTAAAAAAAAGTAAGAGATTATTTAAGTGTAACAAATCAAAATATGTTAGTCCAAAGATTTAAATAAACTAACCCTTTTCTAGGCGATGCTGTGTAACGAGTACTTCAATTTTATCCCCAGTCACGTAGCTTATCGAATACATATTCGCTTTGACGCCGGGTCGAATTACAAAGTCCCATCTCCAAAATTGCCACCACAATATTTAAATAGTTATCGAAACGTTATTTTATAGCTTGCCTAAGTCAATTCTTTTAACGAAACACATTATATATTTATGAAAATATATTGATTGACTTAATTATAGACTCATTTTACGTTTTCGCCTAGAAACTATGTAATAAAAAATCTTAAATTGTATGAAAGTCTTTGTACTTAATTGTTTATTTAACATTTGTTGGTCTATTATACATATATACAAATCAATAGCTATTTATAAATCTAAAGGTAACTGATTGACTTTTTAAGCTAATGTCTTTCACTTTTTAGTGAATAATTCGAAAATCTCATTTATGTTCATGCAAGCCCAACTTGCATTGTTTCCCTCCCACTTATGTATACCCCTCTGACTAATTCTAAATTCTAATGGCACTTGTTGCATCCTTCACTTCGCATGCCCGCCACACTCATATACCTCAACGTGCCGCACCACTCCCCCATTGAGCGCCTCGAGCTCTGCAATAGGTTTGTTCTGTTCAATCCTCTCTTCCTCACGTTTGCTATTTAAATAGTAAACGCTCGCCACAATTATGCTGAAGGACGTCAAACAGACCAGCAATGTGCCATACTTTAAAGCAAGTTGAATAGCGTCCAGTCCGTATGTGCTTTTATATAAAAGGCTTAGTACCTCTTCGCTAAAATCGCCCGACGTTATTTCTATCCAAATCAATGGTAATATTGTGCCGTTTTTGAATCGGTTCGCTTGATCTGAAAATAAATTTAAAAGGCTATTATTAGTTTTCACTTTTTTATAAAATGTTACTTTAACTTTTACTTTCACTTTAGAGAAAATTATAAATCGTAAGGGATCGTTGCATAGACATTTTTTTTTGATGGGAAGTGACTACAAAATATTATTACTGGCCAACTTACTTCTTAAGAGCGGTGTCTGATCAACCATAATATTGATTTGTATGCGTGAGGCACCACTAATAGGAAAACCAAACCGGGGATGAATGTCGGCATAGGTCTGATGAAGCTCGGCTTCTGGCTTAATACCTTCAAAGTCCTCGTACCACACTGGGTCACCGGAGAAAAAGTGTGGGAAGGAGGGAAAGATGGGTGCATCGTTGTAGCACTTGGTGGCATTGATGACACCGCTTGCAAAACAGCGATCCGTATTCTGGCAGTAGCATTGATTTGCCGGATTCTCAGATGGATGCGAAAATACGTCGAGTGGGGTGCGATAGCGAAGCACCGAGATGTTGTTCAGGATGGTCTCTTCTTTTTCGAAATGTAAAGGTACCTTGCGGCATAGTACTTGCAGGAAAACATTCACGTCACTGCGATCTGCCAGTAAGTTAGGTGAAAACATTGATGGCTCCGAACCATCAATCCGATTACACTCTCCCCCCTCCCAGTAGTCCAATTGAGGCATTCCGTTGAACTGAGTGATGATGCTGAACTTTCCGATGTCGTCCTCGCCAGTGTTTAACTGCACTGAATCTACACTGGTCCCGTTTCGCTGCAAGATCAAATAAAATCATATTCTTACACACAATTTGATAAGAAAAATCCCATTCTTACATTCATCAAAAGCCCGAAATGAGTTTTGCCAAAGCCAAGCGACTCGAGGCGCACAATTTTGTCCGGATAACCCCAGAGTAGCTCTTCTGCAGAAAGTTTTTTAAACAAGGGCTCCCTATAATTATGGATCATTAATGTTGCCATCACCCGTTTAATTGCAGCCATACGTTTCACGTGCACAGCAGCACTTAGAAGGGGGACATTGGGTACCATGAGAATATCCTCTTCTCGAATCGATGATTTTTCCGGCAGAAATTTGTAGGACTTGTGATCCTGCATCGATGCAATAATATATGATAAAATGGTATGCTTGTTATTAAGAATAGAACTTAGCCTTCCATCTAAATCAAGTATTTACAATTTATGGGCATTTCTGTTTCCAACAAGTTGTAACTTTGATTACTGATTATTTGCCAACGATGTGACTCTAATATTTTCTTTTATATACAAATTTGTTATAATTTAAAACTTACCCTAAAGGTAACTGTGTGATTATTGTTAAATGATACGTTGACTTTAACAGTATGCTCTTGATAAGTGAGTGGTCCCAAGTCTTCTACATGTATTTTGTCGACCCGACCCGCGAGATAGTCGTCTATGTTGGTATAGTTGAAAATGTGTGCCTTCAGTAATGTGTCATATTTGGGGTCGGGATTTAACCAACTGTTTGCTGTGTCGGAGTGTTCCGCAAGTATAAGGTTCTATAAGTAAAGCGTAAATGCTCTATTTTAATATCGGTATACATTTTCATATTATGGCTCACCTGCTCACCTCTAGCATAGTATTGTTGTAGAACTCTGTGAACCACATCACAAAGAAACCGGTTACACTAATCACAAAAAGGAGAAACATAAAGCCCAGCACTGTTAAGCATGAGAATGGATCAACAACAGGTCAACAATAAAAGTACTTCATCTGGTCGCTTACGTATGAGAGCACCCAAGTCCTTGGACGTAAGATCACGCTTTTTCGTCTGATTTCGCCAGCCCAGGGCATCCAATACCATTTGGTAAACCGTCATCTTCTCTGGACTATTGGGACTGCTGTTGAAGACACGTATGCTGTGCTGCGAGTTGAGTGTGTTCGATTTGTTTTGTACTTTGAGATCTAGTTTGGTTTCATCGCGCGCAGACACCTCTTGGAGTTGCCCGGCTCCATTGGACATTTGATGTGACATTATGTGAGAAGGGGTACGGGGATAACACAGCTCAGGACTTCTTGTTACTTGATTGCACTGAGAAGACATGTAACAAAATGGTAAGATTTAAACGATTTATTTTTAAATAAAAAAACTCATCAAGAAATGAATTAATTTATCCCTGTCTATAATGATTGCATAATATTTAATTTAATAATTTTCATTTTAATAAATATTTTTGCTGTTTTAGAGATCAGAGCAAAATATCTAATACACATAAACACATAATTAGAATAGTATTTTTAGCTTCCAGTAATGCCGATACAAGGTACATACATACGTATTCTCTGATAATATTTTTAATTTATTTACAGACGCGTCGAAGTCGGACCTCCTGTCAACCATGCAGGCTTATAATGATTCGTATACTAACTAAGCTTCGATTTTTAATTTTCACAAGCTACGCGTGCTGCTGGAACCAAAGTACAGGCTGATAGCTGGCCTTATCAGTGGAGCTTGAGTACATAAATTAGTATATACATATAAACATACATATTAACGTATAAGTAGTGGAAAAAATGAAGACTACATTCTTAAAAATATTTCTGAATTAGCAACTAAGGGGTAATCAATTTTGAATTTTTGCTAAATTTGTTTGACATCAACAGAAAATGGGGTCAACAACATTGAATTAAAAGGAAACACATAATTTAGATTTACTTTAGTTTACAGACATATAGTATGTATACATTTTTATTCAAATACTTATTTAATAAAGGCGAACGGGCTCTTGGTCTGATCTTGAGCGTGCTTATCAGTGCGAATGAACTGCGATTCGATGATTATGTGGTAAGTGAACTACTTAGATTACACTCTCCACATAGAAAATGCCTAAGCAGTGTGAAATTGCGACTTAAAACCGAATCGATTATGTTTTCGAAAGTATACGAGTAGTATTAATTCTGTTAAATTTAACTCGCATACCAAATGTCTATCCATTATCGACAAATGGGTTCAATTAAAATGATACAATAACTGCCGGAAAACATAAGCACATCTCACATTAACGTCTATAAAGTTTTATGCTAAAGTTGCCACAGCAAGATGGAATTTACATGTGGACAAAATTCGAAGAATTTCAGGTTTTACTTCTCTGACACCTTCTGCCTTTTAATTTTTGAAAGTTATGAAGAGAGGGAGCAGGAGAAACTGCACTCTTGTTTAGTTCTTAATATGCTATACGACTGGAACAACACATGCTGCGGCATGGGTGGGAGGAATAGGAATTTAGAGAATAAGGTCGCGACGGCGAATAATTATTTTGGTTTGTATTTTCAAATTTAATCTAGTTAGCGACGCAAAAAATAGCCATTGACTGATAACGATAACAGCGACAGTACAAGAAGATGCGGCGCCTGCTCCCAAAGGCGTTGAAGACATTAAACTCTCCGCACAGCTGTTGCAATGTGAACGATATGGGAATGGAACAGACAACAGTGCACTGGCACTTGCTCACTCACATGCTCTCGCTCTCACTGTTTACTTTAGTTGTATTTGCCTGTTGCTGTTACTTTTGCTGCGTTCTGAGAGCACAAACATTTGGTCTTTCCAAATTAATATTTATGTTTTTCGATTTCACGCTTTATAAAATACATTTGCAGTTAAGTTCTGTTAATCTATTTTCTCATTTTAATTTTTTAAGGTGCAGCACAACACTAACACTTGTTTTGTATCTGAGAGATACTTGTCCCTCCTTCGGTCTTGCGTTTTGTTTTGTTTTGCGACGTATTCTTTGTGTGGAGCTTCTTTGTTTTGTTGCCGTGCGTTTTTTCTTGTTCTGTCAATCGCCCGCATTCGTTGTTGTTTTGATTTGAGCACACGAGCTGGTTTTCCGTGTCGGTTGTTGTTGTCTCCAGCCTTTGTTTTTGTTTTCTGCTGGATAGCTTTTCCGATTTCTATTACACGATCGACTTCAGCTTCATATTTCTAGGCACTGCGTTATGGTCAGAATTGAGGCATTTGCTATTCTTTAAAATTTGTATAACCTCGCCCAATTGATTTCTATCTTTTTTGAGGCACTCACTGGACACTATTTTTGGTGTATTCGCAAGTACGAGTGCAGAATTTGTTCCGTACTGTTGCCCGTGCAACGTTCTGTCTGACGAAACAAGTTATAATACACTAGTAGCCAGCAGGCCAGCGCTGTCGCGGCTGATAACACAACGAACGACAGGCAATAACAACAACATTCCCCTACAATTGCTGATTACGGACTGACTCTGACTCTGGCGTTCACAGACTTGTTGTTTTTCTTGTTGTTGCTGTTGACGTATCGGGATCTCTTGTCTTCTACGTATCAGCAACAAGAACACAAACGCTCTCGAAATTTTTATTATGAGCATATAAATTGTATCCATGCATGGAATAGAACTTACTTATGATACTTATTTGTGCCAATGGCTACTGATCGCACACCCGCGATCTGCAAAAGTGAATCTAATAGAATGAGGAAAAAAAAAACTTGATCCGTTTGTCAGACACGCAGATGGACACTGAGAAAAATTCTACTGTAAGAATGTCGTAAAATATTTATAGCATATTATTTAATTTTATTAATTTGTAAAGATGCCAATTTATAGTCTGTTGACATAAGTAAAAATATTGTACACAGTAATTATAATAAAGTATTCGAATCTAAGAAAGGAGGTTGAAATAATATCCAAGGACGCCCCCACACGTTGGGGAAATTGTTTTTGTCGTTCAGCAATACTAATTAGTTAAAACATTACTTTTACTAGTCATTCCGATTCGAACGAACTAAATTGTAAGATATTTCAAACAATATTAAATGTTAAAGATCGTTTACTTACATATGTACATATACATTTTTTTTCGTTTATAATTACCAACTAATTAACATAAGTAATTACATATATGAATGTAGAAATTTACAAAGTATGACCACTCAGAATTTCTCTTTGTGTATTTAAGGTGCGCTATTTCCATATACCAGAACATACATACGTATAAACAGATGTATATATACTCTTAAATATTATTCCAGCAGCTGTCTCGTTGCCCTTTATTTCCTTGTTTTTTTTTTTTTTGCGATTTTTATAGTAGATACTTTTAAGCAAGTGCCCGTACATATATACGAGTATGTAGGTTGGTATATTTAGATGCATTATCTGCTCAAGCGGGACTATATATTCATACATACTAGACATATGTACATGCGTACTGAGATGGCGATGGCACACATATTTGTTTTGATACTCATCTATGTATGTTTGTGCGTATGTACATACATACGTATTTAATATACTATGTATGTATGTATGTATATTAACATCAGCGAAGCGAATAAAGTCAAGTTATTGAACTCTGCTCAAGTGTGTTCAGTATTTATCAGCTTTGTTAAGAGTTTACAGTTTAATCTCACATTTTCAATACTACCCTTACCGCTCGTAGCGTGCTATTTGTTTTGTCATCGAGCTTGTGTGTGTGTGCTATTAGTAAGTATATACTCTACTCGTATGTATATACGAGGGCATCATATTTTGCATCAACATCAGAACAAATGATAGCCCATTTGAACTTTCGCAATCAAATAGCATTACTGTGATTTCGACAGATGATTAAGCTGTTGAATATTGAAAACTGAAAATGAACGCGCGTACTTAATGACTTTTCAATAATTTTCCATTGACAATGTGTTTAAGCTTTGGTCCACTAAATCGCTTATGAAAAAGTCAAATTTTATAAGTATTGCTGTTTTTCGAGACCAGCTGTTCACATTCCAGGGGAATTGATAGCCTTAATGGACAACAATAAAAATTGGTTTTTAATATCCTATAAAGGCCAGACACATTTATTAAAAAGTGTTGAGGAGCCACTAAGCTACCAAACACCACCAGCTATTCACATTTCGTACCAATATACATATCTTTTTACAGTAAGGTTTATATACAAACATTTGCTCCATTCATATGTATACCTTTGTAAGTATGTACATGCATAGTATGTGTACATATGTATGTATATAAAGTGGCTTATCAGCATACACCACACATTTTAAGGGCACTTAATGCTATTGTTTTTCAAACATTTAAAGCATTCCATGGAGACTGGTTATTTGTAGATTTTACTTATCAGCTTGCCATGGGTTTGTTGCCAAATAAAAAGCAACATTGAGTTTCCATTTCAGATTTGTGCACACACATATAGTATAAACATAATGTGATTAGTAAAAATTGTTGGTGAATTCCTCATTCAAACTGAAAACCCAAGTACTAGCTATCATTTTGAAAATACTTTTGTTTTGAAATGCCAGTAGGAAAATATGAGAACCTAGGTTACCGTAAGTTGAAAAGTGACTTTAATTAAACGAGTTTAAGTTGTGCAATCAATTGCACGCAATAAGCTTAAATTCATTGGTTGTTATTGCATCATTAGGCAAAGTGCGCAGTTTTATTTAAATGTTGTGAAGCAAAACATAAAGGTCAGTTGGATGCCCGTTTTATAATATTCTCATGATAATATTGCATCCACTTTTAAAAATGATTGAACACAAGACCGGAGCATTGGCAAGTTTTCTTAAATAGAATCAGCGTTCAAGAACAATTGTCTTTGGTTTATTCATACATATATATATATATTTTTTTATATATATTTATACTCAATTGCCAAAGATTGTAAGGGTTAATGGCTTAAACGGAACCCAGCTAAGGAAATAACCATGCTAGTTTTAACATTCGTCTGTACAAAAACACAAAGGTTTAGACAAGTAAATGAGCTTCACAAATTTGGTTTGCATGTTCACCTAAAGCCGAGATAGAATTACTTTCTACACACTTCACTGAATGGTGGTTTTGCATCACTCAAGGATTTCGAATGGTGACCATGGATAACCAAATGTAACAAAAAGTACAAATGATTTTTAATTGAAAAGAATATATTAGAGAAATTTAAATGTTTATAGTTCGCGCCCATACATAACTAAATGGGTAATGAAGTGGTGTTGTTGTGAAGGGTACATAGCTTCGGGTGGACGTTTGAGTTGCATATGATTTGTTTTATTAATTAAAATAAATATAATTTTATTCATGTATGTACAACAAAATATATTTTTGGCAAATTTTTTTTGAGTGTAATTGAAGGTTTTTTACGAATAGGGCACACGCAACATTCGATTAGAACTTGTTTCTCAACTCAATTTTCCGATCATTGTGTAAGCTAGTTGCCATTTATCTCTGGTTACATATGTACTTCAAATAGGAAGTCTCTTGGGTATGTATCTTCATGTCAGCGATACCTTTGTGATCGAAATATAATGGATTTTTGATCCACAAAGAGCCTGCTCAGAAAACCCAACCAACTGGTGCAGTTGCTCGAATAATAGGAGTAATGTAATATGATTAAGACACAAATGTAAAAATATTTCTTAGAAATGTAGGGATAGATGAACTGCCGCTTTGGAATTTTCTTTTGGTTTAATGGGAAAGTACTTCAATCGCATGTTAGAATGCATATATGCTCATGAATAGGTATAGTCATATTTTAATCCCCACGTCAGTGTAGTTTTTTCCACTTTCAATGTTAATGCCTGTGTGTTATTTTTAAAAGAAATTTACATTTGGGTTTTGCATGTGGAGTTTTCTAATAAAACGCTTAGTAAACGAATCAAAGGTGAAACATTGCAGATCTGCCACATTAACTAAAGAAACAACAACACTTACAACTGCAACCTTGCGCAATGGCTTCTTAGCGACAAGTTGAATACAAAGAGCAACAAAGTACAATAACTTGTGAACACTTTGCTGTCAGCTCGCATGTAAATTCTCTGCCCATAGGCTTGTTGCCGCAATTTTAGTGCAATAACGACAAAAATGAGTCATTTACAGCTTTGACTAGTGTGTGTGCTAGAAAAAGTCATGATCGGTTATGTGGAAATCACAAAGTATGTTGTCGCTGCATGCTGTGATAGAGCTTGCAGCATAAATCGAAAGACTTCAACGCAAGTAACAAACTTGTTTTATCAGCCACGCGCCGCTTAATAAAAGCTGTCACTATATGAAGCAGCTACATAAATGCGACAATAACAACAAGAGAGCAAAATGAGACACAAGTTAAGCTTACTCTCGATTTTGTCTACCCAGCAGGAAATTTGTACCTCTCTTAAGCAGTCGAATTTAAGTCAGATTTCTGTGGCAAAAACATTTCGACGCCCAATTTGTATGACAGCATATGTTTCTGTTTTAGTAGGCTTTTTTTAAATTCTGTACGGGAATGGAATGCAATATATTCGTTTATACTATATATAGGACGGTTTATCGGCGGATAAAATTCCATTTCATAGCATCCAACAATGTCAATTCTTTATTTATTTCTCACACAGAAATATACAAAATAGGTTTTTCTACCGCATGCTAGAGCTAGAAACCTAACGATTAAATTGTTAAGAAAATTTGAATTGTGGTTTTTATCACTAGCTTTTTAAACTTCCAGTAATCGAGGTAATTGGTAGATTATGAATAGCATAACATCACTATTTTCCAAGTAGAAGGCAACTCTTGACTGCCAATAAAATTGCCCACAAAAGATCGTTGATGAATCAATTATACAAGTATATGAAACTTGGAAGTTACAAAAACTGAGTGTTCCGGCGAATTTCCGCTGGGAACAAGAGCGCTGAGACAGCGCTTAAGCTTAAGCCGAAGCTTACTCTCGCTTTTTTCTTGCTATAGGTGTAGCGCAGAAAAAGAGCTGCTACCTGTTTATCTGGTTTATTGTCGCAATTCAAGCTGAGCTTTCGTTGTCGTCGTTGTTGACGTCGCTGTCGCTGTCGCTGTCGACGTCGTTATCGTTGCTGTTGCCTAAACATCTTTTTCGTAGAGCCGCGCACTCCGAGTCTTTAGTTTTTCAGCGGCATTGCTGGCGTTCAAGTCGTTGCGCTAAGCCGGTATGGTGCTAATTTTTTTCCTTTAAAGTATCTGTGTATATTACATGGTTTTTCTGTTAAATGCCGCCTTTCGTATCCATTCGACGCTCGTGCCGTGTCTAGCTACAATCACTGCATACATATGTGTGCTTGTGCTTATAGCTGTGTGTGTGTGCATTTTTGTGCATGTGTGTTAATTTAACTATTTTGAAATGCCTGACTGCAAGCTAAACATTCAAAGTTGCTTACAGTTTGTTTGCCTGATTTTCTTTCACAAAATCAACAGCAACAGCAGCAACCGCAGATAGCGACCCAGCAACAAACAGTGTGTGTTCGAATGGGATTGCGTGTGTGTGTTTGTGTGTGTGTGTGTGAGTGTGGTGTGGTCGCATTCCAAGACGTTGGTCCGATACTCTGGTTGGTCAACTTAGCCAGTTAGCACCGCACCACAGCTAAAAGATGCAAAATTTTTTAGCATGTTGCTGTCGATTCCAGCGTTATATGTATTTTAATATCAACTTCCTCACCATCAACATCTTCATCCGCTTTGAGCATCATTATCTTCATCAACTCTGTAGCTTGAAGGGAGCTTTCGCAAGACCTTACCAAACGAAATGTAACCAAATGAACATGCCTATTGACTTTAACTGCCAGCGCTTAAAGCGGAAAATTATTGAGTTATGCATTGCCAGCCACAACACATTCAAAAGAAAACCAAAACAAAAACAACAACAGCAAACATATCCACCAATGTGCGTGCGCAGCTTAGAAAACTTTAAACTTTATACATAATCTGAGCCACAACTCAAACAAAATGCTGTCCATGTAGTATACATACTTTACAACATATATGTACCTACATACGGGTATATTGTATCTGTATCTTAATGTGTACATACTCGTATATGTGTGTGTGTGTGTTTTTGTGTGTCCAAAAGCGCATGTACGTGCATAGTTTTTATGATTACTTATGTGGAAAAAGTGAAATTTGCTGTGCAGCAGCGCACAAGCAAGACACTACAAAAAAGCAAAACAGCACCTGAAAATTAAAATCACAATCAAAGTAAAATGCGCAAGTTTTGGATAAATAAATACAAATGTATAAATAATATAAAAGTGTATGTAGATATGTACATATATACATACATATGTTGTTTGTTCAGAGCACGCTGACCACATAACGCATCAAGCAGCAACAACAACAAAAACAACGGCAACAGCAACATCAAAGAAAAAGGAAAGAAAATAAAAGAAATGGCTTTGAGCTTGATGTTTTTTGATGGCCAACTGAATCATCAGTATTTTACATTCAAGGTGCCATAAGTGCTCACCAAATTGGCATTTCAGCTTCAGTTTCGGCTTAGCTTTGGCTTCAGTTTAAGCTTCAGCTTCAGATTCAGCTACGTTGTGCGTGCATACACAATTACCGGGCTTTGTAAATGGCGCTCTGTCAATGTTGACACATTTCACTCCAAGTAAACATGCCATAATATTTAAAAAGAAAAACAAAATTTGCTCACCTGTCTTGTGGCTTACCCCACTGTTCGTTTGCACGAACCTACCTTCATTGTCTTATTTTAAAAGTCCCGGCTGCCACCTGCCTACCAAAACTGACCTACTACTCTATGACGAAGTCCAAGTCCATTGTGGCCATTGTTGCTGCCATATAAAATTATTTCATTGTATTATCAAATGCAATAACAGCAGCAATATTTTTCAGACATCTTGTCCCGTCCGCTTGCCTATTTGCCTGCCACTTAGCCGGCTGCCACCATAGCTACCCATTCTCCTCATCTCTCCTCACTCCGGCTTTGACTTGGCAAGTGACGCTCACAGACACAACACGCACAGACAAGCTCACAAAATACAGCGCGCGCAACTTTTTTTTTATAAATTGGGTCAGGGTAATTGTCAACACTAAATAACGCATATATGCATGTATACATATCTATGTAGGTATGTGTATGCGTGTTTATTTGTTTGTGTAACATTTAAGCGCAGTGAAATTATGCTGCGGCTCGCACTCGCACTTCTCTCTCTATATAGTAGTTGGCTCGCGAAAATCTGCACTGCACCAAAGCTTGGATTAGAAGATAGAAATTATGCTTCAAAACTAAAATGGTACATTTTAAAATTTTAAATGAGCCGTAGAATGTTAGCTGGTTTTAAGTGCATATTATTAATTCCCCGAACGGATTACAATTTACAAGAAAAATAGCAAACCTTTTGCGTTTTCGAAACTTTTTATTCCTCAAATATCTATTCAATAGTCAAACATGAAATTTTGTTAGTTCTTGAGTGGTTTTTGCTATTTCAATTAATTTACAAAAAACGGAAATAGAAACATATTCAATCAACAAGTATGTGCATATCTCAAAATGAAGTATTGACAATATTTTGTGCACAGTGCAGTGTCTTGCAAAAGAGTGGACGTTTAGCTGTCGTACATGTCGTTGAGTTAACCGAGCGCGCGCGCTACGCTGACGGATGTCTACAGTCTGAACACTTTCAGCTTTCTCACGAGCATTAAGACCCCCCCCCCCTTCCCCTCCCCTCCCCCCTCACTCGATATTCTCGATTGCGAGTGTGTGTGTGTGTGTGTGTGTAATTGTGGCTTAGAAAGTAAGTTGCCGCAGACCATTTCTATTGAATTTTGATTCTGACTAAGTGCAAACAACAACATCAGAGGCATGCTCAGATTTCACGAAAAGTGGAAACAGGTGTTAATTGCAAGCAAAACAGCAACAACAATGCATGATATATTTAGCATTTAAGCTGATTACATCAGTTTTATAATGCATATACGAGTAGTATAGTATATGCTAATTTTTGAAAACACCTCTTGTCTACAATCTGTCTAGAATATAACATTAATTTATAGCATATCTAGAGGCGCATGTTTGAAAATAGATTAAAATATTGGAATGTGAACTTGAACTTGAACTTCTACATAGCCATAAATAAATAACGTGACTCACGACTTGCGTGCTCGACAAAATTAAACCAAAAAAGAGTATACTCTCTAATTTGTACAAGTACATACATATGTATATGGAACTTCAGTTGTAGTCGAGTCGCATTTGCCGTCAGTAAATACCATCATACTTCATCTTATTTCATCATTTTCTCAAATTAATATTGCCGGCTAGTAACGCATGACTTACTTCGATCATAGGCATTGCCTCAGTGCCTCATGCAACCTTTCATTAATATTCAACTTCCATGTGTTCTACAGAAACAGTTTGTCATACTGGTTTACATTGAAAGCGCTACGGATACGATGAGGAATTGCAAAACTACTTGTACATAGTACATGTTAAGAAATGCCGGATTTTTCTGCTTTCCTTTCGATTTAGTATCTCTTGTATTAAGCCAATAGCGCTTAACAATGCAATTAGCTTGACATTCAATGAATAATCTGTATTCATAATGGTTCTTATCTAAGGCAATCAATTATTTGTTGTGCCATTGATGCCATCTAAAAACAATGGCGACTGATGCCGCATTTGTACCTTTTAGCATTCAAGACCAAGATAATTGTTGTTTTTGCCATTTTATTTATGGCTAATGCAAAAAGCCTAACGGTCCAATAATTATGAATTGTGTGTCGTCGATTTGAAGCCAAAATATAATTATTAACTGATTAGTATGCAATGAGCATACAAAACGAGTCAAAATGCACAGGGGAGGGCGAGGACAGCCGGACAGCCGGACAGCTGGACAGACAGGCCGGCGGTCAGGCGGTTTTTCTAATGTGGACAGAGCCAAGCTCTGGCGTCAATATTCAGTTAATGACGAGCAACGAACGGCAGCGACAACAAAAACATCGACCTTGTGGCGTTCGCGAGCGCAGCAACCTCAAAAATATAAAAAATATATTTAAAAACCTACTAGTTGAGTATGTTATATAAACCAAAGTACAAAGTTGGCGTTTAGAATCTATAGGAAAAGTGACAAAAAAGAAAACGATAACTTTAACTCGACAACTTCCGCGACTTGGTCAACGCAAATAAGTTAACGAGAAATTGAAAACAAAAAAAGTAGACGGACAAACGAATAAGCTTTAAGAGCGGAGATATGCACGCGTCTCGGTTATGAACGTGCCTATATATCAGATAGCTGCAACATTGTGATAGTTGATATGTGAGATGGGGCCTATTACATATATCAGACAATGACGGACTTGGCTATCAATGCATCAGCTGAGGCCTACGACTCAATCGGTTTTATTGCAATACACAGTTTCAGACGCACGTTTCTTGATTGCCTTGGAATTTGATTGCAGCAACAATGGCAACAACAAGCCGACTTGCCAGCTTAAAGTCTCAATTCGTTGGCAAGTTGGCAAGCATAAAAAAAAACAAAACAAAAAAAGTAAAATAAAATACAACTAAAATCGTATTTGCGATCCAACAATCGAATGCTCATTCAATGAGACTAATAAGTCACACTTTGTATGCACAGGCCTGCAATTGTCGAGTTGAAATATTGACAAATTGGCAAATTGAAAGACTGATTGACGCACACGCACTCAAACTTAAACTCGGATGGCAGCTCAATCTGCAATTCAATTTCTATTGTTCGATTTGGTTATGGCGACGTGTCACGCCTGCAAACGGCCCGAAAAAATGTAAAACGATTGCACGCTTGAAATTGCCAGAAAATATTTGTGGTCATTAGTTTTTGCTGGTGCTGTGGCGATTGTTTTGATATTTGTCAGTTTATATTATTTATTACCGTCATGCCAAAAAGGAAGCATTGGCCAAAAATTCATTAATAAACCATTTAAAAATCAAACAGCGCCACTCACTTGCGCACGCATCAATTTTCTGTCGGCATTTAGCAGCAAAAAAATTTGCTCAAACTCATATTCATACATTCATATCTGTGCGTATGTATGTATTTACATACATACATATGTTCACTTGTTGTTCATGAAAAAAAAACAAAAAACAAAAAAAAAATCAACAAAATTTAATAACAGCCTCGGCTGTGGTCAAGGTGCTTTCAGCGTGGCAAAAATGCGCAGTTAGTGGCCAGAAGCGCTCCCTTGCCTTCGCCCGCTTTGTACTACCGGTCAGATCCTGTCTATAAAAGCCGTTCAACGTTCAGCTATCAAGTTTAATTGTTAAGCGTTATAAGCAAAATGGCTACTTAAATACAGAGAGACAGATACGTGTCTTGGTGTGTGTGATTGTGCAGTCGGAGGTTAAGCGAGTTTATGCCCTTTGTGGAAGGGCGCGTACGCTCATTGTCAGCAACAACAAAGCAGCAACTTTGTTGTTGTTTTGCACATCTCCACTGACTTGAGCAACTTGCCTTAAAAACTAATTTTATAATAAACAAAAAGTGATTATTAAAAGCCAACAATTTTCAAGCGCAAAACTAGTTGTGCTGACTTGAAGGTTCTGAGCCGATGTTGCCGTTTCAGATACATAAATAGACAAAACAGAGTTTCCAAAAAAGCAACCATATAACATTGCATATCACTTTGTCTAAAGGCAGACAACTGACAACTGACAGCAGACAGCAGACAAGAGACAACAGACAACAGACAAAAGAAGAGAGTCAGACTGTTGGCAAAAACGACAGAAACAACAATAATTATTATCTTTGATAAATCAGCTCTAAAGACTAAAAGACAACGACTCAAGCGTCGACAAACTGAAAAAGCACAAGGCTAACACGCCCAGAGAAACGTGTCTGGTCGCTTGGGCAAGTTCAGCTGTCGTCTCGAGAGTCGCAAGTGCTTCATTTTAGCCATAAAAACATAAATAATTATGTGTACATATGTACAAGTATGTATCTGTCTATCTATATACATAAATGTATGTGCATAACTCAATGATAAGTCAATGTCGCTTAGAACTTTAGAACTTTGACATATAAATACAAGTCAGCGTCTTAGCACCTACCACATTCACACACACACATACTCGCATGTACATATGTATGTACTTATATAGAACGTGTGTATGTGCCAGTATGTAGAAGGCACAATCAGGCTCGTCGCGTCGTCGAATGGGGCGAACAAAGGCATTCAATATATAATACACGATCTGTTTAACGTTTAAACCAGTATTTTAAATATCGTATATTTTGATTTTAGTTCACAACAACGAGACGTTCATTTTGACACAACAACAGCAACCAACAACATGAACGGCCCAAAACATAAACTGTGCACCAAACTGTCCAGCACATATTTGCGCAAGTGGTGTAAGTATAGTATACATATAAGTCGTATAGTACAAGTATGTACATTCGTCGAGTCATATGTACACAAAACCTGACAGCTATAATAATGTTGGTAAAATTCTCTGAAATAGTTTATCTTGTCATAATGGTGACCTTGCTTTTAAAAAGATACTTACACCTTCTTAAATGACGAAAGACTATCTTTGGGTTGGGCTAGATCAGTAACTGCCAGAGCATTCAACTGGCATATAAACAGATCGATTTGCTTCTTAAGTTAAAATTTGTTGTAGAAATTTTCGATAAAATGCTTCTTAAATTTCGAAACGAATGCCTTGTTATAGCGTTTTATGTGAAATTAACAATCTGTAGGAAAAACAAAATTTTCTTTTTAAAGTATAAGCTCTGCCTGTAACATAAACAAATCGATCTGCATTTGTAATTGACTTTACAAGGAATTAATTCGAATGCACTAATTAAAATTTTTTATTTCTTAAAAAAAATTAAACTGAATGAAAAAAACCAATTCAATTAAACTATAGAATTACGATTCCATGAAACTGCTCGAACATATACGTGTAATAGTGGAAGTAGGTACCAAAAAAGCTGACAAATGCTTCAAACATGCCATGAATTGATTGTTCGTCATTTAATTTCCTATGTATAGTCATAAATAGTCGGGTCCAATTCAAGTCATTCTTATAGTTGTAGTGTGTACATAACTCCACGTGCCTTTTGTTATTGCCGCTTGTCTTCAAAATAAATGAATAAGTTTACTGACTGGTTATACTGGTATTTCAATTTATTCCAATTCTAATTGATTCTATTTAAAGTACAGGGGTACCAAATGCTGTTATGTCCGTCCTTTAGTTAAACAACAACTCACACACACACACACATACAAAATAAAATATAGACGAGTATATGAATAAATCAACTCCAACTGACATTGCGTTCTGTCAAGGTTCTTACACAGATACTCGTACTAGTCGCTGTTGGTTTCTTAATTTCAGTTATTTGTGAGTTTCCTTTAATACACAGTGAACGCACACAGACACTGACTAATTGTCGATTGACTGACATACTTAGTTTGATGGTGCATTGAAGTTTTCAGTCAATTTCAAGATCAGTCGAACAAGGATGTCCACAATTTCGAGGCATATCGGTGATGGCAAACTAGTGTGATATATGGTATGTAGATAGATATGTAGATAGAGAGACAGACACATTTTTAAACGGCCAACAACACAGTTAGCATGGTATGGATAACATTCTGCTGGTCAGTTGAATAGAAAATGATTTATATTTAGTATACGAGTATCTTGTAGAATTAATTCAATTATTCTGTCGGTTGAGAAATGCATTTTAATTACAACATGTGTAATTTCGTATTCAACAAATTATTGCGAATTAATTGTTTAATTGCATGATAATTCGAAAAGCTAGGCAAACAACAAGCCATTAAAAAGGTCAAAGGGCTGCACCTATAATTAGCACTCTTGGGAATGTGATTAAAGCGGAAGAGCTTTGGCTAGACTTAAGTTTCTTGGGCGTGACTTATTCTTCTTATACAATATACTTGTAGTAATTGAGACATTTTGAAAACCTATTGACTACTACTATCAAGCGAATCAGATAATTATAGGTATTAATTGGCATACTTAAATGCTTACTGACTTTTCCCCAGCTCCCGTATTCAATTAAGGATAATAACTAATAAGCAATGATATTTAAACGGAAATAATATTTGCATTTAAAGCGCATTTAATGTCAGTGCCACTCCAACAATTTCTTTATAACTTTATGGAGAAGACTATGGAAAAGTTTAAGCATATAATTATTTGTTCTTTATAAGCTTGTTTGCAGACAGACTTGTTTATTTAATACGAGCAGATTTGAAGAGGAGAGACTTGTTTTCGATTTGTGAACTTCGTACACGGGCTCGCAAACAACTTTGTGTTTTTATAAGTATCAATCGGGTGGCTACGCAGCCTATAGCTTTGTAAACATAGATCTCCTATTGCAAAAATATTTCAGTGTGTGACGCATTATTTGACATATTTATAGTACACTAAGAATTCTCACGTTAATCCAAATATTTGCTATTCGCAACCATCTTGCCAATGCGAAAGCCCGCAACACCAACGGTTGCTGACTGGTCTACCTTTATTGGTTGACTAACATGTGTGTGGTGTGTGCACAACTATAAGTACAAAGCACTTGGCCTGACTCATCGCTATCATAGCTAGTTGGTTGTCAAATGGCAAAACAATTGCGTACTACTACAGTAATTTATGCTGCAATTAGTCAAGTGTCTGACTATTTTGAAATGCCCCAATGTACTAAACGCATTTAATTTTCCAGGGATTACAATTGCCATTGCGGCCATTTTAATAATTGGCGGCATTGTTGTGGCTTGTGAATTCTCCGTGCTAATTAATGCGATCGTCGATCGCATGGTGGCCCTGCGACCCGGCGCCAAGACCTTCAACTGGTGGGCCAAGCCACCAGTGGAGCCCCGAATCAGTCTCTATGTGTACAACGTCACCAATGCAGACGATTTCCTTAGCAATGGCTCAAAGGCCATTGTCGACGAGGTGGGACCATATGTTTACACGTAAGTGGCCGATCCGACCAGAGGATGCACATGCAAGCAAGCTGACAGTGTTATTTCAATTCACAGCGAGACATGGGAAAAGGTGAACATTGTGGAGAATGACAATGGCACGCTCAGCTATAACCTGCGCAAGATCTACACGTTTCGTGAAGATCTGTCCGCGGGTCCCGAAGACGATGTAGTAATTGTGCCCAATATTCCCATGCTGAGTGCCACATCGCAGAGTAAACATGCAGCCAGGTAAGTGATGCAACTTAAAGAGCCCTAAACGCTGCTACTTATTAACTTTGAACTTGACACAGATTTTTGCGCCTGGCCATGGCCAGCATCATGGACATACTGAAGATCAAGCCGTTTGTGCAGGTATCGGTGGGTCAGCTGCTCTGGGGTTATGAGGATCCGTTGCTGAAGCTGGCCAAAGACGTTGTGCCCAAAGAGCAGAAGCTGCCTTACGAGGAGTTCGGACTTCTCTACGGCAAAAATGGCACATCATCGGATCGTGTCACCGTGCACACGGGCGTCGATGATATCACGCAATACGGCATTATTGATAAGTACAATGGACGCACACACTTACCGCACTGGACGACGGAGGAGTGCAACCGCCTGAACGGCACCGATGGTTCCATTTTCCCTCCTCACATCGATCACAGCCGCATTTTGCATGTATACGATAAGGATTTGTGTCGTCTACTGCCACTTGTTTTTGAAAAGGAAGTAATCACAAAGAACGAGGTTCAGGGTTATCGCTTCACGCCACCCGAATCTGTGTTTGCCGACGTCGATAGGAGTCCGGAGAACATGTGCTTCTGTCCGGCCGGTCAGCCATCGTGCTCACCCAATGGCCTGTTCAACGTTTCACTCTGCCAATACGGTGAGTAGATGTGCCGATTAGGAGTCTTCTATTGTTTTTAAAATTCTTCAATTTCGTGCAGACTCTCCCATTATGTTGAGTTTCCCACATTTCTATCTCGCCGATGATAGTCTCCGCACTCAGGTCGAGGGTATTTCGCCGCCCGAGAAGGAGAAACATCAGTTCTTCTTCGATGTACAGCCCGTAAGTCAAAGAATTCAATCCCTTTCTCCAGCCTTATCTCATTTCGTTAATTTCCTATGTACTTGTATTTCAGAACATGGGAACTACCTTGCGCGTCCGTGCTCGCATACAAATCAATCTGGCTGTCAGCCAGGTGTTCGATATCAAGCAAGTGGCCAACTTCCCGGACATTATTTTCCCCATATTGTGGTTCGAGGAGGGCATTGACAGTCTGCCCGATGAGGTGACGGATCTGATGCGTTTTGCTGAGGTTGTCCCACCCAAAATTCGCATCGTCCTCATTGTGGTGTTGTGCGCCCTCGGCGTGGGTCTGTTGCTGTTGGCGACCTTTTGCCTAATCCGAAACTCGCATCGACAAAGTACTCTGCATTTGGAGGGCTCCAACTATTTGGCTACGGCGCAAGTGGACATGAATAAGAAACAGAACAAGGACAATAATCCAAGCAATGTGAGATATTGAGCGTAGACCTTAAGCATTTAGTCTGTAAACCTTAGCTAGGAACGCAAGAGCACACCTGAACCCTATCGGATGGGTTGGGAAAAGTGTGCGCCTGCGTGGTATAGTCTAGAACAAATGGAGCTGGGAAGACTTGTATGTACTTATTGTGTATTGTAGTAGGTTCTATCTTTTTAAGTATACTATATATGTGCGTGTACTATTAAATTCGATGTTTAGGTTTTAGTCTTCTTAACAACTATGTATGTACTTAAGAACGGTCGTGATCGCTTTAAGTCTCAAATGTGTGGCTCAATTCGGCTACTCAGCAACTCAAAACAAACAAAACAAACAAAAAACGAAAGCAAAAACCAAGAAAAAAATGAAAAAAACACATAATCACAAAATTGTTGTATTCCAATTTTATACCAAAAAAATTGTTGAAGCATTGCGGTTTGCCAAATTCTATGTCACAAACGGTTCTCAAAAATTCAACTGTAATCAAAGGAATTCCATGTTCGCCGTCCATACAAATGTGCTTCATTAGACCAAAATCCGAACATTTGATGTGGCGCGATTTAATTAAGTTGCATTAATCAATTATATATGTTTGTATGTATATGCATTGTGTTATTGTATAATCGCAGTATGACTTAATAAATACAATAAAATACGCTATTATTTTAATAAGGCACATCAAATCGAGCACATTAATTTTCTATGATCTGTAAAGCAATTCGAATTCAATCAGCTATTGGCAGATGCCCTTTTTCGGAAAGCTATCAGTGTCAAAAATGTTTGTCTCCTTTTTTGTATGTAAATGTTCAGCTGTTTCCAACAATTTGTTTTAAAGAATAAAATATTATAGACTTAAATTATGTATTCTTTTTTATGCAAACTGGAATTTGAATGCGTTTAATTGTTATTGGCACGAGTCCAATTCGTAATTAGATTCATTTAAATTTTTTCCGAATAAAGGCATCTGTTTGTTGGAAATTTAAATATTATTTTGCGAAACGGGGAACAGCTGCCACACTACACCTCTCAACTAAATGGATTGAAATAATAATAATAATATCTTAGGTCTCTATCAGCCAACGAACGCCTAGCCCAGATGGTATTTATGGCCAAACTCAATACACTTCCCATTATTAACAACCATCACTGTAAGCCATAAAAGCAGCTGAGCGTAACTAGCTTGTATTTGCTCCATTATACACCCTCGGCGATAAGGCGGAAACACAAATGTCTGCGGTTGATAAGCAATTCGGAGATGCGATTACGAATAGTCAAGACTATTCGATTATCTGCAGCAGAATAAATGTTTGACGTTTGTACGAATTTTTGCGAGCGGGTTTGTAAGAATTGATAAGAAGAAACTGATTCAGGAACTGTTACACTCAATGCGTTGATCTCCAAGTCTGGTAGGCCCGAATCACAGTTTAATTCGTGGAACCCAATGCTTACTTCTAGGCGAGACCTTGTTCTATCATCGATTTACACCATACGTGTATATCGCCGAAATCCTACCCTATAACCATGGTTGTGATATGAAGATTAAAAAGATTCTGAAAAGGGTTACTTTTGCCAAGCAAAACATTAACAAAATCAGACCACATAATAATAATTCTTGAGCTCGGTAAACGCTTTGTACCCAAATAGTAGTATTATGTAGTCCTATTTTTATGGGTCTCTTTTTATTCATTTTATAATAATGGAAAAAACCATTAGCTGAATTATAGGCACAAGCCTCTAAAACAACTTTTGTAAGTGCATAATGTTTAAATATTATCAGCATAACTTTGATGCAATCTTTTGGGTGTTTCAATCCAAATGCTTTTTTCCGATCAAACCAATCTGATTGAGGATTGAACTTAATTTAATTTCAGCGTCTGCACATTGCAGAATTGTCCAGCAAGTTCAGTTTGTAGCCCTTTCTTTTATCTCTCCTCCTGCTGTGGACCTTGAGAGGTGAGCTAAAGCTACAGCAGTGAATGGCAAAGAGGTGGGATGGCAGTTCGTCAAGTCTGCTGCCGCAACCAACATTTCCGCAAAAATCACACCGGAATGTTACGCAACTTGGCGGGACTGTCCGACAGTTTGAGAGAGAGCTGCTGGTCGGCCAGCTGCGCACGTCTCAATGGCTGAGTTCGTATCCAGTTTAGTGACTAATCTATTGTAAGCAAATGTTAGCAATAGCCTAAATAAGTATTTTAATGGAAAAAGTTAAGGAGCCCATTAGTCAGTGGAGACTTATCAGCTAATTGTTACATAATACCTAATTAAAAATAGTTAAATTGCCTAAATGCATCATTTAACTTAATCAATAATACCGAATCAACCCAACAATTGCTTGGAACCGGAGGGCAATGAGCAACGATTTAAAGTCGAGCTTTGTGCTAACTGGAGGTCGAGGCGTCTTGTTGTTTGATTTTTAGGCTTTGTAGTCATAAATCTTGTGACAATTATAACAATATCTGTGTGCGTGTATTTAACGTGTACGATAAAGTTGACAAAGAGTCCAGCCGCTCACGTACTGTATTTAAGAGCCTCACCGCATAATTGCGCTTTACAAATAGGTATAGCTGTGTATATTTAACACTTTTGCACTTTTTTTTATTTGTATTGTATGGAATCTTTTCATTTTGACAGGTTTTGGTTTCGGGTTTTTTGAAGTAAGATAGTACTCCCAACGTTCAAGTCGCTTAGTTATTAATTAGGTTTAACTCTATAAAAAATATATAAAGGAAATACAAAGTTCGATAAAAATGTTTAATGTTTATTGTACTTTGAAGCAAAATGACAACCGATAAAAACAATTTTAAAACACCACCATACCTAAAATGTTCAAAAGCCTGAGCCTTGGTTTTGAAAAATTAGCAGACCTGCTCAGCAAATAAACGACCAGGGCTTTGCATATATTGAGAACAATTTTAAAAGTAATATTAAATACGGAAATGTAATGAAGTATAGGCAATTGCAGAGTATCTCATTGTCCATTCCACTATATGATAAAGCTTTTAATCTCGATGCTTCCTGAACCCGAACTCTTTACCTGAACGCCTCAAGGTAAGCAACCCTTTGTGCGTATGTATGTCCAGTTGAGCGTGTTCGTGTTTACTTTAATTTACATATTAAATAAATGTAATTTCTACAGAGATGCTGGCGGCTAAGGATGCCCCCATTTCAACGACATAAGCATTTTTTACAGCAATATCCATCAAATAGCAGCCTTATTATCTTGTATTTAGGGATTAGTTATTAGCGAGCCGATTTATTTACATAATTTTAGATACAAGTATTAAGTGTGGTAATTTACATAAAGAGAGTTATATCATAAATGCCGCTCACACAAGATTTATGATCTCTCGATGACGTACATATGTTGTTTAAATTAAATTATATACTATGTTCGAGTATCAACACCGTCAATGACTTATTGGCCAAGCAGTAAAATAAGCATTAAATTTAAGTATGTAAGTTTTGGCATATTCTAGAATTTTGTTGAAGTGACTTGCGTCATTGTCGTAAAGCCGTCGTAAAAGTATTTTGATTTTAAATAAACTTTACTTTACTTTATAATTTTTTATTAGATATCTGCTTGCTAAGCTCTAAGATACTCAGAGTAATTTTTAATATTTGAACTACCTACGTATGTACATGCTTCCAGATTTCTCGAGTAACCGTACCTAAAATCAAGTTTTCGTATTAATGGGTTAGTCATGGCATGAGCCTAAAGCTTAACGCATTCATTTGGATATTTGCATTGAGAAGCCATAAACTGCTGATTGGTGATGGCGATGGGGGTAAAGACCGAAGCTGGCCAAGTCAGGGCAAAAGCTTTCGAAATCTGGCTAACTCTAGACTGTTTGCACACCCATACGAGTACACACATGTGTATGCTTAACTAAAAGGGAAATCCATAAAAAAGAGTTCAACCATGATTACAGCATACGCGACTCCACACATCAGGCGGTCAGATAAAAATAAAAAGAAACACTTTAGTCAAGTGGGAAGTCTGAGTCGACAAAATAAGCATTTCAGTTTTCACGTAAATGTTTTTCCGCTGAATTTTGGCATGATAGGTGAGACGTGCACCCCAAAGTCAAAGTGTTGCGACTTAGACACAACTAAACTTTGGACATCAGGTCCAACAAACTGCAGCTGTGGCCAAAAATCTCGGTTTGGGGGCAATTTTAGTCCACTACAATCTTAAAAAATCAAAATCTACCTCTAAATTTAGTTTGAGAGATTTTGTCTTCTGACAATGAACGGATTTTGGCGCAGAATTTGCAGTTCTTCAAATATTTCTTGAGTTTGCTATTGGGTTTTAAAGATGGGGCGGGTTCTGTACAGAAAAGGTATTCGCCTGTCTTGTAAATGTATCATAATTGTCACACAAGCCGAAAAGCTCAAATATGTGGCAAAGCTTCACAAGCAAATAGAAAAAAATACCGAAAACACCCTACGAAATGGGCCGAGGCGCTTGACAGTCGGGGCCCCGGTGGCCGAATTCAGGTGAAAATCGTTGCGCTGTGTCCAATATTAAAATCCGGTTCACTTGTCAGCTTTGCGGCTACACTGTAAACGTAAACATCTGACTTACGACAATACCTGAACTTTGAATAATTGAGAGCTGACGATGGAGCTTTCTTTGCCGAAAAATCGCGCTCAGTGTAAGAGATACGCCGAGCTTCCAGCTATAAAAGTACGCTAAACAGGCTACCAGCTCGCAATCAAATCAGAGCTGTGTCGTCGTCAGCATCGCGTTCCACCCACCCAAGCACACAAGTTCCGGCGACTAAACCAAAAAGTAAGTAGAGTGTTGAATTGGGAAATTTGTTACAAATCATGTGCACCCATATATAATGGAGTTAGGACTATTTGTGCAATAAATTTAAATCGAAATGCTTGCTCGCTTGCAACTGCAGCTGCAAGAAAACTTGAAATCGATATCGTTGTCAATGTTGCGTAAAACTGTGGGACCAAATTGGCAGTATTCGTGAGGCCGTTCAAAAGAAAAACCCAATATAAAAACAACGACAACCGCATCGGCAACGAAAAAAAACTGACCAACAGTCGTCGAGACTGTTGTTGCTGTTATTATATAAAATAATATGTGGCAGTATCGCTTTGCGCTTGCGCACTGATTTGAATATAAGCGTTCGACGTGGTGGTCATTGATAGCCCATGTCCATATCGCGCTTGTGAAATCTTTAACGTATTGTAATTCACTGAAATTGAACAACAACAAAAACCAATTAGTATGCATGTGCGATACATGCGGGCCCCATTAATAATGCATGAAATTATTGGCTACTAACGGTTTTCTAAGAACCTTTGCCACCTCTCCCTAAACAGCTCAGAGGGCTGACCTCATCCCACTAAAGCTAAAGACGAGATGTCTCCCAGTCTACTAATCTAAGTAATTGGCGGTAAATTTAAATTTCGGTGTCCTTTGAAATTTTCGATTGTTACACGCCTGAGTACTGAATGATATAAAAATACATTTAGTTGATATGCATACGATGTGATTCTTTTTATCGAGGTTCGCCTGCATTTACCAAAATTGTTGTCAGGTCATGTAGCTGGCAGTCTTAAAATATAAAACTTGAAGCCGTCTAATATTTGTTGAAAGTCCGAAAACAAATAACAATTCGTCATTCACACAAGTTAAGCACATTTGGTTTTTCCCCTGTTAAAAATAGTTGAATTTGTTTGTTTACAGCTTCAACATGAAAGCTTCACTAGCCATTTTAATTGTGCTCGTGTTTGCCGGCTTAGCAGCGGCCGACAAGCAATACACCAACAAGTTCGACAATGTCAATGTGGACGAGGTGTTGGGAAACAACCGCATCTTAAACAACTATATTAAGTGCCTGATGGAGAAAGGTCCCTGCACGCCCGAGGGACGTGAGCTGAAACGACTGCTGCCAGATGCTCTCGAGTCTGAATGCTCAAAGTGTACTGATGTGCAGCGTCGCAACTCGAACAAGGTCATCAACTACCTTCGCGTAAACAAGCCCGGCGAGTGGAAGCTGCTCCTGGATAAATACGATTCGAAGGGCATTTACAGGGCCAAGTACGAGGCAGCATCGAAAAAAGGCCATTAATACTGCATCATAGTTTTCCAAACCATTTCACATTAAAAACAAACTTAACTTAAAACACAATAAAAATTGAACTTTTTATACCTATTTACTGTAAACAAAAATCTTGAATTGCAACGCAAAAGGAAATTAGCAGAAAATTGCTTTTGGGCTTTTAAATGGGGTATGCTTCAGCGTAACTTAACGTAAGAATGTCGCTGCCGACACAACGATTTTTGTTATTTTTCATTGATTAAATCTATGGCCTTGAAGTGATTAACAACGTTGATGGTCCAGTCTGATTGTTGGCCAGTAGTAAACTCCTTGATAAAGCGATAGTTGCAAATGAAGACTTTGTCCTGATACTCTGGCATTGTGCTGCAAAAAGAAGCATTGATAAGTTGATGTTTCTTACACATTTTCTATCAATTTTATAGTTATTTATAAAACAAATAAAAAGAGTAAATAGCGTGCTTTGCCGAAGCTTTACAGCCTTACTGTGTCTTGGAATAAAAATAAAACTCATCAATGGTTAACGGCCGCTCGTAACTAACCGTTGCCTTAAGTATTAATAATTTTTCTTCCTTACCCCATGTTCCAGGGTATCTCCTCGCCACGTTCTCGCATCTCAGACAGCCCGCGCATAACATGGAAGACCATAGTGATTTCAACCCAACGCTTTTGAATCTTATCATTGGCCTCATCGAACATGATCCCTATTTGATACGGAAACGACAAGTATATGTCGCTTTCGTTGATTTCTAATTGACGACGTTGGGTCATAGACAGTTTCTGTATTACGGGTTTCAGTTCGGTGATGGCTTCCGTTGTAACAAGATTCTGCAACGCGTTTAAATCTCCCCCCACCATTTTAGAGGAGACAACCTAAGGAAATACCAATTCAAAACTTGAATTTTCTTAATTACGTTTTTAAAGACTAGGATCACACTCACTTGTAGTGCTTTTTTTGCACCAAACACAAAGTCCTTGACCTGAAACTCACTATCCAGATAGGGCCGTATGATGAACTTTACTGTTATCCAGTTCTTGACTGTATTAAAAACTGAGGGCCATATTACCTTTTTATTTAGGAAACTTTGATTTATTGTTTAATTCATTTATTTCAGTTTCACATTACCTCGGGAAATTGCATGAGGCGGGGCAAACGATTTCTACTCGGCTGCTGTTGCTCTTCATGTTCTTTTCTGTTTTCCTGAGGCAGCGTAGATAATTGCCGGCTTGTTGTTGATGCTCCTGCGTACTTTATAGATGCATGCAGATTGGGATTATGCCGTAGAAACGGCATGTTGACCAAACAACGTCTAAGTGTATGTTGCATTGCAACTGGCAGGCACGAACAAATTTAAAATTTTGTGTAATTGTCCTATCTATAAACAAATTCTACCTAGTTACAATTACCAGATTTCTTGCCAGCTGATTCAATATTGCAGGTTGCCACCTTGTTGTAATCGCATGTGACCTCTTTCCTTTATATCGATATATTTAAAGTCAAATATATTGCGCAATTCGTAACATTCTTGAAATTAAATTCATATACATAATTAAATTCATATGCATATTTATATATTTGTAGTTTTACTTAGTTTGTTAAAAAGAATAGTATGTGTGCATATCAAAATACATTTTAAGTGGCAGCAAAATTATAATGGTAACAATTTGCGAATCAAAATTTTATCGAAATAAAAATTTGAAAACAAGTGAAAACCTGCTCTACAGAACTGTGCACTGGTACTCAATAACTTTGAATTTAAAAACTTCAGACAATCGAGCTATAGCTGTCATCTAAGTTCGAATAGTGATTTCACATATTATATGAACTCACACAAATTACATATATATATATTTGAAAACTTAAAAATCGCGTTATTAAAAATACTGCTGTCTTGTCAGCACTTACATAATGAAATATGAACATGAATGTATTTGGAAAAGAAAAATTTATATACTTAAAATAAAAATGTCAATTTGTCGATAACATTCAAATATTACTATCAGCTGTCTAACCGACATCACTAATAATGTTATTTCGATAGAAAGTGTCATAGCAGTGAGGAGAAGAACACAAGCTGTCAACCATCGACTTGGAAAATGGTAGTCGTTTCCGGCTGTCAAATTTTTCTTTCTTTCTCAGCCACGACGAGGTCGACAGCATGAGGTATATATTGTTACGGATTTTTGTTTGATTATTGTGTATTCGATGGCTTAAAAGCCGTGAATTCTATGGTGCAGTTATGCAGCTACGCGTTAAATATATTTGAAAATGGAAACAGTTCGACTGCCATCACTCAATTGTGAAATAACCACAGCACTGGAACTAGCACGCAACACCCGCACACATCCACATGCGCATACATCAAATAAGCAGGCACGTTGTTTTCGTGTATTGATATTGTTTTTGTTTTTCGCAGTTCTTTAAAGCTCCAAAAGAGGTTGGCTGCCTCCGTTCTGCGATGCGGCAAGAAAAAGGTTTGGCTGGATCCCAATGAAATCAACGAGATTGCCAACACAAACTCGCGTAAGTAGCATCAAGTTTCATTGGAGTTGGCTCAATCCCAACTTTATATTTACATACTCACAGGTCAAAACATCCGCAAACTGATCAAAGATGGTTTGATCATCAAGAAACCCGTCGTCGTGCATTCCCGCTACCGTGTGCGCAAGAATACCGAGGCACGCCGTAAGGGCCGTCACTGCGGTTTCGGCAAGCGCAAGGGTACAGCGAACGCACGTATGCCAACGAAGTTGCTGTGGATGCAACGCCAGCGTGTGCTGCGACGTCTATTAAAGAAGTACCGCGACAGCAAGAAAATTGATCGTCATCTGTACCACGATTTGTACATGAAGTGCAAGGGTAACGTGTTCAAGAACAAGCGCGTACTGATGGAGTACATTCACAAGAAGAAGGCCGAGAAGCAACGTAGCAAGATGCTCGCTGACCAGGCTGAGGCCAGAAGACAAAAGGTACGAGAGGCACGCAAGCGCCGTGAGCAGCGCATTGCCACCAAGAAACAGGAACTCATCGCTTTCCATGCGAAGGAAGATGAAATCGCTGCCAAGGCTGCCACCGCTGGTCATTAAGTCTACGCTTTGCAGGACGAATCAATTTGCTAGCAATTGTTTATCAAGTGAATAAAGTTTGGTCGAAGAAAATTTTATAAGCCTGGAAATGTTGTTTTGCTTAGGAGTTTGATTTCGCAGGGTACAAGTGAATAAAAATTAGAGGGCACAACAGCCTATGGTTGTAGATGTTTTGGAATCGAATTTGTGTAGAATATTATTGTTCATTTTGGAAGCCTGGTATGTAATACATATACCATTAAAAATGATGAGGAATAGTAAAATCAATGTCGAGTGTAATTTTAAGAACTCTAGAACTTGGAACCTATCAGCGAAACGAATGCTATATGTGTACATGTGTATCTCGATAAAGGAGTTTGTCCTGATTGATTTGTTAACGATCAAAACGGTAAGAGCTAAGCCGTTGAAATTGGAGCAGTTTCCATTTACATACATTATATACATATGTATGTATGTATGTTGTGCAGTTGCATAACTAGACCAAATATTGCAGTCACATTAAACGGCGTTTAATTCTTAAAATTACTAGCCATAAATATTACTATCATACTATGTATGTACATATATGTGTACATGTTTTCACAAAGCTTATATTCTATATACCCTAGCTTTGGGAACCTATAAGATAAGATAAGATAAGATTTACTACTATAGAAACTTTTCTGAAAATGGTCACAATGTTGAAAGAGTAATATAATAAACAATTATATAATTGTGGGCCAAAATACTTTGCCCCGCCAATATTAACATATTACAAAAAAAAAAAATAATGTAAATTACTTTTAATTGCAAAACTTCAGTCATAATCGAAAGTAATTTGATAACGTCTTATTAATTTATAAAGTAGGTTTAGTATTCTATTTTACAACTAAAAATAGAAGGCGGTGATTTTATTGAACAATTTGTTTCTAGTGTAGAAACTCATGTGTTAAGATACGAAGATTATATAGTGAACTTCAAAATATACAAATGTATGTATGAAGAGGAATACAAAATAATAATAATAAATAAATACAATGTGTATGTTCGATTGATAAATATTGCATGAACTTAGAAAATCAATTGGATATCCAACGGAAAATACTTGAAAGCCTTAAGAGGCTCGACAAAAGTGAAGCTTACGTTGTTGGGCAATTCATTTCTAAACAATCAACAGATCGAACAGTTTGTTTATCCTCTTAATTTCTCGATGAAAGAGGGGCCCTAAACTCTATGAAGTTCATACACATTATAAATCATTTCCTTATTTTCTAAATAAACAAACCGTGGTGTTCTAACAAAAAAAGGAAACCCCCTTTAAACACAATACACGCATATGTATGTTCATATACATATGTATGCAATTTAAAATTGGGGCGGGATACCCCAAACTCGTACGAGAAATGCGATGTGAGAGTATGGAAGTCATACCACAACCACTAAAAACCATTGACAGCAATATACATACTACATGTACAATCATCATATATACACATTTAAACTCTGTTGATTGTGCGAGTATGTGTGCTGATCTACAAGATACAAATACACATTTTATACACATACAACCAAACATTTGGTTGTATCTGTGAGAGGCATTTTGCGAGACAGTCGTACGCGTTGCGTTTACTTTTTTCCGCTTTCTTATAAATTTGCTTTTGCCATTTTTGTTTCAACTCAGTCTTTTCCTGAATTTTGGAGTGTTGAGCTCGTTACTGTTTAATCAAGAATGGGGTCTAGAAATAACTTAGAGACTTTCCTGCAAAATATTAATAAAAAATATATTAATATTAATGAAAATCGTGCCGAATATATCGAACACTTTAACAAGCTTCGGGATACATTATTTCTTTACCTTAAGGAAGACCCTGTGCTCAACAAGCTATTTAATGGATTTCAATTAGGAGGTTAGTTTGCGGCTACTGCTTCCTAAACTAAGTCCCAACAATGTTGTCATTATTTCTGTGATGCACTTATATATGTGCATATGTATGAACATACGTGGCTCTTATCAAAGAATACATACATCATAAAACAGCAGCAATAAATAAAGTGCTTATACTACAAGTAGTTAGTATTTCTCAAATCGAATTTTTTATTTACTTTCATCAATAGAACATATCCGGTAAGGTGATATGAGGTCATTAATCGTTGGGCATTACAAAAAATGGTAACGAACAGCATTGTTAACGCCCAAAGGAAGTCGTACATATGTATGTATGTATAGTAAAACAGTTTGTACTGACTGGACAAAAGGTCTTGGAAAATTCGAACTTCAAAGGGGCTCTACAGATTGTTAAAAAATCTTTGTTTTGTTTCTGTTTTGGCCTAATATATGCATTATACATACCTACATACTTATGATTATTTATATAATTCACAGGGAGCTATGGTGACAACCTAAAAGTGGGAAAACCAGATGAGTTTGATCTTGTGTTCTATTTGCGGATACCAGAGAGTGATAGCATCATTGTTAAACGAGATCCTAAAGTTGCCGGAAATGTAATACTTGACTTGACACAAGTTTTAAATCGCATTAGCAACCAAAGCAACCTTCAGGAAATTCATAATAAGCTCAAATCTTTTGTAAATGCTAATAATTTACTATTAGAGGACAAATTGCAATCCTGGCTATCAGGCTTGGTAGCTCGAGCACTAAACAAAATGGAAAACAAAATTGAAGTTAATGGGCACACTTCCGAATTGAAATATAAAAAATGTGGACCAGCGCACACACTTTTTATTACAACGCCTAACAAATATTCAGTGGACTTTGTTCCGGCCATTAAACTAAATGCTCGTCAAAATGTGTTAGCTCCTGGACTAAAGCAATATTTTAAGGTTATCAATTGGGAAGCTATTCCTAAGCCAATGAAACCATTTCAACCGAATAATATTTCTTTTCGTGCTTCCTACTATGATGCCGAGGCGGCGTTACTTAAGGATAAGTCAAACCTAAAGAGTGCCCTGCGAATAATGAAAAAGTTTCGCGATACCAGACAGAATATAAGCCACTTAAAGAGCTACTATATAAAGACATTATTTTTATGGCAAGCCAGTCGCAAAGACCAAAGTTATTGGAGAAAGGCACTGACGGATGTAGTAGTTGATGTAATTTTTGAAACATACTCATTTTAACTTAATAGACTGTTTGATTCATTCGCCTTATTTTCCACAGATGTTTCAAGAGTTGGAGGAAAGTTTCAGTGCCAAAGGGCAGCTCTTATTTTTTTGGGACCATCAGCTGAACATGTTAGGGCATCTGAATGGAAGTCAAAAAAACGAAATGTTCAATTGTTTGTCTAAAGCCTCGTACACGATCAAAAGGGCTGCATCCAATATGACTGTCGACATTGAATTGAGATTACTGTTTACGCTCAGTAAGTTACTTCAAATATGTGTAAAGTTGTTAAATAGCTTTGTGAATTGTTATGTTTTAAAGGCCACGAAGGAGAGCGTGGTGCCCATGGAAGATTAGCCAATGCCTCACAGGAAACCAATTCAACAGTTGAACCACCACCATCTGGCAGGCCCCAAGAGCCCCAAGCTAATGAGCAGAAAAGCAGATGTTGTATTACCTAGGATAAGTAAACAAATGCTTAAGTTTCAAGGCTTTAATAACAGCAAAATAAGTTAAAAATTGTATAAGTTTTCGTCATCGTTCATCATATATTTAAGACTTGTTGCATTTTCAGTTGATTATAGTCCACCTCCCGAACGATCCACACTGATCTTCTGCTTTAGATTTGCAGCCTCGTGCTTCTGCTCCTCCAGCTCGGCCATGCGCGCGAACCTTGAATATGCTACATCGCCAGTTTTAATGGCCGACATCATCTGTAATTTTTTAACAAGGTTTTAGTTTTACGCAACATTTTACTTTGAGAGCTGAATTTGGGCAGTACATACTAGCCTTTTCAAATACTATTATTTTAATGGAAAAATTTATCGATCAAAAATAAATTTATTTGATAAGACCTATTATATATTCGCGTTTTATGTAAAAATATCTCGATTATTGTTTTTGTCTGCCTTACCTGTAAATATTCATCAAGCTCCACCTGGCCGTTCATGTTAGTATCGATCTCCCTGAGAATTTCGTGGAGCTGCTCGCCGGAAACATCTCCATCGCCAAAGTTTTTGATCGCTCTGCGTATGTCGTTGATGGACACATATCCCTTTTTATCTTTGTCAATAAGCTGGAAGCGTTTGATATATGTTTGTATCTCATCTTTTGATAGTTTAATGGGAATCCTTTCCTTCGATGTGCGATTGACAGAATGGCCCATTTCATTGGCCAAGAATTCGGTTGCTTGCTTGATTTGCTTCTCTTTCTCATCCTTCGACCACTGCAGCTCTTCACCCATGATGTCCACAATGACGGGCAAAGCCTCCTGAGCGGCCTGAACATTGAGGAAGGCCAAGCGCAAGCGACGCGCAATCATATCCACGGCAGTGCAGGCGTACTCACGCACGCCATATCGAATTTCTGCGTCAATGTAGGGGAACTCTGGGTGAATGCGATTGCCAATAATAGGCCAACGCTTGCCAGTGAGCGAAGCCATCTTTGACACGGCAAATGCTCGATCGCCGTACGACTTTGCCAAGTGCTGAGCCACTTCACACTCCAAGCCGAAATCTTGTACGAGACGTATGTACATCGTTGGAGTCCAGCCCTGACCGCCCTCGATTTTAAGGTACGATGTCACAGCCTCGGCACGTTCCGGACTTAGATTGCAAGCTAAAAATAAGACAAAATTGGACTGATTATATTTAGCCTGATAGCTATGTATGTTTATGCATTGATCTGAACTAAATATAGAGAAGGCAGACGTAGCCTTTGAATGGAAGTTCCACTCACCCTTAATGGCCGCATCGAGGGTATGCTCTGCCATAGCCCTGTACGTAGTCCACTTTCCGCCGGCTATGGTGATGAGCTTTGAAGGGCTCACATGCACAATGTGATTGCGTGCCAGCGATTGTGTGTCATCTTTATTGGGATCGGACACCAATGGGCGAATGCCGCTCCAAGCGGAGAGTACATCGCCACGACGCACCTCTACATCGGCGTTCAAATAATTCTTGATCTCGCTCAAAATGAACTGAATCTCGTCTTCAGTGGGTGTGGGTGTACGGGTGACCTCGCAGGGTGAATCGGTGGTGCCAGCAATTGTTTGCCTTTGCCAGGGCAAAAAGAAAATGACGCGTCCATCGGAGGTCGAGGGGTCCAGCAGACCCATTTGATCGGGACTGTAGTATCCAGGTAGAACAATATGTACGCCCGAGCTGGGGCAGCAAATGCTCTTCACCGTGGGGTCGTCCATTTTGCGTATGCTGTCGGTGAAAGGGCCGGTGGCATTGATGATGCACTTCGCTTTGACCGTAAACTCCTTCCCGGATATGTTATCCTTGACCTTGGCTCCACATAGCACTTGTTTGCCAGTACCGTCGTCTTTCTTGAGCAGCTGCTTCACCTCCACATGATTGCAAACTGTAGCGCCATGGCGTGCAGCCGTTAATGCCACTGCCAAGCACATGCGCGCATCGTCCTGTTGCCCATCATAGTAGACTATCGCACCACACAGCTTATCCTTTTTCAGCATGGGGAACAGCTCGAGTGCATCTTGCTTGGACAAGTAGTATGAGCTCTTGACATTGCGATCGCCAGCGACCAGATCGTAGCATTTGATGCCCACCCAGTAATATGGTACCTGCCACCAACTGAAAAAGACGATCCATTTTATGAAAATATACTACTATCTCTGTAATTTTCTAGCTTATTACGTGTAAACGGGCAGCATGATTGGCAACGGGTGGGTCAGATGTGGCGCCGACTCAAGCATTGAGGCGCGCTCCTGCAACGCCTCTTTCACCATTCTATACTGCTCAAAGTCTAGCTGTATCATGAATACAATGAAGAATGGAAACAAACGTTTGCTTAGCATCAAGACTTAATCGAAAGCTGACTACGCTAAAGAGCGTACTGAACAGTGGCTAGAACTTACTCCTAGAATGGCCTTTTGCAGATATCGAACTCCGCCATGGATTAGTTTCGTGGACCGCGATGAGGTGCCGCTTGCAAAATCATCCAGTTCGACTAATGCTGTCTTCAAACCTGCATAAAATATATAAATTTATTAATTAGTATTATTCCGGCTCATAACATTTTGGCATCTGTGTTGGATAGGCAGGTGGGAATTCATTGCAGTTTAAATTATCATTTTAAAATATTTAAATGATATATTTAAATGATATATATATGATAAATATTTAAATGATTAAATGATTTCCTACGTCAAGCACAATTCCGTTAAAACTTTTGACCAAAAGTGAAAATATAAATATTTAAACAAATATTGTATCACCTTGGCCTGTTAATCAAATCAACAAATAAAGCTACAAGTAGGTGAAATTTACATTTTAATGTTCACCCGTAGCTATTATGTATATAAAGTATAGGCATTAATTTGTCTGTTAGTTTAAAATGTCTAAAAATCCACAACACGCAATTATGCCAAATCTATAAATTAAACAAAATGACGACTTCACAAAGACAAAAGAATTCTACTCTACCGAAAATATATATACATATTTATCATAACATTTGCTTTACCTCTCGTAACTGAGTCCAAGGCGCATCCTGCACCTGTAGCACCTCCACCAATGATGAGTACGTCGAATTCCTCACCACTCGTTAGCGACTTAATTTGCTCAGATCGGAGAGGCAGAGTACGCTTGCGTTTCGGTGGACGTTGCACGGCATTATTCACCTAGACGGCGTGATTACAATTCATCAGTGTGCGTGTAGATAAAATATAGTTATATTGTTTAACATACCACGTGCGGTGAGTTCCAACGATCAATTGTCCAAGATGCTAGAACAGAGCCTATACAGGCGCTAGCGGCAGTTACGCCAAATTTAAACATACGCGATGACATCCCTCAGATGTTCAGAGCCTCCTCTATATTTGCTAAAAGAAAATTAAATAGAAACGTCTCATGCGGGTTACGGGTTGGTAATGATGAGTATATTAAAAATTATTTTTACACAATTTAAATTCGCGTATTTTAATTTGAATCTAACGGCAAGCTCTCTCTCTCTCCCTCAATATTTCCATATAGACCATTCTCTCTTTCCTCTCTCTCTCTCTCTCTCTCTCTGTCTATGCCACTCAGAGCCCAAATAGCTTTCGCAAAAGCTTTTAGATTGCAAACTTATTTTGGCGCTGCTCTCGCGCTGCCGACGCACGCAGCGTTGGAATCGTTCCACACCATATGCACATACATACATACTTACTATCTACTCAGATATAATGTACATACATATGTGTGTATGTAAATGAAAAAAATAGTGTTAAGTATGTTAAATCGATATATGCACGAGAAGCCGGGTGGGGGGCGCGACTTGGTGTAATGATATACCTTCTTTGGGCACACCCTTAAAGGGTTTACTGTTAATTGTCGCGTTTGTTTTCGATGAGTGGACTCCAGAGAGTTGAACACTCTGTTTACCTTCAATTCCAGAGCGTGAGTGCGCACTACCAATGGGCGAGAGTTCAAAACAAAATAGTGCGTAATACAAAACCACATAATATTCACAACGGCTGCGACAATACAAGTATTCAGCACATTTGGCGAGTGGAACGTCGGATGATTACATCAGAGTTTTGAATCACTTTTCATCGTAGTCGTCGCAACAATTGTTTTATCGGCCATATCGGCCTTGTGTGAATGCCGTTGAAAACAAATCGTGCCTATTAAGCTTACCACTGGATGCTGTGTGTGCGTCGGCCTGGAAGTCCAACTTGGTAGTGTAACTACGTCTAAGTCTGAATTCCCACCAAAGTTGCTTTTCCGCTGCTCTGACTCGCTTGATAGTCGCCGTTGCTCTAGCTGCTATTTGTTGCCTCGACCACAAGGTAACCGTAATCTGCAGTCAGTTGCTCGCTGCAGCGTGGTGTGCAGCTTTTGGCGCTGCACACAACAAGCCTCCTGCCTTCCACTTCGCCCCCCACACCTGGACACCTGCTTGCCTGTTGCAGTTGCAATGCTCACGAGAACGCGTGTGTGCCCAAAAAACAGCTGTTGTTCGCACAGTGAGTTCGTTTCTGCCGAGCAACAGCCCGTCTGGCCGCCTCGTTGTCTGTGTGGACTAGCTAATTATCTGGCCCGATCATTCGCCTCAGCGTCGCTTGCCAAAAAGCAAACAATTCTCTGTAGACAGTCGACTTCACCTTTTGACCAACCAAATGTGAGCACGAACTTTTTGTAACTGGCGGCAGAAGCTCCCAAAGTGTGAATATATACATACATACATATGTAGTATGTATTTGGGCAATTTCAAATTTCCGCGCTTCGCTATGCGATTGTTTAATTCTGTTAGTGTTTGCAATTTTGTATACTATATGTACAGTATGTTTGATTGTCATATGTACATACATACGTACATATGTCTGTCTAGACTCTAGACCAACGCTGATAGCACAGAGTTTTTTGATACCAAAAAGGCAATGGAGACCCTCGCAACCACTACTCAGCTGGGTTGCGTTCTACAAATTGCTTAAGTATCGCTATTGCATTTAACCGGTTCCGGGCAGATTAACATGATTTACATGACAGCGAAAACAAGGCGATTATTTAACAATCAATAATGGAATACTAGAGTCGTGAGTACTCGACTCTTAAAAACCCTGGGCCTATTCCAAAAACAAATGTTTTTCTTAAAACTAATATAAATAGCAATAGTAAACAAATGTCTCAATGCTTATGGGTGTAGTGTAGTATGGAACGGAAATAGCAAAAGCTCGAACTTCTATTGCTCTAACTTTATAATATGTGCCGGATTAACAAAGTTGGTCACAAAATTTTAAAATTTACGGGTGCCGTTAAAAACAGGTAATGACGATACCAAGTTTGGTATTTTTCTCTCTTACTATATAGTATGTTCATACAGACAGACGGTAAAGGCTATATCGACTTATCTCGTCCAACTGATTAATATGTATACATAAGTACATATGCACTTATGAGCCCTTTTCTCGATTCGGTACGGGACATAAAATGATAACTACATACATATCTCATGTTGGGTAGTGTATATAAACATGTGCCCCTAATTTGTTGATTAGCAAATACGCGATTGGTTTTACGTCTCTCACGCGCTACACGCCATTTTATGAATGAACCATACGGCACATCATCAGCGAGCAAAGTGAAGGCCAAGGCAGCTCTGACGTAATTGTACAATATATAGCATGTACTATACATACATACACATATACTTAGTATTAGGCAGGTCTATTTATACGCTAGCAACAAATATGTATATTTCACAATTAACTGTTGCCTTGCAATACCGCAAAATGTCTTTAAAGTTAACATTTTGACTTTGCGATAACAACACCCACGACTAGAAGTCTGATTGGACACGCACTTGAAATAATTTCGAAGCACAAAATCGGCTGATAGCCGACGCTCGTTTGTTGCACGTGAACATTATCAAGACTACATTTTAAGAGCGTCATTGATAAGCAATGTAGGACGTTAGGAATCCGGAAAAAAACACGTTTGCATGGGTATCATGGTATAATAAAATGTATTTAAAATGCAACAAATTTGAATTAAAACATTAGTTTCTGATTATCGTGATGAAACACGAAATCCTATTTGTAAAATAACAGAGATGTTCTTGATTTCATATTGACTGATTTTGGTTTTCAAATATGAGAATTACCACATTGAATGCAATACTATTGACTATTTGTGGAAAGTCAAAGTAGAACTCACCTGAGTCACTCACAACAAAGAATCGGTTTTATTTCATCTGAACAGGTTAACGTTTGCTACTCATATGCTCCAGTCAGACAGACATTGCGCCATATAGCTAAAGAAAACCTTGTGCCGCGAAACATAATCTTATCAAAAGTAATTTAAAAAACGATTATGCCCTTCAATGAAGGTCAACAAACAATAAATATTATTTGAAAAATAAATGACAATAAAACAAATCCATTCGTTGTTTTCCGTTACATATTTACTTTGTATAATTTGAAAATTTTTCCTGGTGCAATAAAAGAACGATATTTAAAAAATTATAGAATAAAATGACATCTAAAATTTTAAAATAATAATTAAAATGTATCAAGAGGTAAACCTTAGCCTCTAGTGAGACCCAACATAAAATACCCAATAGGGATGATATGGCCCTTGTAAAATGTATGTACATTTAAATACTAATCTACATAATCGAGGGGATTTATACAAATTAAAAGTTTCAATATTACATAAATGATTATGTGTATGATGTGTTTAAGACTATTTTAATATTAATCCACCTACATAATGTACCTTCGTAACATCGAATTGCTTGTAACCCTCACAAATTGGAGGAGGAGTCCGCCGCAGTTTCAGCCACACTCTCGCTGTTGTGTTCGCGCGTCTCTCGTGCCCGCATAAGTTGTCCAATAATGTCGAGCAGTTGCTCATCATTGAAGCTGCACTGCAGGAGCAATTCCTGTACAAAGTCTTTTCGCTCGGACCCAACGCGACTGCTCTTCAGAACATCCGGCACCTGAGCTAGCAGATTGCTGCGACAAGTGCTGTTAATTTTGGACTTGGCAAATATATAGTCCAGCACTGAGTTGGGATTGAGGCGATCGCAAACCACCGAGGACAAATTTTCGCGTACTGCATGGTCCAGAAAGTCTTTAGAGTGGTTTTCGGATAGTGTTTCAAGCACATTAGTGCACATTTTATGATTGCCACTCATCTGAGCTGACAGAAATTTGGTGACCACATTGGCGCTTTTATACGGCGTTGTGTTGGTCTGTCTGAAGTACCGCTCGAGCACGGTTTCTAGAGAGCATTGCTCCAGGACTAAATCCAGAGCCTTATCTGCATCCATAATTGACAGATCGCGACATTGTTCCGCTGTGGTAATTACACTGTGATTTTGTTCCATTTTCATGCTGCTGTTGCTCTCTGTATTCGCAGCACTATTGTTATGCGTATCGTTCCACTTGAGTGTGGTGAAGGCGTCATCCTCGACCATCTCTGTAGATTTGTCCATGGACTTGTCGGCTAGAGCCGTTCGTGCCGTTTGCTCCTTGGCAAACTTCTCAATTTCAATGATGCTGTCCAGGCGACCGCGTCGTTTAAGCGCATGCTTCATATCTGGAGTTTGTGCGACCATCTTGTTGTCTAGTAGCAAGCAGCGTTTCGGTTTGTTGCTCCTTTCCTCCGTGTCTCGCAAATACTCCTTGGTCACAGACACTGGTGGATCGTGAAAACTAACGCGTTTGCGCTTTAGCGCTGGCGATTCAATAGACATCTCGTCTATGCTTTCGCAGCGAAGCTTGCGTTTAAGGATGCTTGCCGATGGGGAGGCCGACGGCGAGGGCAATCGCTTAGAGAATATTAAGAGATCCTTCGGCTGCTGTATGGGCGTGGATGTCTGCTCGGTGCCAATCAGTTCATTAAGCTCGGCTGTCGGCGTCGACACCATTTCAGTGCGCTCGAGCATGCGAGCGGGCGTCACTTGTCGGCTGCTGTTGAACCCGTTTGAAGAGGTAGAACAGCTATCCAGCTTCTTATTTCGTATCATGTTGATTAATTGTGCCCCACGTCCAGTTAAATGAGCCGTTGGTTTCGGCCGGAGTGTGGGGCTGGTTGAGTTGTTGGTCTGCTTGCGATCCGGTGGGGAGTTCTGAGATCGTAAAAGCGAAAATTTAAATGCGTGAGCGTCACTGAAAGTATTAATTTAATTTTTTACCAAATTGCAAAGGCGCGTTGGTGGCTTCTTCGGTGATGTCTCCTGCATTTGCTGTATTGGTTCGATATTTATTTCGGGTACTGTTTGAGCAGGAGGCGGCGCCGATTCATCAAGCAGAGTCTCCTTTGGCGCCATCAATTGTGTTTCTTCTACACTGGATGCCTTTGTTGACAGCTCCGGTAATTGGGTGGGAACGATATCCGAAAATAAATCCTCGGAAAGCGTGGAAGCTGACTTGGCGGTATCTAATGCTGGTGTTGTTGACTTTACCTTCATTGTGGATACTTTGATTGTGGCTGTGAATATATTTTTCGATATATAAAATATTTTATATTCGGATCTCAAATAGATCGGTATTATATGTATATCATCAAGTTAAATAACTTACCAGAGTCCGAGGGCTGGTGCTTTGTGGGCGATCGTTCTTGCCGCTCCACTGATTCCTGCTTTTCATGGCTAACATCCTTTGAAGTTGCAGCCGAGCGTTGACGTGTCAGTCGAACTGGTGTTTCCTCTTTGCTGGCTGGAGTCCTCGTGACTGTTCCTGAGGTGGAATCTTCTTCGCCTAATGCACGTGGCTTTCGAAATTTATACTTATCCGTGCTGTTGAGTTCCAAGGCAGAGTCAGTCTGGCGTCTTCTCTTTGGCGTTTCAGTAGTGAAAGCAAAAGGTTCATCATTGGGTGTATCCTCGATAACAATAGGACTGTCGGTATTAGTATCACCTCCAATGGCCAGCTCAGCTTGTTTACTTTTTGCTATAACCACTTTCTTAGGTGTCCAAGGCTTAATTGACGAGTCTTGCGATTGGCTCATGTCGTTATATAGTGCTGGTATGTCAGATTTTTCAGCAAAACGCTCCTTTTGACGTTCGGTGAGCTTGTCTGGATCTAAGCTCCACACTGAGGGTATAATGACAAAAAGATCGTCGCCCTTAAACAGATCCTTCAGCTGGTTGGTCATGCTTTTCATGGGCTGCTTGCGAAACTTCTCCTGTATAGCACGCTTCCATTCAATGAGGAAGCTTCCCTCGCATTTGTGCTTGTTCCAGCATTGTAATGCTGCCGCCAGTGTTGGTTTTAGGGCATCAAAAATTACCATGAGTTCGTTCTGGCGCAACTCCAGAATGAGATTGCGTAGCGTATTTAGACAGCCCTCCAGCGACTTTTGGGGCAGTGCTTGTTGTTCGAAAACCGACATTAGAAGGGCGAAAACATCCTTGTAAATTGGGGCGTCCTTGCAAATTCCAAGCTTTACAACTGCTCCTACATATGCTTCAAATAATTCTGGAAAACATAGCTCCTCTTTGCTGCTTTTTAAAAGTTCTTTCAATGCGTTCTTTAGCTCGCCCACAAAATTCTTGCGATCAGGTGCATTATGTCCCGCATTGAGCAGCTGACGCCATTGTTCACAGAAGGCGCTATCGAAGGTAGTATGTGCACGTCGCCCAGCAAATCCCACACACGTCTGCAAAGGCCACAACAGCCAACTGTCCAATAATGTGGCATTGTGTGTTAGCCGGTACTCGAGTGCGTTTTCGCGAAGATAGCTAACAAAAGTGCTCGTCAGCTGACGCCAGATGTGCAGCTTTACGCCAAAGGCAACATAGTCCTCCTCATCGTTGGATTGCATTAGAAGTTCGGCGAACGAGATAAGCTGGCGGAAGTCATTCTGGTTATGAGCTTGTAGTTCTTCCGGTGAAAATATCAGAGTTAGACAGCGCTGAAGCACAGCCGGGGGTACTTCTCCTTTAGCCTTAATGCACAGCTTCATGCATGCTTCCAGCACGTCAAGATAATCGCTGCCTTGGTCATGTTTCATCACCAAACTCTCTGAGGCGCACGTATTAAAGAAAATTCGCACCACCCGGCCAGACGTTGCCAATGTTTTTTCCAACTCAGCACAGGTAGCTATTATGAAGGCCGCCTGACGCAACTGGAACATGGCCAGCGTTAGATTACGCACGAGCATGTGGAGCAATTGTTCTTCAGTTTCAGAGCTGCTGTCGTTTTGGTTCATAAGCTGCATACCCACAACTGCGGCGGCAAGCAGCGGACGCCAGTGCTGTTGCAAAATGGAAGATTGCATTAGTGGCGAGGGTTGAGCCAATGCCTCTAGCCGTAATTCGCGCAGGATTCGACGAAGTTCATCATTTGACTCTAAGCTCCACAAAGAAACCAGACACGGAAGAGCCAGTTCGCGCGCTGTTTGATAATTGTGCACAAGGCCTGTAGATTGCCCACGCGCGCCACCTCCAAACACTAAGCTTAGGAAATACTCTACGGCATTGTCAAAAGCCTTGGGCAAATCATCCTCAAGGCATGTGAGCAGGTACCACCAGACACGCAGCTTAATGCCAGTGACGTGCGAGGAACGGGATTGCGAAGTGCGCAGTGGTATAAGTAGCAGGCGCAGGCGTTTGCTGGCTGCTAGCTCGTTGTAGGCGGCGAATATCTTAATGAGCACGCGCCAACAAAGGAAGGCCTCGGAGCGGACCCCATTATCTGCATTACGGAAGCCCATTTCTACTACGGCTAAAAATTTGTTGATGTACGTGCAGCCTCGCAACAATTCCTCGTCCATAATCTGTACAAGCAGCGTCCAGATTTTGTGCCAATTCGAGTTCTTAGCATCACGCATTTCGCTAATGAGAGTCGTATATTTATTGATGAACTCGCTTCTAATTTGCGGCCACACGCTGGTGCTGTGTATGACGCTTACATCGAGCGCCACCAGTGCCTCCGACATTGCCGCAATGGCGGCTGTTTGTATACTTCGTTCAGAGTCAAACATAAGCGGCAAGATGTCTTTTAGCCAGAACTCAATAAGTTCGTCGTTTGTGAAGGAAGTAGCAATCAGACCAGATGCCTTGCAGCTACTTGCTAGCAAGTCTATCATCTATGGGGGTCAATATTTACATAAATACAAGAATAAAAACAAAAGTCCAGAGAAATATGCTTACATTGCTTAAATTCTGTCTGCGGTTGTTCTTCAGCATTTCTTTTGTTGATAGCTGCACTGTGTGGTACGCTTGTCCCACTTCTCTGTCCATGATTGCAGCTGCAGTGTTTTTGTTTTCTTGTATGTGTTAAGCAAATTATTTAAGTAAAAACTAAACTCCCCGGTAATTAAATAATTGTACTGTGTAAGTGCTATATTTTCAGTAAAATGCGCGCGAAACAGGGCACATAGAGGTGACAAAAGCAACGCGATATATTTTTTGGCGGTCGCAATCGAGTGTTGTAGGTATCAGCTTGAGCATGGGGTCAGTCGTAGTGCTGCCACATCTGTTAAAAGGTGTTCCAAATCAATACTAGCTAACAAACTAATTATACTAGTTTTAGTATCAATCGAATCGCACAAAATTGAATAATAGCCAAATCATGTTTGAAATAAACATTTCGGTTATGCAAATGGTTTGAAACATAATAAAAATGACACAGGTTTTATGCGTAGTCGTAAACATAAGTTTAAAAAAATTATATCTCCTACTATAAGTAATCCCACCTAAAAAAAAAATAATGAAAGCGACTAAAGCTGTTTTTATATCTTAAATTTTATTTTACGAGTACATACTTATTAAAATATATTATATCAAATGTAATTCGCTCAATGTCTGTTTTAAGAATTATATTAATATACATATAATTAATTTGATTAAATACAGTGACTATTTTTCTTTGCACATTGAAGAGAAAAATTACAGTGTAAGTATTAATTTCTAAGCAACATTTCACTTTATACACATGGAAAAATATATACAATTTACTAATTGGTGGAAAACTCTCTCTGAACTCTAGCAGCGTTTGTGTGTGTGTTTGTGTTATCACATACATACATAATAATGTATGTACATGTGCATGTATAAAGCTACGCACCAACAAACCCATTTATTTGCGAAACTCCCAATCGTACTGCCCTCCAAACGCATTCAGTGGAAACTGCATTATGGCAATCGAAACGAAAAAACAAAAAAGGCATAACATTCCAACACTGAGGTGGAGTGGTAGAAAGACTTGAAAAGGGCTTTAAATAAGCCTTCACATTTTGTGCATGCAGTTATATTTTGTACCCTGCTTTAGTGCTTTGGATCCTTGTTGTAGTCCACATAAACTCGCACGACTTCGCCTGAGTATTTCCGTTGTGATGGCATGAAGTAAAAGTCGGGCGTGTCCGCGCCCCCATTGGAATTGAGGCGTGGATCATCGCGGGAACGATCGTAACTGGACTCCCGTCCGCCGCGTCGCTCTTCGCTGCTCGCCTGACGTGCTGCACGCCGATCATGAGTGTAATAGCCCGAGGGCTGCATGTTGGCCGAGCTTTGTTGGTAATGATGCTGGCGTGGCAGCGAATATGCGCGATCCGCGTAGGAGCCACGTGAATATGGCCCCGAGGCAGCTGTGCTGCTCTCCTGGGTCATATGGCGACCATTGCTACGAGCACCGTCTCCAGCAGTGCCGCCACTACTACGATTCTTGCCATGTCCGTTTGTGTTCTCGTAGTATAATTGGGATTTGCTTGTTGGCGAATGAGACATTGGCAGGGTGGTTTGCTGACTGCTTGTGGTAGAGCGGTTACGAGCCTTCTCCTTGGCTGTGGTACTGGTGGTCATGTGCTTCTCTTCAGTTTCGCCATATGGATCAAATGCGTAGTTTGTGTTTGAAGCAAACTCCTTCCAGGGAGAGTTCTGAATTAGTTTCTCCTGCAAGTAACAGAGTATTGGTTTAATGAATAAAATTAATGAATTAAAGATATCAGTGCTTAACCAGTCAGCATTTGGTACGACCTCTAATTAAATTAACTTCTATAATTCATAAAGTTATACGTAACTCATCATTACATTGTGTATAAACATCGAATATGTACTATAACTGCTTTTGGAATATGCCTTTCGCTTGCGCTTATATCAGATTGTTCGAATAGTTCTATAAATTTGGGTAATTGTAACCAGTCCATTAAAAATAGTGCAACATTTCGAGCTTACTATTGTAGGATGGGAGCTTTCAGTAAGAGATAATTCGAAATATGACAGCCATGAATATTAGTTTTATCGTTGAAGAATAAAAATGAAAGTCGAGTAGTATACATATGTATGTTAAGGCTTAAAAAATAAATATCGTTACAAAACTGGGTTTGGCCAAGAGCTTTTATTCACCATCTGTATTGATGCAATGGCGAAAAAGATGCACAATTTAATAGGAAAATGCTGACTGGTCTAGCTACAATACAGAGATATAGACCAAGTAAAGATGTATCGATACATATTAAGATATGTTAGGTGTATTGAAAATTAGAGAAACGATAATAGAGCATAGCAACACAACGAACAGAGAATTATAGAATGGGTTTAGTCATAAGATAGTTGCTCCCGGCCCTACGGCCATAGCTTAGTAAGTTAATGTCTTAAAATACAAAAACAGTGCTACTGATACAAATGAAGGTTTAAAGTATATATGTATATATATATATATATGTATGTATGTGTATAAGACATTCAGAGAAATATCAGTAGTGGTGTTAGCAGATAATAAAAGTGAGGAATATACATATGTTAATGTCACAACAAACACAAGAGAAGAAGATTCAATTACCAATGCATTTTTGTTTTTGATTTACGCAAGCTAGTACATATACAATTGTATATAATTTCGATTATCGGGCTTCTACACATAGCGGGTATAGTACATGTACAGAGTATTCCGCGTTGATGACAAGGAGGACTTTTTGTGTTATTGCAAATTTGGCTTTTCACTTTTTGGCTAACTATGTATGTTTTATGTATGTATGTAGGTACGTTAATGGCAGCCGCAGTTCTTGTTCAGTGGTTCAGGCAGTGAAATTGTTTTAAGTACGAGTATGGTGGGTATATTGGTTTCCTGTTCATACGAGTACACGTATATTATAGATCGCTAGAGGGTTGATAGTATCGTTGGTGCTGCCGCTGTTGATATATGCGCCATTCGTCGGGTATTACGTAAACCAGCTTAAAATAATATTATATAATTGATAAATATTAATAACGGTGTCAAAGTCTTGTTGTTTTTAACTAATTAACGCGTCCTATTTATACCTAAGCAAACGTCCAATTAAAGCTACCTTGCAGATTACATATCTTTAACATACCTTGGTATTTTTGCTTTTGCGGGACGTCTTCCAAATGGTACAGAATGCCTGTATCAGGGCAATAAGCACTAGGGCTGCAATTAGACCTAAGACTATATACAAACGTGTCTCGGACAAGTCGAAGAAGGACAAAAGTGTTTCCTTAGTATCTTCTGCAGATTTATCTGAAAGTTAAATCGGCTTTAGTTAGGGCTTTTCGCACTTTTCGATGTTGATTGGCTTACATTCCAATGCCTCAAAGTCCAAATACTGGGGATCCACTGTTAGTGAGCCCACCTTGCCGCTCGCAATGTGGTCCAAGAGCGCGGCTTTGATGACATCCGCGTTCTTTTGTACGGCTTCCGAAGCATCCTTATCAATGTTGTTGGTGTCGAGGGCGTGCATTTTTTCAACATCGGCCTTATCGAACAGGGCCTGAACCTTGGCCAACATAGTTGTGCCTTCCCTGTAAGGATAATTCAAGTTTAGATGCATGGTATCCACGAAAGAATTTAGTTATGTGTACGTACTTTTCAAATCCTAATATTTCTGTCTTATAGTAGCCGGGTATGGGACTTAATATACCATTGAAAGAGTCCGAGATAGTTGCAGCCAGATTATTGAATTCCACAGTGCCGGGTTTGGGTGCTTCGAACGATTCAGCGAGATTCATAAGCTTTACGCCAACGGCATAAACCAAGCGACTGGGTGCAGGAGTGCTTGTACCAACATATACGGACTCTAGCTCTGCATATATACAACATTTTAGGAATCATACCAATTAGAACCATAAGTGTGCTACGTACCTTTACCGCAGGACTTAATGCATACGCGTTGAGGGGATATCGGTGGTACCTGTTCGTGTTTACGAATCTTCTTATTGACCACATTGAATGCACCGCCCAGTACGGGGAAGAATAGGTATAGACAGTGATCGTCTGTAAAGGACAAATCCTGTTCGTCATTGCTGACGCGTTTACGGTTAAACTCCAGAATTGTAACTCCCTTCTCAATGCGACCAGATGCATTATAAATGTCCTGTCGATCGTCCAGCTTGGGTGGTGCGTAGCCCAGCACCCAGGTGTCCATCAGGAATGGCCGACCAGTGCGTCCGTCTACCCAACCAATAATTGTATCGGTTTGTGACATGCGCTCGTCATCGCTGAAGCCGATGCCAGTCCAGGTCTGTGTGTTCGTCGTCTCAATATGCCAGCGCATCTCATCGCCGCGTCCAACTGTTTCCCATGACGCATAGTACTCGCAACTGTGCTCCTGGGGAGAGCAGCTCGGCGGATACTTCCAATGACCGTAGCAGTCATTGTCCAGTACATTTGTGGTTAGATCGTTGCGATCGGTTGTACCACTAGGCCTCTCTTTTTCTAAGAAGTGAATTAATTAGCATCGGGTATTCGAATGTTTAGAGGACTTACCAAAGAAGTTAATTTGAGTGACGCCTCGCTGCATTTGATGTCCGTGATACTTTAATTCATCTTGCTGATAGAAGTCCCTAATTGATGACGATTCTGTTTCCAAGCCAGAGGCTGGCACATGAACGTATTTAGTAGGAGGCTGACCTTTCGCCCAGATCACATGTGTTAGTGTATCGTCCAGCGTGTGATCAGTTGGCTCAGTGGCCACGAGTTTCTTGCGGAATATTATGGTAGTGACACCATTCTCCTCGAAGCCAGTTCCCAGAGACAGGTCGGATTTGCCACCAAAGATCTCGTCAATTTTCGGTGTTGAACGATCCCGAGAATAGTAGTCGCCCACGCGGCTGGCTAAGCCACGTGCCGTACCAATGACAATATCCGTACAGTCCATAGGATTAAAGTCATATCGTGGTGTGTATGGGTTCAGCTTGTATTTGGGTTCTACAATAACAACATAACATATGTAAGTAGGTATATCACTTTGTCGTCGGTGGTTTTTTTTATTGGATAGCACAGAATGAAAATGTTAGGGACCTTTGTTTGTGACTTGCAGTTTACCTGAATTTGGGGGCTCTACTTTTAGTGGTGCAGATTTTTTAGGCTGAGGTTCTGGTTCCGACTTAGGCTCAGGTTCCGGAGAGCTTGATCCACCCGATTTGGCCGACTTAGGCTCAGGTTCGGGAGAGCTTGCTTCAGCTGACTTCGGTTCAGGCTCAGGCTCAGGTTCGGGAGATTTGGCTGATATTTCTGGCTTCGGTTCAGGTTCAGGTTCGGGAGATTTGGCAGATATTTCTGGCTTTGGTACTGGCTCAGGAGAGCTTGCTTCAGCCGAATTACCCGCCTGTGGTTCTGGCTCAGGGGTACTTGGAGGTTCACTTGTTGGTTCGGGATTTGGGGTTGGTTCTGTGTGTTAATTTTAAACAAAATGCATTTTTTTAGGTCAACAAGTGTGTGTTAAGTGCAGAGTGTAGTTGAGTCTACTTTGCATAGAGAGATAATTGTAAAAAAGTAATTGGATAATATAGGTGCCAAGTGCACAGTGAGCATGTAGTGACTTAGGTACCTCTGCGCATGTTTTGGATTTATACCAAACAGTTAGTTGAGTTTCTGGTGATTATTTGTAAATTTCTTACCTGTGGCTTGACGACGGCTGCGTCCTGATTTGCTGCTAACGCGATATGATACACTGGTGGCAACAGATGTCACACCATCCATCTCATCATGTTCGTGGCCATCGTGATGAGCCACACGTTTCGTTTTTGTAGGAGACGGTTCGCTACTAGGTTGAGGTTCCGATGTCGGATGAGGCTCGGGTGCTGATGTGGGCTGGGGTTCAGGTTCTGGCTTGGACTGTGGTTCAGCTGTAGGCTGTGGTTCAGGCTCCGATTTAGGCACTGGTTCGGATGTGGGCTGTGGTTCAGGCTCCGGTTTAGACTGTGGTTCGGCGGTAGGCTGTGGTTTAGGCTCTGATTTGGGTTCCGGCTCAGATTTCGGTTCTGGCTCCGATTTAGGTTCAGGCTCCGATTTAGGTTCCGGCTCAGATTTAGGTTCCGGCTCAGATTTAGGTTCCGGCTCAGATTTAGGTTCCGGCTCAGATTTAGGTTCCGGCTCAGATTTAGGCTCTGGCTCAGACTTTGGCTCTGGTTCAGATTTAGGCTCTGGCTCAGACTTTGGCTCTGGTTCAGATTTAGGCTCTGGCTCAGATTTAGGCTCTGGTTCGGATTTGGGTTCTGGTTCGGATTTGGGTTCTGGTTCAGATTTGGGCTCTGGTTCTGGTACGGAACTCTCAAGAGTCGTTGTTAAATCCCCTATATCACGTATCAATGGGAAATTCTTGCACTCCGGCGTAAGTCCTCGGGGACGCCAACCCAATCCAACCCATGAAGTACTGTTCACCTTTAGGACCAGCTCAATTTCCTTTTGCTTTTCTAACAGCCTCCAGAAAATATGAAAATCGGGCGAGAGTTCCTTCTTGATGTACGATGTCAGATCCAGATTAGTGGTCTTGTACGGCGAGCGTTTGTTGCACCCAATGCCATACCAGCCGAAGTTACAGTAGCATTGACGTCGGGGCAACGAGGTACCTTCTACATCTATGCACTGGCCCTGAGCGCCGCAATCTGCATTGGTGCTGCATTCATCCTTGTACTGGCACTGGGGCCCATAGTAATTCTTTTCGCATTTGCAGCGGGATGGGAAGTATTTTCCTTTTCCGGAACAGTTCTCTCTAAAGTCTTTGCGCTGTTTAATATCCACATCTGAGCAGGACCAGAAACGATAGGCGCCGGACCATTCAACAGCTTGACGTTCCAGTCGCAGCGTACAGTTTTGACACTCGAAATCCTTGGGTATGCTAACTTGATAGGACTGGGCCCTGTTTGGTAAAAAATAAGTACAAAACTTGTATCTTCCTCTCTTTAAATACCGTCAAAGGCTACATACGTTGCATCGGTGCGCACAAACTCGGAGTTGTTTACGTGTGGCGTCAAATCCAGGACAGGTCGATCGAGAGCATCCAATAATTGTAAGCGGAACCCGCCCTAGAAAAGTTTTAAAAATGTATGCATTCAATTGCGTTGCCCCAATTCAGCGTTTATTATTTTAATGCATGCAACTCTAGACGGGGAAATCATTTAATTTTTGTTTGCGCAAACAATGACTGAGAACTTGTGACTTGATTTCAGGTTGCCTCAAAGTTAGTTCACATGACACTCGGCTTACATTCTGCAGTCAATGATCGTGTGGTCGCCCATTATGGGAACTTCTAACGCAATATTTGACTTTGACTAGTGGCATGTGCATGTTCATGTGCCGCAATCATTACATAATTTACGCCAAGTATAATGAAGTCTAGCTAATTACTGCGTCAGATAAGAATAAAAGCCTCGATAACAATGATATTTGGAGCTACATAATGTTGTTAGTTCTATGAATATACCCATGAAAAGGGTGGATTTAATTTGGTCTAACAACGTCCAAAAGGGGCGCGGCAGACCCGACCCCATGTTCTAGATTCATAAATGATCAGCATGAAGCTATCGAGGTGAAATTCTGCCGATTGCTAAATCGGAGCACTTCTGCCATAGACACATTTTTGGAAATTTCGAATTGGAAATTAAACAATAATTGCTTTATTTTTATTATATAGCTCTTTTAGGAATGATCTTATTTAAAAATAATTGACAAATCACTTTTTCTGTATCAAGATATTTAAACAAATTGAAATGATTAATGATGAACAATCGGCCAAGTTACAGATTAAGTAATCTGCAACTTTGCATCTAGGGCCCTTATACTTTAGGAATCTAATTCCATGAGCTTTGCTTACCTTATGTGCATAGGCCAAATGCCACGTAACATTAAATTGGGAGCCGGACAGCAATGAAGTTCGTATGGAGCCTGTAAGTATACAAGAATTTTATTATAAGTAATTTGGCTCAGCATTAACATGTACTCGTATAGGTTAGGAGACATGGATATGATCATATCAGCTTGATCATTTAATCCATCTATATGCTTATTACAATAGAGATAATCGTTTTACAGAATACTGATCACATGCAACATGTACAGGATTAATCATGCGTAACAGTGCCAGTGTAACAGTGCAACAGTCTAGAACTCAGATAGGCCAACACAGACAATATCTTGCATCGCCTAATTAAATGTTGCGTTACGACTGAAGTCGAACTGGTTCTGGTTTGCGGTTGTTCTGAATTCTGCACACCTGCGCACCAAATTCCAGCAATGCAGAGCTGGGCTCTCAATGGGCTGGTGCGCAAATTGCCCATGACAAGCTAAGCAGGTCGTTGTGATTGCAGCCAGCTAGCTAGCCAAGATATATACTTAAACATACATACATTAAATATTTTGAAGTTGCGCACAGGAAGCGCAAAACCTTTAACCATTCATACTGTACTCGTATACTCGTAGATGGCATATGCCCAGCAACCAGTATCGTCAGCACTAACAACAAGTTTTGTTGGCTGCAGGTTACAGACAAATTTTAGATATGTCTGCAAGTACATATATAGCTATGTATGTATATACATGCATATACTTGTATTGCATAACCATATCATGCACACTTGTCGCTGACCAGCTGTGAAAAAATTACAAGTTATGTGCTTGCCTCAATGCTGTCTGGCAATCAATACAACTACTCGAACCCAGCGCCAATTCGCACATCGTAGTCAGCCTCTACGAGTATAGAGGTGAGTGCTAATTGAATTCATTAAACGTGGCCAACGATGTCCAGCACTCGACTATCACTGGTTTATGAAAGCGAAAGGAGTGTCGCTTTCAGTAATGGCCACACATTTATTTACCATCAAATAAGGAAGCAAAATACAAGTATACAAGTATGATTGCCATTTGTGGGCACTTCGTCATGGCATGGTGACATCCTCAATAGACTGCTTCGACTACCGCTTCGTCGAGTAGTCATGACATGCACATAGCCTATGCTATCGGCCAATAAATCATTTTACTTGTAACTGGAAATCAATACTTGAGAGAGTTTCCAAATGATGCCAAAAAATGGGCGGGCTTCATCGCCAGTCCCACTGCACTAAATTAGCAGGTGGTTTTCTCATGTAGCCACCGATGAATGACTCTCCATGTGTCTGTCTTTCTGGTTGACTTGAATTTTTTACGCTTTTGCTAAGCATTTGCTTGTTGTTGTTGTATTACTCGTATTTTTTTCTGTCATATTTCTCATGAGCGCGAAAGTTGTTCACCTTTGGTTTTGGAGGCTGCGATGCATGAACATCGTCCATAACTGGCCTGCTTGCCTGCCTCCCAGTCTGTTTTTTTAGTGTGTGTGTGCATGTGTGTGTGTGTGTGTGTGTGCGACGACTGTCTGTTGGTGTGTGTGTCCGTTGTGCTTGAACTCGCCGCTCGATGTTAATATTACAATGTTGGTCGTTTCGAAAGTCAGTCTGGCTACCTGTACGCCACCGCCCTCCGTCTGTATTGATTGTGCGATTTTTTGTTAAAAAATTATATGGAATTTGTTCACATTGGCTTTTGCCTGTTTTGTGCGAAAGTCGCGTGAAATCTTATAAATTAAATTAAATTGTAATGCTGCAGCAAAGAATTTGGTTCACTCGAAAGTTATTTAAATGTAATTATTGGGTTGGCTCAAAAATTTGTCATCGAGGCAATACTATAGCTACAATAGCCCTCATTCACACACATCAAAGAGATATCAAATGTTTCGACGGTGGGCTATCGCTTACATATTATCGTGGGAAAATATGTCCATACGGTTTGTTGGATGAGGGATTTTTTATCGGCCAATTGTGTCGGCTTTCACATGGTTACATATTGGACCGGTGTTTTGAGCTAGAAATGTTATTAGCACACTCATTTAATAACAGCCTAATCTTACACGTCATCAAATCATGATCTTGTCTAATTTCATGCTTTGCTTCCCTTGCCAATTTACTTGTTGGCAAGCCAAAGAATTAGAATGCATGCATTCTCCCGCAAGTAATTGCAAGTGCAGAGCGTGGAGTGAAAGAAACATGGCTACCAAATATGGCGTGTCGCTGTAACAGAAACTTCCGCAATGCACAGACAAACCGCGCGCGCACTTGGGAAATGTTGACAAATAAAAGGCAGCAGCTAACGGCAGTCAGACGAAGCTTCAGGAGTTGCGCATGCGCCCGAAGCAATACATTTTTGCACAGCTGAGCAAACACAAAGGGGTCTTTATATTTCTATATGCGTATACGAGTATGTATACGAAAACCTTGGAAAGATATAGGAACTAGTGGCGAAAGAAGATATAAACTGTATGTCAAGAGAATGCATTTTAAAAAGGCTTATGCATGACTATATTTCATTTGCGTTGTGCAAAAAACGAAATGCAAGAATTTATCTTTTCCAAGGACCAATCAATGTTTCGTTTTCAAGACCCCATTCACACCATTTGTGATAGAATGAGGAGTGGAATATGATGAAACTAAAAGCTTAGTTCATGCAGATCCTGCAAGAAGTGACTCATGGTTATAAAAACCAATTGGAAACTGACAAATGAATATTTATTCTCGTTATAAGTAATAGATCGCAAAATAATCGACTAGGTATATTTAAAGTTTATTATGTGGATGATAGATAATACATTACTCTACAGAATAGTCGACAAGCCACTTTCTGTATTGAATTTTATTGGTAATCTTTTATAAATGATCACTTCTTTAACTGATAGGAAATATATACATATGTACAGGGTGCGCTATCTTTTATGTCGGTATGTAAATATTGAATAACTTTGTCATTAGTGAGCCGATTGACTTGAATAGACCAGTGTTGAAAAATGAGTCTGAAGAAATTGTACAGAACCAAATTAAACAAGAGAGAACGCTACAGTCGAGCAAGCCCGACAGTGTAATACCCTGTACCCAGGTAAACTTGCGTCACTGAGTTATATGCGCCCATAGCAGCAGCAACAAGAGGAAGAAGAAGAGCGAACTTGTTGCTGCAGTTTGGGGGGGTTGTACTGGCGAGAATTTGTTTCGCTAATAACTTTTCTTAGAATTGACCGAACAGTAGACAATTATATATAAATTATGTGTGCAAAGTTTGGTTTAGGTAGCATTTGAAATGTAGACGCTATTGACGAAATTCTGTAGCGGGGGAAGGGGGGGAAAATTCCAAAAAATAAAATAAACTCGTCCTTACTCGGGCCTAGGAGAATCTGGATGCCAACTTTGGTTATTCTAGCTTTTATAGTTTCTGAGATCCTCGCGTTCATCCAGACGGACGGACGGACAGACGGACGGACATGTCTAGATCGATTTCTCTCGTCATGCTGATCAAGAATATATATACTTTATGGGGTCGGAGATGCTTCCTTCTGTATGTTACATACTTTGCACAAACCTAATATACCCTTTTTACCCTACGGGTACAGGGTATAATAAAAATATCTCATACTTGAAAATCGGTTGTTTATTATCAAAGATATTCAATGTTTACATACCGATATAAAAGATGGCGCACCCTGTATATGAAATACAATTCATTTGGCTTTGGCAACCCTAAAAGTATTCGGCCTTATACGTACTACAAGTATACACAGCTCGCAAATAAGCACGTATAAGCTGACCAAGTGGCCGTTTTGGGCCACCAAGTGGTAACAGTTGTAGCTGTTGCCAGCATGAGGCATTTGGTAATTTGTTGCTGTTACAGGTCTTGGTGGTGGTGCTGCTGCTGCCGCCGCTAGTTAGTGGCCAGTTTGTAGCCAAGGAATTTCGCTTAAGTTAATTGCTCGTGACGCTGTGACGCTGTTCGTTGCCCGTTTACCATACTTTTCATCGTATTTATGGCACATAAATTTTCATTGATTTTGCATGCAAATAAAGCACGGTATACAAGTATACTATATATACATTTATATTCATCCATACTACATACAGGTATGTGTCTCACTGTTGCTATTAAATGTCAATACGCGCATATTGCAAGTATTCTCTAGGCTAGTTGGTATTCTGTATGTGTGCCATTTTAGCTGTGCAAGTGAATGTTTCTGAGATTTGTATGATAATTGAATGTGCGACATTTAGATGCAGGATCCCAACTTTAGATGAATAGCCATTCAAATTGAAATATGGGCAATGTGTGCATTCCTAAAGTGATACGCCACTTTTGGGTAAATGGTTGGCGCAAATGCAAAAAAACTAGAGACATTTGGGATCAAATTCTTTTAAAGCCAACACTTTTGAAAAATGATATTTAACTGCAATTTGTTTAGTATTTCGGTCAACATTCAGTTCAATTTACATGAAGCAATGCTATGTTGCATAAATGTAGTCTTAATTGTAGGAAGTCCGTTAGTGGTCTCACTTATTTTAGCATCACTTAATGGCTGACTGAACTCACACAATTCGAGCCGCAGCCGAAAGTGACACAAGTACCAACAGCAGCCACAACTTGACCTCCATTCGAGTGGGCATAAAAGATAATTACAAAAGCAAGAGCAATTTCGGCTGCAGTAAAAACAAACGCCAAATCAAACAAAATCGTGTTGACTGAAATAAAAAAAAAAAACGCATGCATACCACACTAAGACGGCAACAACAACAATAAAGAGTGTCAAACACGAACAAAACAAAATAGTAAACGACAACAAATCCAATCCAAACAAGATAAATAAGTCTTCTCTGCAGCAGCAATAACACACAACGCAAAACCTATGGCTATGCCATGAAGGGGTCAACAGTCAGTCAAGAGTCTCTAGACTAGCAATATATGTATATGTATGTATATACTCGTATTTACATGCATGTAAGTGTGCCTGCAGTTGGCCCAGTGCACCAGTTTGAAGAAGATGCCACAACATCAGACTGTCGAATGCAACAACACTTCGTAGGAAGGGTCTCATTGGAAAAAAAAGCTATTATAATGAGCGTTACAACAGCAACAGTAGGGGCAGACAGCTGCTGGCACTTGATATATACTCGTATATTTTTGTTATATAGTATGTATATAGTTGTTGACTGCGCATCATTGCGGTTACAAGTTGTGAAACATACAAACATACGAGTAGAGACAGACATGCAACTGTCACTGCCATGCAGATATAGTTGTTAAAATTTATAGACAATATTTTGGCCATGCTGTAATCGAGGCAAACATTTAAAAGCTGAGGCACAAGTGGAGGTCTGGCCTATGCCGTAATGCGTGGTTTGTGGCTTTTGCCAATTTGGCCACGCAATGCAAGTGAAAGTTTTTCACTTGTCTGCCTTGCAGCCATTTCTTGTTGCACCGCCTGGCGAAACTGGCAACCACATACATCATCATCAACGCAGGCAGTCGTCAGTCAGCCACATCTACAGCCGCAGTTGCTGCAGCAGCCACAGCAACTTACTATAATGCAGCTAAGCTAAAAACAATTTGCACAGTGGTACCAAACCAAATCAATTGAAATTAAAAGGCGATTAACAATGCCTATCATCATCATCATAGAAGTACACACACACACAACAAAGACTCTTTATAGCTTTCTATCTTTTCCTATCTTTACTTGTGGCTGGCGAACTGGCGAACTCTTTGAGTAATCTTGGGACTTAGTGTATGTATTAGTTTGACTCACCTCCCGAGGGCTTAAAGCTCGGGCTTATGCAGTTCTAACAAAATTTAATACTCAAAACCAATTGATTCGAGAAATGTAGAAATGTAAATGTAACAGCTATAAGTTTTTACATAAAGATTTTGATTTTTTATTTTATTATTTTTGGTACCATTTTGTAACCATTTTGTAAGCTATTTATATTTTTGAGTATTTATGTCGAACTACAATAACGCAAGTATAAATTAGTTTCATATTTACATGTTTTACGTCGTAATATTTATTTAACAAATTCATTGGTTTTTATATCTGAGCCAAAATCATTTACTTTCTTCAAATTCAGACCACTGTGTATCGGACAACTAACCAAACCAACAACCATGCTACACGATTCAGGACTTGCGTAAATCGAAAAGCCGCAAGCAAAGGCAAAAGTTGTCATGCCCCGAAATGGGCTAAATGAGCAAAAGTCGCCACTGTCGTTCACGAACCGGTAGCAAGTTGTTTCATGTATATGTTGCGTATACGCAATATGTATACTAATTAATACGCGCAACAAAAAATTGCAAACAATTCACCGCAACAAATATAATACCACGGACGAATATTAAAGTCGATTGGTTCTAATGTCCATAATCTATATACTAAGCATAAGCAACCTTAACTTTAGATTCGTTTTATTGTTGTTAGAAAGAAGTCGTTCCTTTTATTTTCCTGCTTCTGATTTGTTTCTTCTTAGAAGCAATCCCATTAACTACCACAAATTTATCATTAAGGAATGGTATAGTTTCACTAATGCACACAAAATAAAGTAGGCCATCTGGGGTTAACAAATGAACGGTGCTTTTTCAAACATGGTCGGCCTTAAGGCAAATGCGTTTCTGAATGGCGTTCGCAAACTGATTGACTTTGTTTGTGTCTGTTTGTAGCTAACAATTATTATGGAAATCGTCATTCACCAGTGTGATTGAAATGCACAATACACACATACACACACACTCTATGTGCACGTGTCTGTCCACAATAAATGGCTACTTGAAATATGCATCCCAAAAATGTTATAAAGCAATATTATGCAGCGCTCATAATTTGTGACCCAAATTTGATGTGTGGCGAGTGAATGGTGGTTAGCTGCTTCTTTGACTCAGGCACACAGTCTAGTTTAAAGCTAACAGAGCGCCAGCGATATGCAAATTAATTGGTAACAGCGCAGCAGCAGCTGCAACAACAACAACAGCCATGCCAACAACAATCCACAGCCGGCGTTGAGTAAGAAAAATATTACAATAACAAACAAAGTAAGGCAAAGATTATGCAATGCGGTTGCCAAGCAAAAGTTCGAGTTGTTGGAAAATGCACGTAAATTATAATTCATTATACTATATAGTACGTGTATGTGTGTGCATGTGTGTAAGTGCGAATTGTGTGGAACGTGCATGGCTACTTAGATGATGCAGTCAATTTGTTAACAGCACAAGCTATTGGTAAACAGACCGATGCAAGCAATACAGCCATTACCCATGAGCTCTCTATAGCTAAGTATATTGAATGAGGAAAGTTGCAGAGCGTGCCGAAGAGTGAACGACTTGAATCCATTTGAAGTACCTTTAAGATGCGTTGAGATAAGCATAAGTGAAAAGCACAAGTACCTGCACACGCGTGGGTAACAGCTCACTCTTTTCAGTTAACTTTAATTGTGACTATAAGACAATATTTTTAATTTAAAAAAACAGTATTCCCATGGGTCTGCTCAGCTCAGAACAAGGCAACAATTTCTTTACATGATGAAATTGCAATTAATTTGTTTTAAAACGATCTTATAAGAATATTCTATTCTATGTTGGTTTCTGAGTTTATTACACTTGTATAACTTTACTCTAAATAGAAATTAAATTACAACTAAGTTTATTATCAACGGAATTTACATATTTTTTCTAAAGTTAAGGTTGGGGACCATGTTTAATTCAAAGACAAATTTACGAACTCACTTACCTTTGGGCATGCCACATGGCGCCTTTGTGCGCGAATTATCCAAGAAATCCAAATCGTATTGGCGTGCAGGTGGATAAGTTAAAGCCACGTGCGCCTGAACGTCCAATTTTAGGCAACACACAAGCGCCAAAATGGCGAAGGCAGCAAGTCGGATGAAAGGCGTGTTGCCGGAGCATTGCCGCTTTTGATTCGCATTTAAAGACATTTTTGTACAAAAAATGTTTGCCAACAAATTTGTGGTTGCCTTTTGTTTTGTGTTGTTTTTAGTTTTTTGTTGTTGTTATTTACCAGCAGTATGTGGCAGCTGAATTTTTTCTGTAATTGATTTACAGGTACGCTTTTTTTATATTTATTTTTGTGTGTATTCATAAAATTGTACAATAGAAAAATTTCAATTTTTTTGCACGTGCGTCGCACACATATTTAAGCAAGTATGTATGTACATATGTACATACTTATATACTGGCAAACACTTGTAATGAACGGTGTAGTCGGGCACTTTCGGCTAAATGAATTCGTTTTATTTATTACACATTTTCATTAAAACTTTGCTCACAACACATTTTCGTCGGTTAGATTTTATTATTTGTTGTTTCTTAACTTTTTCTTTGTGAAAATGTGAACTTTGTGTTTCTAGCACCGTCGCTGTTCAATCTGTGCTGTAAGAAAACAAAACAAAAATAAATAATAAGTAATGTGTATTAGTGAAATATTTTCGCTCAGCGCTTTAATGTAATGAGTTTTGCGTCATGCTCGAAGTAAATTACACAATTTGGCATATTTTCAAACAGTGTGGCAAATTATTTATAGCCAGGCTGACGAACAATGCTAGTGAAGTTCCCAGCCACAAATCATTAAAAATACAGGCAGGCATTCATTCTCTCTCTTTTCTTTTGGAAAAGGTTTAGCTGCTTTTCAACCGATCTTCTCATCCAGACTTATTCGAAGTAAGCTGCGTGTGAAACGTGCGAGTTCAACGCACATACATATGTGTTTAAGTAAAAACACCTTCGAACGCAGTGAAATCGAAGGTCCGGCTATTCAATAAATGGAAGTAAAGTCGGCTTAATGACAGCTGTCAACCAAACGGCGTACTTAGCTTTTGCCAAAAATCGGCAACGGCTTTGAGCCCCACCGTCACTCAAGACAACATAGACCAGCCGCACAGAAGTGGCTTGAACGCCTTTAATGAAATGTTACAAATAAATCAGCGTTAAGCCAAGACAAACAAACGCCATCAGAAGACGGCGAACAAAACTTAAAAACTTAAAACTGACGGAAAACTATTACGGCTAATGGCAGCCAAGTTAAGCAGGTAGCCAACATTAGCTGCAAAAAGCTTGACTTAATACTGGCATTAGCCACCTCAAGTGGGCGTCTTAATGTGGCAGTGGAACACAAACAGTGCAACAGAGCACCCAAACAAAGTGGAAAAAAGCATTTCGATATGGAAAATTGTGCCAGTTGCTGCCACAGATTTGACATTACAATTGCATGTTGCATGCCAAAGATAAATGACCAACACCGGCAGCTGTGCAGCATCATAACTGTTAGTTGGTCGTGGCACATAAATAATTGACCGCAAATTATAACGAAAAAACAGAAAAATACAAACGAGGCAAGTATTTACACGTTCTACTCTACTTTAGATGATTGTGAGTGACATCAGCTAGACCAAAGATTTGTGTTGATTCGAAAACAAATGCCACAAGTATGTGTATGTGTAAAAAATGATAGCAGTGGTGCTCTAATTACTTTTTAGTTCAGAGCATTCCATTAAATTAAGCCGAGTTTCCTCAGCCAAATGGCTTGCCAAAATATTACGAATGCAAATCAGTATAACTTTATAAACTGTTATTGGAGGTAACAAGTGTATTCATAAAATGAATTAAAATTTCTCCGTTTAAGTTCGCCATCTATTTGTTTGGAGTCAAGCAAGCTGGTCGTTGAAAAAGCAACACAATTTTGTTATTAGATTGTGGTCAAACTTTGGAACAACTGCTTTTCTTTAGCTTTGACTAATAATATTTTATTTTTTCCAGTCTCTCTGTTATTTCTGTTGTGATACATCAGTATATCGCTCGTTTGCCCGTTTGGCCGACTGTCCTCTTGTTGGCCAACTGGCCAGCTTCGCCTCGTTTGGTTACTCTAGAAATTGGCTGACATTGAAAAGCGGCCACTGCGACGTTGAAGTGGTTAGCGACAACGACGACGGCGACGACAATGTTTGACATTGAACTACATACATACATATATAGTATATACATGCAAGCATTAATTGAAAACCATAAAAACAAACATAATTAAAGAATCTACTTTTATGCGAGTACGTTTGTATAGCTAATGCAGACCTGAAGCTCAGCAAGTGGAAAATGTTGGGCCCCCAATGCATGGTCAACAAGTTTTGACTCGCTTTGCATGTTGCTGACCATACGAATTTCATATAAATATACACAGTGAGTGCAAAATAATGAGCGTTGCAGTAAGTAGAACAAGTTGTAGGCCTAATTATACAAACACTTGTAATATAATTCGCAGACTTTCGAACCATCTTCTGTCTGAGTAAATCGAGAATTCATTCTGCTTAAAACAATGGAATTTTGCCAGAAGGAATCATATTCCCACAATTTAGTTTTTAATTCTGTGACAGAAAAAATAATTTTTGAAGACCCCACAACCAATGTAGTGTCAGATCATAAATAAGCTGTCAGTTAAGACTTGTCAATAAGCCAGACGTTTTTATAATTTTGAAACAATATTTCATGATATGCCGTAAATCCAAATAAATCTGCTCAATTGCTGTAAATTAACAAAAATGTATTTCCTTCCTTCTCCTTTCTATTTATTTTGTAATCATCAAATTCATATCGAAAATACATAGCGTGTACTTCGTTTTATAGGACTTTTGAGGTAATGCTCGGGTATCACATTTTTATCAAAACCTCTGAAGTATTGCATAATCTTTTGAGCAACGATTCGGATAGCTCGCAACTGCTAAACAGAGCGTCATGAACTGGGCTCAGTAGTTTTAGTCGCAATTTGCCTCATCACTTGACCCGCATGAAAGTGTTTGTGTTTCCGCTTTATAATGGTACAAGTATATGTATACATGACTACGCACAACCAATTTTCCAGCAAATAAAAACAATAACAACAGTCGACTTGAGCAATTCGGCACAGCTTGAAACGCACCTACTTACATGATGATGTTTTTTTTTGTTGTTGTAAAAACTTGCCTATCGTTTATTATTATGATTATTATATTTTGTGGTCACTCTCGCTTTGATCAAAATCGTGTGTCTTGTGCTTGTAACGACAAGCTTTACTATTTTTGGCTCATGGCTATTTTTCCTGCACCGTGACTTTGCAATTTCATGCACATGTCAATATCCTTCTGCAATTATTTCTATTGAATTTCAAAGCAAGCCAAAAAAGTTGGGCGTATGCAGATTGTAGTTTAAGCAAACGAATTGCAAACCAATAAATAATAGTAGTTCGAATAGTTGACCTGGCTAGAAGCATAAATAATATCAACATTGTTTGTCTAAGGTAAAGAAAATAAAACGCAATTCACACGCAATTATTGCAAGTGAGCAAGAGTGTGCTGAGTCTTTTAAATACGTTGGGTTCTTTAAATGCCTGTAAGCAACACTTGCTCTTGTTGGCTATCCATTATACCGTGCTGCAGGCACAAACATTTGGCTACACTACTCATGATCAATTCACATACCCGTACAGACGAGAGAGGCGGCAGGAACGGCAACAACTACTACACGATCACTAGTAAAAAATGCAGTCCAACTGGTTACGAAATATTTGAAAAGCTCATTCATGTTGAGCTTGAGATTGGTGTGTGTCTGTATGGCGATTGGCGTGAACCGGTTTCTGGCCCAAAACAAAACAGTCAACTATTAATGGCTTTGCGATACATCGATGGTATCTGGCTAAGTGTTGGCAAGTGAATCGAATGTGTATGGCGCGTTGTCAAAAACTTAGACGTCGATAGCGGCGGCCGGCACCCTAAAGTTAAGCAAAAGTACATAGTTGCGCTAACTAAAAAATAATGACCAAAATTAGAAATTGCAAGAAATAAAAGAATTACAATTGTACAGGATGATTTTAATTCTGCAATAGCTAAAATTGAAATTACGAATTTACATCCATTTACGTATTTATAATTAAAATAAATGTTATAAATAAAATATGTACATCGAATTGGTTCTCATCTAGTCTTAAAAAAGTACTTAAGCAATGCAAATTCGGTAAAAATCTTGTAGTATTTCGATATCAGTTATAAGTATATCTTAGACGCGAAAATAATTTAATACTCTTTTTTACTATCTTCCGAAACTTGTTTGGAATTCTGGTTATTTAATATTGAAAAACGACGCAGAAATGTTTATATGTACATACTATATATTATTTAATATGTGGTCTATAACAGATGTTTGTTTGGCTTTTGTGTTTACGTTGAAAAATGAATGTACTCGTAAGCTATTTCAAATGTCGTTTTTTTTTCTCAATTTTGGCTATAACTATAAGTTCCGCTATTAACTTATAGAGACCCCGACTTGCACGGTCTGCCACTCATTTCTCATATTCATTGTTATTATTAGCTAACAAAAAACTTCGCGCGTCTGCGTACACAAAACTTTCCAATACGGCCAACTGCACGATGACTGTCAAAAGTTATGTTTGGCGCACTTTGAAAAGACACACACAACACACAACAATACGAGGAGGAAAAAAATGGAAAACAAAATTCAAGTCAGCGAGTGACAACAAACACTCAAATTAGACAACGTGGCGTATGCATTATGGGCATGTGTTAATATGTGTGATATAAATATTTGACCGGCGGCTATTAACGGTGTTTGGCTACTCGAGTTGCGGTTAATGCTGAGAAAGTCGATGTTTTGCATTACCAATAGCTGTGTGTTGTGGCTTTTTATTTAATTTCTACTCGCGAAAAATTTCTCAATATTTACGGCTATGTCATGCATTGATAAGCCACTGAATCTATCTGCATGCTAAATAAGTGCTTATCAATTAAATACACAATTGCGAAAACACAATTGGTGGAACGTAACTTTTAAACAGTTAGGAAAAAATATTAGCAGCACGCGCTTGCCAATTTGTTTGCCTATTTAATTAGCAAAGCCAAAACTAGTGATGATTGCGTCGTCGAGTGGCTTTGGTATGAGCCATTGAGAGGCGAGCCCAAAAAATAGCTCGGGCCTGCGCAGGTCGTTAATGAAATTAATTAGTAAAATAAACACATCAATACATAAGAGGGTTAAACTAAACAAACTATACATAGGTATGTGTGCGCCTCTGTGCTATAGTTTTGTTCGGGCGCATTTCACTTGGAGGAGAAAGTTGTCACCAGGCGCAGGTTTTCAATAATTTGTTTTCTATTTTAGTTTCATTTTCTTGGGAATGCATTTAAAGAAATTGAAAATGTTTTCAATATTTGTTGAATCATTAAAGTTAAATTTCATTTAAGCATAGTATACCTCATTCGTTTTTTTTTTTTTCTGAATATGTCAGCTCAGCGGTCAGCAATATTTAATTTAAATGCGTCAGTCTCTTGATTAACATAATTTTATTTGTGGCCGCTATCAGCTCTTGCGGTCGAACTGGTGCAGCAGGTTCGTGCCTTAAGTCTTTCGCTTAACTTAGCATATTGCTTACACGCTCGCGCCCACTTTTAAATCTGAACGAAGTTTCTAATTTATTTTTATATTTTAAATACACTTGTAGAAAGCCGCTGAGACTTCAACTTTCCCAAGAATCAAGCTTGACCAGATAGATGCGCAGCTTTAAATGTATGACCAAAGCCGAGGTCAGGGTTCAATTGGGCTACAACACACAAACGATTAAATTTGATTGTTGTTTCTTGTTTATTAAACTTGATCTCTAAACTGGCTAGACATAATGTGCCCACAAACCGTACAATTTGTTTGCTTGTTGATGTTGTTTGTGTTGGTGCTGGTGCTGGTGCTACATCTCTGCTGGCTGTGCCCAAGACGTTGATTGCAAAAATAAACATTGCCTATACGATCATATTTCAAAGAAAAATAATGCTGATGCAGCGCTATATAAAATGATGGCCGCTTTGGTTGAGTGGATTTTTGGAATTAGAAGGTGGCGTAGACACAGACGCAGACACAGACACAGACAGAGACTCAGACACGGCCACAGCCACAGCCGCAGACGCTACTCCGAGTCAAGCCCAGGCCTGTCAACCTGTCGTGTTTGTTAATATTTTTTCATTTGTATTTATAGCAACTTAATTTGAACTGAAGTTCAATCGCTAAAGTGTTTTCTATGTACAAATTGATGATGTGATTGTAAGTATGTACACACAATTCAATTGTTGAACCTGGAAGCATGCGATCATTATTCAAATATTTTACATATGATTATAAAGAATATTAGACGTTTATGTTGGCTACGCAACAATTTCCAACTCTGTGCTCACATCTGTTTATTCGATTTATGCAGCTTTTTTCTTTTCTGTCCATTCTGGTGCTATTGTCTGAAAAGTCGTTAACGGAATATTTCTAGCCTTTGTTTCGTTGGATTTTAGCACAGACTCGAATGCTAAAACGTAAAACACCATTGGAAGCTCAAGTCAAATATTCTCTTCAAATTATATTTAATATATTTGTATATCAATTAATGAACGCAACCTGTGTGCCACTTTTCAAATGCCTCAAAACATTTGGTATGCGTGTGTGTCTATTATATACATACTCGCTGCTACGAGCATAAACGTGGCCAATTTATGCGGTCCATGTGTCGTTTGATGGTATAGTTTAAATTGTAAACGCATTTTTGCTTTAAGGTCGCTCAAGGCATTTGATTGATTGTTCAGTTTCGGCCATAATCTAGGTTGTTGTGGCTACAGTGATTTACGCAATTTGATGTGCAATTATGGCAATTTACACGAATCGCTTACAAATTTGTACCCTATGTGTGGTATGCGCAGTTTTGGCATTGGAACTCATACACGCAGACACATAATAGTACTAGTAATTAATTTGAAAGCGGTCATCGAAGTACTGTGGCAAAGCAAATGACTTCAACAGCAAACGCTGACGGAATACTGACAAACAAAAAGCAAATAGGTAGGCACTTATACTATAGTTGAATTTAGTAAAGGGATGCAAATACTTATAATTCAATTTTATATATACATATACGCCTTATATGCTAATTGGTAAAGCAAAACAAGTGCTGTCGAAAGATGCGACAATACTTGACTTCACAGAAATAGCACACAGCAATTGTTGAGCGAAACAGTTGCATAAATTAAAATCGAAACACATTTTAAAGTAAGCACATCCGATTCGGATACAATACTTTTTCGCTCCTCTTTATACTTATGTCCATATAAATATGTGTGTCCGTACTTACTTATTTATGGAAAATAGAAATAACACAATCAAACGGCTTTTGAAGAGTCAAGATGCGCTCCAAGGTTTTCAGTCAACGATTAGATGTGTGAGTATGTATTGGTATTTCTAACCAGTTTATATACGTACGCTGTATAGCCCCCGCGCAAAATTAGAGATCGCGACTGGTTTCGCCTGTTGTCATACATATGGACGTGTATTCTCACTTTTTAGAGGCTTTGGCGGTTGCTGTTTATCGTTTTTTTTTTTTTTTTTTTTTTTGTTTATATAGTATACTATCTAATGTATACGTTTTGTTGTATCTAACAAGTTGGAATTTTTATTGTATGTATATAAATAAATATTATTATCGAATTATATAAGCAGATACTCATATTTTTTCTACGCGCATTTAAATATATTTAAGAGCCTCTTTTTTAATGGCACTACCAAACGCTTATAAATATGAGTGTGTTGTTCTTACATACGAAGCTTTTCTTAACTCGATGTGCGTTTCTGTGTGGGTTCGCTTGCACAAATGTTAGATGCCATCCGGTTTTATGTATTTGTAAAGCGTTTTTGCAGCTGCCAAAGCTAACAGTGGACCGATGCTGTTGAGCTGCATTCCTGGCATGACTAACAGATATTAACGGCCAAGAGTTATTACCCTCAAGGTCATTTCGCTTAGCAAAGCAAGTGTTTTTTTTTTTTTTTTTTTTTTTGGCTTGAAATGTTGTTCTCTATTGGGTCATTGAATGCTCGTTCCTCTCCATTTAATAGCTAGAATATATTATACAAAATAGTTGTACAAACATCCGTAGATCCGTTTGAAGAAATCAGCTTTTTACATAAACATCCAATTAAGGTGCTTTAATTTTAAGACGAATCGGCAATAAAAGCAATCATAAAAGGAAGCAGATACGAAAGGCAATCATTGTTGTTGAAAACAATTAGAAAATGTTTAATTAATTTGGAATTACAGAATACAAGAAGAGAAGCAATCTCGGAAAAAAGATCCGGCATAGAGTAAACAAATCAGAACTCATTTATTTAAGGAAGCGCAAGCGATCATGGGTACAAAAAAAAACCCAAATTTAGGTGTGTATTCTGTTTAAAAGTAAAGTATAGAAGTGACTCACTCGGATCTGTATGTGCGTGAAGTCAAGACCAGAATTTCTTTTGTGATTAATGATTTACAAGCGCATACAAGAATTTTGCTTTTCAGCAATATTTGTTTGGGCTTTTGTCTTCGCTTGTCACTAATAATTTGTTCTCTGTGCTTATTTGGTTTTAGAAATGATCTCATCATCTACCTGTACAGCATCGAGAGCCCACACTGATGCTCATTTGCCATAACCAATGAATCCGTTACGGCAGCTGCGATTGAAGAAGCTAAGCAGCTATTAAAGTATTTGGGCGGTGATCACCCATAACATTCGATAAAATGAAATAAAATTCACTTTTTTAAACGTCCAAATAGTAGAACTGGAGACAGGGGTACCCTTCCGTTTTGCTTTGGCGTTGTAATTTTCAAAGAATTTAAAAAATAAACGCCAGTCCGCATTAAAAATTCAGCAAGCATGCGCATCAAGCATTTCAAAACTCGTGAGGTATTTTTTTATTATTTTTATTTGTGTGCTCCTGCCTTTTGCCAAGCATTAGCAAATAACAGGCATTGGCATTCCTTTAATGCTTACCAAGAAGAGGCAACAGCAACAAAGTCGGCAATTATGCGATGTAGGCGGCGATACGAGTAAGTTACGAAAAACGCAAGACCAGTATTCCAAACGTAGCTTCGGCGGGTGCAGTGACGGCACTTGGAGACGAATCGAGTCGCACAAAAAAAAACTAATCAAAAGTTACGAAATGCACGCGCTTTAAGACAGTGACGGGGATGCGAGGTTTACCGACTACCAACGGCTTGAACAAGTTGGGAAATTCAGGGTTCCGAGCGGAGAAGTACGGGTACTCTCGATCAATTTAAAACAATGCACTTGCCGCCTTTTGAACGTTGGCCACTGAACTGTATCACCGATAAAGTCGAATATTTTTCACACACCCCAAGTGATGTGTTAACCAATAACGATCGGCTATTGAAAGTACATCTTTGTGTGTTTCAATTGAGTGTTTTGTTCGATTTATTATGACGGCACAAAGTGTTGCATTTCTGTTTTACGTGCCGTGCCCAGTTGAGCCACACTTTCAGACTCAAAACTGCGACTGCGTCTATACTGAAGCAAGTCTCGAATTGAACTGAATACTGCTTGCTGCTCAATCTTGGCCTGAAAGCGCTCGCGAGCTTTTTAATACTTGAAAAGACTGCTTCATAAACGTTAAGGTAGTTGCAAAGCTGCCAGACTGACAGTTATCATTGGATTTATTTAAATAATTATTTTTAATAGGTAGTACAATACTGTGACTGAGGAAGGAAGAACGTTTATAGCAGTGAAATCCGTTAAAAACTTTTCTTTTATACTTTAGTAAGTAAATATAAACTATGGAAGCACATTTGTTTTCTTCTAGTCTCTGTCGACTAAATTATTTATGTCAAATCAAATTACTTGTAGTAATGAAAGTGCACTCAGTTTTCTTTAAGTTTTTATGCCCTATACCCAAATTTAAAAGCGTATGTTTGTGTGGGATTTGGTCTACTCAACTAGTTTATTGTAGAATAGATATATGGGTTTGGTTATAATAATTGACAAACAGTTTTCGAGAATACTTATGTTAAAATGAACCTTCCACTCGCGTCGTTCATCATTTGTCGTATTTCTGTTCGTCTTAGCCAAAGACTCTCAGGTCGTCAGCTACTCAGGTATCGATACTCGTCTTTGCTAGGCTGTAGCGGGCTGGCTGTGCATCGTTGCCACACCATTCCCTCCAGCCTGGCAGGAACAGTGGCAGTCCCAACAAAGTAAATCCATACATACATACATACATATATTCATTTATTCATTTTACTTTGCCTCCTTCATTTATTATAGTATGGCTAGCGTAAACACCCCCAGCTGAATACGACCCACGTTAATGCTTAAAGATCTCTTTATAAACTATTTATATTTCGAATTATTTTATTTATATTAAAATAAAATAAGTTCACAGATCGACCACTTTAAATGTAGAAAACAAAATATAATACTAAATGTTTAAATTTAATTAGTTTCTGAACGATGTTTTTGACCACAATGAAAAATTAAGGAATTTTTTATTATAAAAGAAGGTTAAGCAATCGTAGGTGGTGAAACACAATTTTCCAATTTGAATTAATATTTACGATTATTTATTATTTACCTATATGATAAAGTCCGTTGAAATTACAATATATGAGCAGCAATTTCATAAAGTTGTTGACATATCAACAAGACAAAGTTAATTTTGCTAAACAACAGTTAAGTTGTAAGCCACTTTGTTAGTTAAAGACATCAATTGAGTAAGTAGCAAAAAATCACTGCAAAATTAATTATACTTAAAAACCTGTTAAATTGTATTCTCTGTTTTTAGTATTTTTATCGATACAAACTGCTAACGGTTGTTTATGTGGCAACGCTAGGTGGACATATGGTTGCTCATCTGCGTACTTTCTTAGGGCTGCCAATTTGCTTATATTCTTAGCCAGCCAGCTAGCCCAGTGTCTAAGGAATTCGCATTTAAGGTTTATTTATTCCTTAAACTTACAAATAGGAATTGAATGCAAATTTTGAAACTAACACACATTAAAAGACAATGAAAAAAGTATTGGTAACAGGTGGGACTGGCCTTGTCGGCAAAGCTCTGGAGACTGTCATCAAGAAGGAACAACCAACCGATGAGAAGTGGTTTTTTGCGGGTTCCAAAGATGGGGACTTGACGTAAGAACATGTGATTACTTAAACTTCCAGTACTCTGGCCTAGGATTTATAATATTACGTACCCATTTACTTTTTTACATACACATAAACTTGCCCCGAAGCATTTTCTTCTTTTCATTCTCTCGACGTTGCTCACCATGTCTTTAACTAGTATACTAATACTTTTAATTTCCACACATACAACAAAAACAGCAACCTGGCCTCCACGCAAGCACTTTTCGAGCGAGAGAAGCCAACACATGTGATTCATTTGGCTGCGCTTGTGGGTGGACTGTTTTACAATATGAACAACAACTTGGATTTCTTGGTAAATAATTTGTATTGATTCACACAGACTTGATATGTAAACCGTTACATTCTCTTCTAGCGCAACAATTTGCTTATCAACGACCACGTACTGCAAACTGCACATGAACAAGGGTGTAAAAAGGTTGTGTCTTGTCTCTCCACTTGTATATTTCCGGACAAGACCAGCTATCCCATTGACGAGACAATGGTACACAATGGTCCACCACACCCATCCAATTACGGTTACTCGTATGCCAAACGCCTAATTGACATACAGAATCATGCATACCACGATAAATACGGACATTTGTATACGTCTGTGATACCATGTAATATATTCGGACCTCATGATAACTACAAGCCCGAGGGGCATGTCATACCGGGCTTGATAAACCGCATGTACAAGCTGCGGCTGGACCAGCCTGATGTGCCAGAGGGTGAAAAAGTCTTTACGGTTTTCGGCAGTGGCAAGCCTCTACGCCAATTCATCTATTCCCTGGACCTAGCAAAACTGATCATTTGGGTGTTGCGAAACTATGACAGCGTGGAACCGATTGTGCTCAGTGTGGACGAAGAGCAGGAGGTGACTATTTTGGAGGTGGCACAAGCTATAGCCAAGGCGTTGAATTTCAAGGGCAAATTAGTCTGTGATACGAGTAAGGCAGACGGGCAGTACAAGAAGACGGCATCTAATGCCAAGCTACGTAGCCTCCTGCCCAATTTTGTGTTCACCAATTTTGAGACAGCTATAAAGGAGTCAGTGCAGTGGTATGTGGACAACTATAACCAGGCGAGAAAGTGAGAAGACAGATGCATTGTGATTCCCTTAAGGAAGAAAACTAGGTACGCGCATTTATGATAAATCTAAATAATTTTTCTTTATTTAAACATTAAATTAAAAACTAAATTTAGACGCATAAACACTTTATACAACATTTTTGACAATATGTTTAACATATTATGCACATATAGGATTTAGGAAAAGTTTTAAATACTATGTGGACATATTTGTCTGTGAAAAAAGAGGTGCACAAAAAGGTACTAAAGGTAAAAACATGATAAAGCTTAATGTATAAAATAGACAGAAAAACAAAATAATAATCTCAATTTTCAAAGTATTTTTGTCGGGGGTTGTCGTCATTGTATTTTGTTGTCATTCTCTTCTTTGTCTGTCCTAGGTATTGGCAATTTGAGGTCATAAAAAGAACCTAAGCTTATAATTAATTATTTTACAACATGTTGGTACTCCTTTATAGCATTAATCAGTTGAATTGTTCGCTTATTTAAACTATTTGTTGTGTTCTGCTGGCAGTAACGAACGTAAAAAGCTGCATAGGGTAAAAATTAGTGTTGGGAATATGCAATAATAGGGAATAAATAGAAAAGGTGTCCGGAGTCTCGTGTTAAATTAAAAATAGTTCAACTAAAGGAAACGTTCGCCACATTCGAGAGCATGGCTCGCCTAACTAACTTGTTCGATTTCCTAAGCTAATGACATGCTTCGCTTCAACTATTTCTTTACTTTTTGTCTGTTTTATTTTGAGAGTCTCCCAGCTTAGAAGCGCTTCAGTAATAGGGGCTTATTTCTGTCAGCGAATTGAGTATTGATCCATTTGATATCTGGTTTGCTGAACCTCACAGCCTGTCCCTCGCCGCAGTTGTTCTCTACACTGTAGATGCCCTTGAGTCGCACATTGGAGCCGCTGCCGCAGGCCAATGCACTGCCCACATCGAATTCACAGGAATCGAATTTGGTAGCGCTACATACTCCAGTTTGGTCGGCTCCGCAGTCGCTACGTGCTTGTGTCGACGTACCAGTCACATGCATGATGGCGCCTTCTTCATGAACTAGATACGTGGGGTTGAACTGTTAGCTAGTTGTGCTTCGATTGCAAATAATGACACTTACTTGATAGCGCCTGTTTGCCCCACCCGGTTGTCACACACTGCTCAGATGCGGTAGGATCCTCATCACTGATGCAAATTGGCTGTATGTGTGTGGCGAACTCGAAGCGTTTGTCAAGACGAATGATAGCCATGTCGTGCGCACCGGTAGAGGGATCGAACTCGGGATGAATGTCAATGGTCTTGGCGCCCACCAGCTGGAAGGGCAATGGTTCCTTGGTGCTTCCCAATTCCCATTCGCCGGCCTTGATACGCACATCGTTCACGGGTACGCTATGAGAAAATTCAAGTTCTGATAAGTATTTATCGCAATATTTCTTATACGCCATCTTGGAAGTCTATTCCCATGAAAATACTGTTAATATGAAGCCTATACTCTCTCGCGGAAAATCGAATCTTTGTATTTTGTCCGAAATTGTGTTAAAATCAAAAGTAATTTTTATTTTATCGCCGGAAATTAACGTTTTTTAAAAACATCCATGGGTAGTTTTTATGATTTATTTGAATACTCACCCATTTACACATTTGGCCGAGGTGAGAACGAATTCGTCACCAATAATTGCGCCACCACAGAGCAGCGTCTTGCTCGACTCACGTAAGATCATTGCCTGCCATGGAATCTCAGCAAAGTTGCTATCTATATCCTTAATGCCGGTGGGCTTTGTACGGGAGTTGCGTGTGGCGCAAACGCCAGCCAGGTTGACAGGCCAGGGGTCCACATAGTTGGGATCGCGACAGCACTTGCCAGGTGCTCCACTGTCTGGCTGCAGACAATCTGTGAGTGGCACACGGAAAGCAGCCTCCATGGGTGATAGTTGCACGGGCGAATCGGTCAGTACACCTATGGCATTGCAATAGCTCTCGTCTGTGCAAACTAGAGCAGAAGCGCACTTGGCGTAGTGTTTGGGGAGTTCGCCAGGCGTCTGTGAAGGGACTCTTTGGGGGAAGATTTGTGGGGAAAGCTGATCTTCGCCACGGATGGGCTTATCATTGGATGGCTGGGGCACACGATCGGTCTCATAGCGGGGTGGTTGCGTTGGGCGTTCCCGGTGGGGAATCTCGTTCACTGAAACCGGAGGCAAGTACTCGTTCGTGGGACGACGTGTTGTTGGCTGTGGTCGATATGTGGGTTGAGGAGGCAAGTACTCGTTGGTGGGACGACGTGTGGTTGGCTGTGGTCGGGGTTGTGTGGGCTGTGGGCGGGGTTGTGTGGGCTGTGGGCGATAAGTAGGTTGAGGTTGTGTGGGCCGTGTGGTATAAACTGGAGGCGATGTTGGGCGATAGGCAGGCGGGGTGGGGCGTGGTTGCGTTGGCTGGGGGCGAGGCGGCTGCGGAGCTGGCGGTGTGGGACGGTAAGCAGGCTGGGTGGTACGAACAGCTGGCACAGTGGGGTTTGTTGGCAGAGGGAAATTCTTCTCAGGTACATTGAAAATGTAGCCATCCTCGGTCAGTGTAGTCGAAGGCATGCGGCAGCAGATTTCGGGGGCATAACAACGGTTGGGCTGCAAGAAAATAAACATACAGTCTAATATAATATTTGTCTCGAAGGCTATTCCAAATCCTTAAAATTTAAGTCATGTTTCCAAGGCAATTCCTTCAATTTGAGGTGCTGATGGCTGTTTTGTTGAAAGTGATATCGAAAGGAAGGACGGGGTCAATAGCTTCGCTTATCATAACGCAGAGCACGAGGTCTGTCTGCAAGCACTACATGATACGTGCAGTCAAGCACAGCGAGGCATCTTAAGGGGCTGGTGCTGGCACATAAATTAATGCCATGTCGTGCTTTGAAGTCCATGAGTTAGCATATTAAGTTACAGCAACTGCAGCAGCAGCAGAAGCGGCAGCATAAGCTTCAGCTACACCAACAGGCATGCTAACCGTTTGGCTTGCAACGCTACCTGGTCATTAAAGTGGCCAATGTTGCTGTCAATTGTTTTTGCGCTTGGTGTTAACCCAGAAATTTGCAGTTTCATGGTGCAATCTTGGCAGCTAGGTAATGTGTTAGCCAGACGCCAATGTGCAAATGTAATAAGTATGCTTCAACAATATTGGTTGGCAACAAAAACAACAAGTCGCCAGCTACACAAACACATACCTACGAATAGGCACCCGTATTCGAGGCAGCATCTGTCCAAAGTGGGCAACAATTTGAATTGCCTGATGTTGTGTCAAGTTTGTCGCCTAAGTCTTTTGTTTGCTATGTCTGATTCATTGCATTTGCCTGAATGTGTGCGGGTGGGTGCTTGCATGTGAGTGTGCGCAGGCTATTCGCGACACCTACAAACGTCTGCAGCAGAACGCAAACAAATTTATTTTGCTAATTTATACAGAATGTCTAACTGACAAGCTGAAGTCAAGTTTTGCCAACGGAAATCATTTAAATATTATTTTTATGATAACCCAGCTGGGTGCTTAATTTATATATTTAAACACTTCTATCACAAATCGTTTTTGGAACGTGCCGTTGCTCATATATAGTATGTTGATGAAGCTATCAACAGCGACTATACGTTTATTTTTATGTTAAAAGCCAACCAAAAGCTTTTTACAATAATGAAATATCAAAGCGCTTCGCCGCATCCATCTAAATGCTAGTATGTATTTGTTCTAAACAGTATTCTATCTTCCACATAAAACTTTAGTAACATTGATTTGGAAGCTAATACATACACATACAATATTCATATCAGCTATAGTCGCGTCTATTTTTTTTATAGCCACTTCGTTTCATTAATTTGAATATTTACTACAACAATAAGAAAAAATTGTATCCTATAGTACTACCGGCTTCTTACGCAATCGTCATGAAATTTTTGTTTAAGAATACAAAAATCTCCAAGTTGTAACAAAGTGCGACTCACAATTAGATGGTTTCTGCTGTTGTCAGATACAATTTTTTCACACGCACCTCGGTGGGGAGGTGTCAACAACGACCTCGTGTTTATTGTTTCGCGTAATTTGTAACTCATAATTCAACGTCGATGCGACAAACCCACGGAACCACGGACACATCGACCACCGGACCAAAAGACCCACAAAGGCAGCCAAAGGCGGCAGCTGCTTGGCGTGTGTAATGGAAAAATAATATGCTCATTTGTTAAAAATTAAGCGTAAACAGAACGACTGTAAGTCGGCTCAGTGACATTTCGCAATGGAGGCTGAGCCAAAATTAATAATGATAATTAAAATAAATGTGCTTCTGTTTGCCAGGCGCAGTGATATGAAGCGGCCTTTTTCAGGCGCTTTCCTGCCCTAATTTTGCATCGTTGCACAATTTAAACGACTATAATCATTTGTCTCCACTCTGTGTGGTGGTTGTCCTTCTGCTGCCCAAGCTCATTTAATTTGCTTAACATTATCATTAGGCAGCGTGAGCCGCTGGCGCAATTTTCATCAATTAAACGTTAATCAAATGTTATCTTAATGTAGACATCATTCAAGCTTTTGCAACAGCAGCAACCACATGATGTATGCATTAAATTTTATGTAATACACGTTATCATTAAGGATGCACTAAAAACCAACCAGAAAACAGACTCAGCGGGCAGCATGCTCTTACACATATACAAGTACGTAGTATATATTCAATATCATTTTCATGAACCTATGCGCACGACCAATGACAAGCAACGACTACACTGGCGCTCACCTGATCAACTGACCGATTACCGACCGTCAGCCCCGATCTTTAGCCACTAGCTCCAGACCCTGTTGCAATCAATCATTTTGGTGGCCCAAGATAACAACGGCGACAACAAAAATAACAATAACAACAACAACAACAAAATTAACAACAAGCTACTTGTACAGCGACAGCAAAAATATGTAATTGATGTTGCAACAACAATAATAACAACAGCAACAATGACGCAAAAATGCTTTTAATAAATGTTGTTGGCTATGCAACCCAACATTTTTGTTTTTGTTGTTATTGCGGCAGCGATTGTCGCTGAGCCAGTCCGCTGCAATTTGTTAATAATGTTGCAATTACAATAAGTATATTTTCATAAAATTTATTTTAATGTCATTGCTAAGTGACAAGCCACATGGTGGCAGCTTCTATCAGAGCTATGGTGAGAAACTCTAAGAACTTTAAGAAGCCACAACTGAAGAAGAGACTGACAGTTTCTGCTGAATCATTGAAGACTAATGCACATAATTAAAGACAACAACTCACATATTGGAATTTCGGCAAATGTTAAATCTGGAAACGAGCTGTCAATATGCAAAGCAAATTTATGACATAAATGGCTTAAAGCAAACATGAAATTATTTTTACGATCGCCTTAATAGGTCAATAATGTAGTATTAAGGTAATATCGTTTTTTTACCTTCTCATTTTTGTTGTTGTCGTTATTGCTAGCCTATGAAACATGTTTTATTTTGCTTAGAATTTATACGCCTATAAAAGTTGAATAATTGCTTTTAGCATTTTATTGGCGTGCATCTTTTATAAAATTCTAGCCAGCTAGCTTCTAAAGTTGGCCCTGAAGATGCGTTGCAATTTAGCATATTCATACATTTTATGGATCAAGTGAGCTAGCTGCTCGAGCCTTTTGTTTCTGAAGCACCCAGTAATCTGTTGAGTCTATACTGAGAGACTTGGGTGTAAACTGTATATTTTATTGAATGTTCGGAGTTTGACACACACAGCCTTCGGCGAAATACACATTCATTTTGGAAGAGCGTTTTAATTCGTATGCAGTAGGCTAACTGACCACATGTACACACTATTTTTATATGCATTAAAAACGCATCAATAACATATTTAAATTATAACAAAACCAAAGATACATCTGCATTTTTACGAATGTTAAGGGCATAAATTCCCATTACTTGCCATTGGCTTTGTTGCTCGATGTTGCGATGGCGTTGATGGGCAGCTAATTTTACACAAATTATACGACGAGTCGTGAGCACCTCAGAGAAAAAGCGCAGAAATCATAATAAAAGAAATATACGCAGAATAGGCAGCGGAAGACATATTTACAATGCGCCACAATACACCTGAGTATAAATGAATGTTAAATGCTGTCAACGACTTTGGCTGCTTGCTGGCAGCTCGCTGGCGACCTAGACCTTGAGGCCGCTGCACATTGGCGCTGAAGTCGAGCTCACGATATGCTCTGTTTGCTTCTTTTCACTTTTTGTTGCTTGTTTCTGGCCAGCCGAGGAACCGTTAAACAGATCAACTAAGAGCTTGGCTAACTTGCGCACCCCATTAAGCTATGCATGCTTCCACATGACAGTGCAACAGTTCAATGCTTGCGAGGTTGCAAAATTGCTAAAATTTACGGGCTAGGTTTGCTAACGCTCGCATTAAATGAGTATCTTGGCACTTTTGAAGCCAAAAAAGTTTGCTATGTCGGAAGATTTTTAAGTAATTTCAAGATCTACGCTGATTAATGGCATTAAATATAATACATTACCTATAAACTAGATTCAGCTGTGCTTCAAAATGTGTTAGTTGTGCAAACTACAGTGGACGTACGTTATTTATTAGTAAAACAAAACAAAGCATTTTTTTCGTGACTAAATGAGGCAAAGTATAAAGAATTGTAGAATGAATAGGGAGAGGAACAAGTTAAGTTTAATTTGAAACATATTTTTTGGGAATATCCCAAATTTTTCTCAGCAACCATATTTTGGCAATTTTAAATGTAAAGTTTCAACAGCTGAATAGTTCTTAGAAATCAATATTGATCCTATATCTATATTCAAAATTGAAAGAAACTGGCAGTTTTTATCAACATCTATATAGATCTAAATACAAAACATAAGCTTCTTGTCTTCAAGTCAATAACTTTATTGGAATATGCTAAAGAAAAGTGTCATCTGTTCCTCAGCTTGCGCATTTTTCTAAACTCTTATTTCACTGTTCAACGATCTGTTTCCTCCATTGTACGTGCATAAATTATAACAAGAGACAAATTCTGTTTACACAAAAAAAACCACAAAAGTTAAACACGCAAGACATGGCCAAACTAAGATGATAAATGGTCGCACCGAAAATATGCGCCATAATCTTTTGCATAATTATTAAGAAACTGACAGAAATAGCGACAACAACAGCAAGCTTGCGTGTGCATCCATTAAGAAGCTGTTTACACCAGGCGCTTAAATTCGTTATCAATCAGTGCGGCAAATTCGAAGTATAAGGTCGTTTCATGGCACTATGCTTGAACGATAGCGCAGATTGCTGGCATGCAGCATGTGTGGCTGGTATGTCAGGATACTGTGAACACTAATTGATCAGATATGCGCAATAAAGCTAAGCATATGCAACAACAGCAAACAGCTGAGTCGTCGGCTCTGACTTATTGGCCTAGCAAATAACAAACTTAACTGAGGCAACTGCAAGCGGAGTGCTGTGCTGTGTTGTTCTGCTGCTGCCTTACTTGAAAAGTGGAAGGCAATGCTGGGAGGGGAAATCAAGCGGTACCAGTCACAGTCCTCAATGACCTTGCCGTGCATTCCGAACATTTTTCACTGTACAAAACTACTTAAGTTATTTTTCCTCTTCGCACCCTTGTAAATTAGGGTTATGGCACATCAACTGGTTGGTTTTGGGCATTCTCGTACCAGCTGGGGTTCGTACGCATCGTACGTGTATGTACGATATTTAGAGTCTCAGAGTTGTCGGATTCGTATTCCCTGGCGTGCATTTTGTAGCATGCAATTGGCGTCAATGCCTGCATATCTTAACGAGTTCGAGGCATTATGGTCAGTGCGTAATTGTCGCTTGTCGTTGACCGAGCGAAATTATGAGGTCTCCCCCCGAACATACTCTTAAAATAAAAAATGAAACAAAAATATGGAGCCAGCCAAAAAAAAGGGATTTCGTTTTAAGTGCAAGCGCTGCTGTTGCTGTTGCCGCTGCTGCAGTCTGCTGCAGTCTGCAACACGGACGTTCGTATATTCATACATACATAATTCACTTGCTGTGCTGATTTTTTAGCTGTGTGTTGCATGTGCAACAGCACCAGTGCAGAAGAGGAGAAAAAAGAAGAAGAAGAAACAGCAGCAGCAACTGACCCGTTTTGTTGGCCATTGCATGTAAACAAATTATGCAATTGAATTCATTGGCTTGGTATACTGGAATCGAGCGCTCTCGCTCACACGCCCTATTGCCATCACGCTAGCCTCGTAATTTAACACTTTTTCAGCTTTAATGCATATTACATTAAGTTCAACTACATTCCTGCTTGATTGCAAGCTGACGGCGTCAAGTTCGTTGCCTGAGTCTTTCGTTTCAACATGCCAATGTCGTTTTTGCTTTGCTCTTGGCTTTTTTCCTAGTTGATTTGCATTAAAGGCAACTTGACTTCAATCTTAGATTACAGATTACACCGCACAGTAGCAGTTCGTCATTTTCAGCTTTTTCAAATATTTAGAGCAGACTATTTGCATGTGATAACAACAATAAACAATAACACAACAGCCTCATCGTAGAATATTTTAACAGATATCTCTGGCTATGGCTCTGCAACCAAACTCAGACTAATTGTGTGTTAATAAGGTAGCTGCTGGCTTCGGCTTTGTGGTAGGTATTGCATTCGTTAGTACATCTGTTTTGGGTGCTTGTTTTTGTTTTTCTTGTGGTTGGTATTGCTGTGATTGTGATGCTGCTACCAAAACTGCAGCGTATACATTTCACAAGCGACTGCAACACTCACTACTTAGACGCTTTGTTTTGTTTTGTTTTGGGCGTCTCATCATTGGCACATCGAAGCGATTTTATGCAGCTACCATTTTTAATGGTTTTATGTATGCTGGGCTCAACCTATGGTTTCTCAGGCCTCTAAAGTGCTCAAGTTGGCTCTTGCATTGTGTTTTGTGACTTTTCGGCCAGTTTTTTGTAACAATCACATACCAGCATTCGATTGCGTTGCAGCTTTTGAAGGTAACCCACTCACAAATATACACGTGCAATAATACACGTTACTAATGAATACAATAACGTGTGTTGTATTTTGTTAATTAGGGCTGAAAAATACCATATAGGTGCAATGATCTCCTATAACTTACCCCTTGCTTCTTAATGTAATTGGGGGCAGCGATTTCTCCATTGCGACAAGCCTCAGGCGCGACACAATCAGAGTCGCGTCCACAGGTTGCGTAGGGCCTGGGCGTGGTTGTTGTGGTTGTTGTAGTGGTCGGTGGCGCGCGATATGTGCAGCAAATATCGGTCTCTGGTTCACAATTCTAGAAGAGCCAAAATGAAATAAGGAAAAGGTCAGTAATTGAAAAATGCATACAAAAACTTCCATCATTCCATCAGCTATACGTAAAGTTGTCAAAATGAACAAAGGTGTCTATAAATTGCCTAAAAATTATAGTTCATTAATAAGCTGAAACTACTTGTCTACCAATTAATCAAAACCGATTCGACCAAAAACGAATGACTGCAGCAACGAACTTGACTTGCAACAAATGACAACTACTGTCTGCTGCAGCAGTACAATCAATCACAATCGTGAATGGCTTAGCACCACCTTCGTTGTCGCGTACTTGACCAGCTCGGAAAAACTGTAAGCACTTGGCAACCATAAAATTCGTTGTCGCCATTTGCAATTGCCGCCGGCAAAAGGTCAACACAGTGCACAAGCCAATTGCTCAAACCGATATGTTAAGTAAGTAAGTCCAACACCAAGAAGTACAGTAGACATCAGACATCGTTTCTAACTTCATGTAAAACTCTACTTAGGCGTTATTCCTAAATAAAATAGTATTTTAAGTATACAATAATTGTTGATAATAAAACAATTTTTCCTTGATTTCCGATGACTCCCCAAAGATTTTCTTTTTAATTATATTTGGCACTGTTTAAGCGTAATTTTTTGTTTGAGGCGTTGCATTGAACTTTGCCGCCGCCAATCAGCTGGAGGCTTGTCGTTCTAATGAACCTTCAGCTTGCAACGCTTTTATAGCTAATTTGCTTAAATTTCTGCACCGTGTAGATTTGGTAAGCCATTGGATTGTCTCAAAGTCTCGTTCTATCTCTATGTCTTCGTGGCATTTCGACGCACGATTACAATTTAATAATTTGTTAAGTTGTTGCGGCCAAAGGTTAAGAATTGCCAAAGCAATAACGCCCGCAAAAACACTTGGCCAGTTTCGCATACAGTAGCTGGCGGACCGCCCTACTGCGCCTGTATTGGGGAATCAATAAATTTGCTTATTTATTAACGGCTAACTGACAGTGGGGCGACTTTAATGCTTTATAATGTTAAGCCATAAACATAAGCATATTAAATAAAATCTAATTACCGTTGCACCATTAATCTTAATTACGTTTTTATTACTTCCTAGCTCATTGTTTCGAGAAGAACTCTAGTTAAAAAAAAACCAGCTCACTTTGCCTTCAGAATATCAATCAAGTTCAACAAAATCATCCACATAAAAAATTACTTTTTTAAAATTGTGAGCTGTGAGTGTATTGCGGGTAAGCCAAATTGATGTTTGGCTAATTTATGTCCACCACTCAAACAGAATAAACAAATTTAAAAGTAAAACACATACTTGTATGTAAATTTGTGCGACCTTGACTAATAAAAGCCGAACTAATTAAAGAGTTGTGTTAAATGGATGCTAAATAGCGTTGACTAAGCCGTTCAGAACATGATTTTTGTTTGAATTTCGAAAGTGGTTTCCCACCCTAGTAACTGCTGCTTATTTGGCCAACAAACGTCTTCCCAAACCAATGAAACGAGACCTTAGTAACAACAAAAAAGAAAACTCACGTCGATGTGGGATGTGCGTAAGCGACTTTATATCAATATATATTTTGTACAGCGCGTGCCAATCATAAAATATACAAGTTATTTATAAAGGTTTGATTCTCATTAGAAGATGTGGCATTATGTCATAAAGCACGTGTAACCAGAACAATTCTATACAGGTTGTATAAAACCGAGTTTGTCCAGTTTTTAAATGCACGCCCACACGTGCAACCCCGGCCCAATAGTCAACTGACATATTTGACTGAGACCAGCGATCTAGGGAAAGCTGTCCAACCGGATGACAAGTGGGTTGACGTGGGCCCTGGTTGATTAACCCTTAACCAAACGATGCGTTCAGCATTTAAGGCAAAGGCAATACTTAGCTTTGACATCATCGCGATGAGAATTTTAGCTTAATTGCTTTTGAGCTTACACTCGCATACATAACTGGGAATGTTGCCTTATTTTTGTTTGCTGCTCATCTCAGTTAATTATTAGTCTGTTCGGGGTCTGTCTGTGACGTTTAAATATTTGTACAGCGAGTCGTTGTTATTTGTTTAACAGCTTTGCATGCTACCTCTTACGACATGACTGACTTGACTGCAAATGTCTATTAATAATATTTAATAATGCTGTGCGAGAAATCCGCCAAATTTCCCAAATGTACAAACTCGTACATATACGAGTACCAAAACATTTTAGCACAAGTTATTGCTCAGCTGGCCGAGTCGCGCAAGTTTATTTCACATAATTATAAATGTGTGAAAATATAATCTGGAGCCAATGGCTTTGATTCCCTTAACATGTGCTTGCTAATTGTTCAGGAAACGGACACAAAATAGCAAATTCAATCTTGGCTGTTACGAGTATGTCAAAGTCAAGTTTACAAACAACATCAGCAGCAGCAACACAACCACTACAACAGTGGCCGCAACAGCAGCGTCTCTAAGTTGCCTAATTTGGCAAAAGCAATCACAACAAAAAGCGCAGCTAGACAGCAGCTGGAGCGCTCAATGATTATTATCGAGGCGTTAAAATCATGCATGTTTTTATTCACGTATGTCTGTATGTGCCTGTGAAAATAATGGCAAATAATGTCTTTGCGCTGAGTAAGCGACACCCACGCGACCATGCGTGCGGTCGCGGTCTGCTAAACTAAAGATTTGTTTGCTTTAAAGATTTGATTGGTTGGAGCTGTGAGTTCAGTGTGTTGGTGTTGCGGTTGCCGCTGCTGTTAACTTTGCCAAGCGACAGTGTTTGCTATACATACATTAGTACATAATACATTATATGGCTACTTGTTGAGTGTGTGTTTCAAATTTAACGAGATGACTAAACTCAATATTGGCATAGACACCACAAAGGAATTCTGTTTGTGTACATTTATTAAAGAAAAACATCTCAGTTCACGGGTGTAATTTTGAGCGACGTTTTTTATTTACTTTCTTGTACCATATTTGGCTTCAAGTCCATACAAAAAATTTACTTTAAATGCAGTACCATAAGAGCAGAATTGATATGGTAAGAAAATATTTGGACACTCATTTATGCACTTGCTAATAGGTTAGGGTTAGGGGAAGGAAGGATTTAGGATAAAAGAATCATTTGCTTCAAAGGAAGTATGGCAAGCCAAAATTAAATAATTACTGCGAATTATGTAGAGTAGCTCATTAAAAAGCTATTTATTTTGGCTGGATATGATTGTGATTGATGAAAATACACTCACAAACTGCTGGAGGCAGCGTCGCACAATTAACAAAATTGTGTTATTAGAGGCATAGGATTATAAGCAAAATAGGTATGCATTTAACTTAATTTATGCACAAACGTTAGCCGGCGCATCTTTGCCAACTTTTTCAAAATATGGCAATCTGGAATTTCGACGTTTTTAATAGAAGTTTGCTTTTAATACCTATAAGCTCGCTCAACTTCCAGGTTCAATGTGCTAGACTAATTAATAGTCGTTACTTTTTTGGCTCGCAAAAAGCCTTATTAGTGTCAACAGAAAAAGCTCAATGGCCATTGGCCGCTAGCTATATAGCCATATTTAAACTCGATATATATATAGTATGTATTTGTATGCTAACGCGCATATCTTAAGTGGAATTTAAAGCCAGAAACAAAGCGCGCACAATAGACAAATTGAGTTATATATTTTTATGACTTGTTTTAGAATAGCAGTGGGTCAGCATATTCAAAATGATAGCGCATCACTCGGCAATAAAACTATTAGCGTTCTGTGTGGCAATTTGTTAAATGAGACGCCACGAAGCTGTGACTGTTTGTAATTGAGTTTGTCATTGCATTGCATGCGAGTTGCTAAACTTGTCGGTGTCTGGTCATTGGGTCAAACACGCACTCAACGAACACTTGCAGTTGGGCCAATGTCTGCGTATCATTTCCACTTCAATAAGATTTTAATTAAAAAACATAATTCAAGTGTCTTGAGCAATGCAGCTAACTACATCAGTGCAGAATAAAATGCATATTTTATGTCACTGCCATCGTCAGCATTGGCCGCTAGGCTACTTGCAAGGCGTTTTTATTCTCGGTGCAAGTTTGTTGCCTAGATCTTTTGTTAACGCATATTAAAAACGCTTCCAGCTCATACAAAAAATGAGTAATTGAAATAGCCATGAAATATTGATGGCAATGGGTATGCTGGCTGAAATTGAAATTGTATAAATGAATATTATTGCAGAAAAATCGAATACAAGTTGCATACAATGCGCTTTTGTCTGCATTCAATTTTTGTGGCAAGTGAGTAAGGAAACCCTTTTCGGAGTTAACCGCAAAGCTGGCAGGTGAATTCACATTTTTGTATTTTATGCGGCCAAATGCTCTGACCTGAAACTCTGTTTTGTTTATGTTATTTATGGGCACCACAAACAGAAAATATGCAAAACAGACGCTGGAAAGCTTGACGAAAAATGGCACAACAACTTTTGCATTTACATAAATTTCTTTGGCATGCCAAGATGGGCGAGCAATTAAACATGAACTTCACTCTTTATTTTCTGTGGCCATATTACGAAATTCGGCTGTCTGTCGCAGTCACTGCCGCTGTCTGCCGCTGTCTGCTGCTGTCTACTGTCTGCGTATTTGGGTTTTGGTAACGCCAAACCGGAAAATAACGGTAACTGTGCCAATAAACAACAGCAACAAAAATGCAGATCAGGCTAATCAAGCTACAACTGCAATATTTTCTCTCTTATCGCTCTGGCCAGACGCGTAGACAGGCTTTTAACTTACCTATATATACATACATATAGTATATAGTATATAAGCATGCGTGTTTTATTTCTGTATTTGCTCGTCTGAATTGAATTGAGCGGCCCGTCAAGCACATGCCACATTTCTTGGCCTGCTGCCTTATTTATTTATTTATTTTTTTTTTTTTTTGGGAAAAACCAAAACCAATGCCAATTATGCAATCTAAAATTCAATGAACAATAGCCATATAAAGATTCGCATTTCATAACTGGTTTTGCATATGAAATCAAAGCTCGCACAAATGTTCTATATTAAGATGAAGCCAAGATTTTAGTCATTTTGAAATTTGGAATTGTTTGCCAGCTGGTTGAAGAGTAACACACACATTTTGTAGCTAATTACACAATAACAAAAATCCAAAAAATATGAGGATAGTCACAGGAAAATTGTCACTTTGCACCTAATTACACGTATTTGGACCGTACCCTTATAGTAGCTTTTTTATTTGGTTAACGCTAAATTGTGGGACTAACCTGAATCTTTGGGAGCTGCTGACTGAAATAGCCATTTTGGCATTGACCTTGACGCACACATTGTTGACCCGGCGAGCACTTCAGGAACTCTTTCGGTGGCAAATATGTGGGACCCTGGAAGGGAGAAGCTTGTCTGCTAATAATCGCATGGTTGAGGAAAATGTTCGCCGATGGATTGACTGAGAAGTGCGTCTCGGGATGTTCCTTTAAGCCCTGCTTGTACTCTCCATTTAGAAACATATTTCCACTATAGCTGGCGTTAGCTACAGTCAACGCTGTGGCCAGGGGCAAGGCCCATGCGAGAAGATTTCGAAACCGTGACATGTTTTGTTTTTCGCAAATTTTCACTCTGGATGCTGTCCGTTTAACTGTGAAGAGAATAAATTATTTTAAAATAAATAAATAACACGTAAATGCAGCATTATAGATAAATCTAATTTATTTGTATGGTAACCATTGACGGAAGTGTTTGGCGTGACATTTACTGTCGCAGACAAAAGAATCAATTTAGACGGTGGCTAGACCGGTCACTCAACTTGCGTAGTGCCAAGCACAACCCGAAGTGGCCCACCAACTAGTCGGCCGGCCAACCCACCGGCCGGTCAATGCGTGTCGTCATCAACTAAATGCAAAATATCGTGATGACATAATTTTGAAACGTGCAAATGCCATAAAAGTGCACGCTCTGGCAACCAACGAGAGGTCAGTGCACCTTGGGATAGAAAGATAGAATTTCTAACAAAACTTTCAATTGATAAAGGTAGGTTTTCTGAATTTCTCGTTCTGTATTACTGGAATAAATAAACGAAACTAATATTTTTAAATGAATTTGATTTGTGAAAATTCTAAATTATTTAAATTGTCATTGTTATTCATGTTATTGTTATTGATGCATATTTTTGCTACTATTGTTTATATGCCTACTATTGTGCATTGTTGTCCATTGTACAGCAGCATGTTGTATACTAGCCAGCTTTGCAGTAAGTGTGGCATCAGCCGACAACGGCAGCAACACGACTTACACGCAAAATGGCACTTGCCACTGACAGACTGGCCAGACAACTGCAATTGCCTACTTAGGCGCTGGTCATGATGTCCAAGTGCCTTTGGGCTGTTACCACAGTTGCCACTGTTGTTGTTGTTGCTGTACGACACTGGCTTGCGCAAAAGAATTTCAGAGAAGTCTTTGGCTCGGGGCTGGTTTGTGGCAAACTCGTTTGACCAAACGAACTTCCGAAAAGTTACAGAAAAAAATATTTACCCACATATTTATTTATTGTTGCCTAGCCGTCCCCCCATACTCCACCTAAAGTCCCACTACCCAGCCTACCGACTGCTGTGCAATTTGTCAAAATTTCTAAGGCATATAAATTACAAGCTGCCCGCCGGTTTTATCTGATGTTGTTCATTAAAGCAACACACTACTAAATCGCAACGTTGGCGTGGATTACGCAAAGAGGCGTTTTCTGTTTTTGGAAGGTGGGGGGAGGTGTGGTAATTCCATAATTGATGCCAGCTGACAAGTTAGCAGCTAAATTGACATCGTTGATTATTTAGCATTCTATGATCTGCCACTTAAATGCTCATTTATTTGCTACGCTTTGTGACTTTACGGCTCAATTAGGCATCAGCACAAAGCAGGATCCATTGCTAAATGAAGGTGCATGATATGTGTGCATTTTATTGTGAGTCATCAAACAGTTAGTGTTATCATTAGTGCCAAGTGTCCGGCTATTGAAACAAAAAAAAAACAACATTTAAGATACAATAGACAGGAAAAAACCGAATCCCAAACTCTTAAATCGTCAAACTGATGGCAAGAGCAGCAGCAATGACAACGAAAATAGCACAGAAGAAATTTGCATTTGGCTATAAACAAAATCAATAAGAATTAAGGGGCGAGAGGCCGATAGCAATCATTCGCTTGATTGTTTCGTCGGGATGCGTTCGCCGTGACTCAATTCTAAAAATACTGAAATGGCAGCAGTCGAAATAAAAACAAGTCAAACGAAGGTGCTCACTATACGTATTATACTCATAGTTTGTTGTTTTTTCTAGCTGCCGGGCTGCTGCTGTTGCCGAAATTTGCATAAATTAAAGAGCTAGAGAATGGACTGCTGAGACTGAACCGTTTATTGTATATTCCCCAGCCTCATTTATATAATTTCAAATGTAGAAATGCTGTATAGTTCCAGGTTTCTACTTTCTATTTCATATGCGTCACCATTTCAATACTAAGCAGAATAATTTGCAATCCATCTGAAGCTGACCATATTGATTTTAATGCGCATATTCATTTTTTTAATTTAAATGCTCTTGCCTCTTTTTTTGTAAATCTAGTTGGGTATTTCTATTGCCGCAGGTCTTGGACGTTTCATTGACACACATTTTAACGGGAATTGATGGACACGTTAGATCCGTGTATGTGAGTGTGTGCTGTTTTTTTAGCTTAGCTATGCCGCCAAAAACCAAAAGACTCAGGCAACGAACTTTTTTGCAATATTTCAAAGATTATAGGATTCTTATGGAAATTTAAATAAAAAGCATCACATTAATTTGTGCTTTGTCTCAGCACCCAGAAACGCATGTGTGCCAAATGTATGACATGCCATGTTCTACAGTTCCTACTTGACATATCTATGCAAATTCGGCTGTGTTGTTTAGTTTATTTTGCCAGTAGGTTGTGGCTAGGTGGTTTTGCTAGTGACACTGTTGTTGCTGTTGTTTGCTTACTTTTCACATAAATTAAAACTAAAAATGTTTGTCTTGTCGCTGGAAAGCAGCAGAATGGCGGTTTTGCAACCCACAATAGCAGCAACAGCCACTGCCATCACTAGCAACAATAACAACAACAACAACATAGACAGTGACAGCGCAAAGTTCAGATCGCATCGCATCGCTAACAAATAAATTTCAAGTGAGTTAAACACAATGCAGCCTTAAACAAAATCGCAGGCATGACAGTTGCATAGACAGAGGGGCAGATGGAGAAGAGGACGGAAAAATAGACAGCAAGATGCTGGCAGCATGGGCGCGCGCATACAGCGGCAACTGAATCAATCAAACCATCCATCAATCACTCAACCGCAAATGAATTTAATTTTCGACCACAAAGCTGGTTGCAGCAGCAACAATTCCACTCCGAAAGGAAACAAAAACAACAATAACAAAAGTCAGAGATAGTGCAGCACGGTAAAATATACAGTTAATTTGATGATCTGCGCTTCGGCAGATGCAAAAACATGACCCAACAGGGCCAACAGGAAGTAAATGGAGGATCCACTGTTGCGTTTTTTGACTTCCAAAATATCTGTTAATCCTTAAATGTCCTTTTTAACACTTGCACAAATACTTTATTGTTGTTGACAATACTTGTAGAGTCTTTGCTTAATGTTCATTGCACATTTTTTCTTTGCACTTTTAGTTATTATATTATTAATTATTGATCTGTTGTAGCATGCCTTAAAAAACACATACACACACAAATAAAAGTAACGAATAAAATGTGTTTAAATAACTATGGATGTATAACACTGTGGCGTTCACACATTACCTAAAGGAAACCCAGACTCGAACGCACGAACGAACAACTTGAAGATAATTGTGAATATTTTTACTAAGTCCGGCGTTTTTATATGCGCCCAAGCCCACGTTGGAAGCGCAGCTGAGCAGCTTCACCGGCACGGCAGCAGAGCTTCACGACGGCAGCGTAGCTAGCGGCTAAGTTTGCGGCACCAAACGGGCGTAGGCAACGAAAAATAGCAACAACAATTTTATTTCGAGCAGCGACGTCAGCAGCAGCAGAGGCATCATCGGCGACGGCAACGTCGACGTTAACCGCAAAGAAGCTAAAGATGCGAACAAGTGAATACCGAACAGTGAGTTGCAGACTTCACAGCCTCGTAGCTGTAGCCGCAGCCGCAGAAGTCGCCGTTACCGCCGACGCGTCGGCGACGTCAGCCGATGCCAGACTGTTGTGCTCACTTTCGTTTGGGCGCTCAATTCGCGCTCAGAGAGAAGCCCAGCTTGTGTACGAGACTGTTGCTATGTCTGGGCGCTGAGACATAACACAGATGAGTTTTCTAAGTTCAAATCTGTGGGCTTTTGTTTTTAGCAACTACTTATTCTTAACGTCTTTCCGGCTGACTTGTGTTTTAATTTGGTTTTATGTCATCCAGTAGGCTTTTAGCTTTAAGTGCGGCTCTAAATTTTTCCGGCTCTTTTAGGCTAATTGATTTTATTTTAGCTTTGAGTCCACATTTGTATATTATTTTTAATGCATACTAATATTCCCACATGCATTATTTGAAAAATTATAATCAAGTGCAAGCGGCATCATTTTTTTTTTTTTAAATTGTAAAATAACCCGCTGTTTGTTTGTGAATTTATTTGGTCATTTTTATACACGCAAATTTTCGTTTGTATTCTAAAACACGCGAAACAATTAAATTTAAACAAATTAGAGGCATGTACAACATTTTCAACAAATCCGGGTATAGAACTATTGTACAGATCTCAAACGGCATCAACAACGTCCTCAAGTTTGTTTTCTAAGTCTGTTGATATGCGTTTGGCATAACTGGACGCTGATTCACGACGATGCTTAACTTTTGAATCTACGAAGGAAAAAAATGTAAACACAAAATGACCAACAACTTAAATATTGACAATGTCGCGCACGCTTGCCTTTGTTTTCTATTTTTAAGTTGTTTAAAGGTTGTTTAAAGGTTTGAAAGAGAAAATAACATGAACTGATATCAGTTAAGCCATGCAAGAAATCACGAATGCCTAAGCATTGGCAATATCAATTATAACAAGAAGATGGCAGAAATATACATAGATAGATATAAATATAGTATGTACAAGTATATGGACGATGTTGCAGTTTGTTAATTAATCTTAGTATTATTTAAACAACATCAAAGCGTGCTGAAAAATTAGTTACTCAAATGGTTCAAAGCTGTTTCAAGAAGGTCGTATTAATTGTTAACATTTGTTTATGTTGTACGATATCACACTTCAAATAATTTTGCGAATTTGTTATCTTTATCAAATACTCACAATTAATGTCTAATTAAAAGCATAACTACATAGTTTTGTGTCTGCGCACTTGCTAAGCGTGTCAAGGTAGGAAAGAAGAGAGATTGATTTTGCCAATCATTCATGTTTGCAGTCAGTTCGAATGCTGGACTGCAAGTCGTGTAAAAAGTCACTCACTAAACGGCTTTATTTTCAATTGTGATAATGAATACTCGTAACGTCGCTGCCGCATCCATAATCTGGCCAGTGCAAGTCATAGCTTATCATTCAATGGTGTGCTCAATATTTCGAGTCCCATTTGTCTTCGATTGCGTCAAAATTTAATTTTGCCAACTAGTGGCTGTTATTGTTTGTTTGGCCGCCATTATCATCGCCATTGTGTGTGGATGGGGTATTTGTTTGCGGTTATTTTTATTAGACCGACATGAGCTCCTGTTCGTCGCTATTGACAACCTTCGTTCAAAAGCAGTGCCGCCAGATTGTGCAATAATGCCGCACATGTTAACATTTGAGCCTGGATCACAAATGAAAAGCTTAAACACTAAAGAGCTTGGCCTGCCGTTTGCAGCCATGCTGTAAGCAGTTCAATTAGATAAGGAAATTGAAACATGAAATGAATTTGACTTTAATTTTAAAATTAAACAATGTTTGCGGATATGAAGTAATTGGTTTCAGCTAAGTGCATTTTATGAAGACAGGCTTAATATATGGAAATGTAAATGAAATTAGGTAATAATCGTAGTACAGCGTTGCAATTTTAATGAAACCTTACCTGACCTTTTACGCACAACAATCAATAAATGAATTTCTTAATTTGATGGAAGTGATGCTCAACAATCCAAAAATAAAGAGAAGGAAAAATAGATAGTAACTTACTCGAATGAATAGCAGAAAGTCTTCAAAGCTGTTAAAGTTAGCGAATTTGGCTATTCATTTTGAAAATATGTTATTTCAGTTCATGTTTATTACGCTTCCCAAGTTATTATTCGTTAAAAGATGAGTTGACAACTCAAGAATTGATTTAGAATAACATTTGCTTCTTCAGTGATTCATATTAAATCTTGAGGTTTGATTGTGAAATTTCCGAGATGACCGCCATTAATGGCGTTAGCCATTTGAGTTTTTGGTTTCGTATTATGATTAAGAATGAGTCAAGACACACCTTGAGGGCAGAGTTGATGCATATTATGTAGAGTCATGTTGATGGCAAAGATAAGCCAAGGCAAGGCAGGGCAAATGCATTCAATTTTTGTTGAAAATCATCTATTTTGGAGTTTGTATATTTATTCATAAATATGTGGTAGCATATTAGCCGTGAATCAGCAATTTACGAACATGCATGATTGGCTTCAAGCACAATCAAAGGAAGTACCCAGTACAATGACGTCATAGATCCAAAAGCATACTTTCACTCATTGCTATAACATGAAGATTGATTGCGAAATTTGCCCATTTTGATATTGTAGATCCTGTTCTAGTGCCGGCAATCAAATTACACAGCAACAAAACAACAACAATTAATAAAGCTTATTCATTAAACGGGAGCCTAATGGAGTCATTTGTAAAACATTTCAAATATTGCTTTAAACAATGACAGCAACGAAACAAAATGCTAAGCAATTTATTGTACAAATATGTGCAAATCAATATTCACAAATGTGGGTGCCACCACCGGCTAAAGCACAACCAACAAAATTGGTAAACAAACAGAATCATAAAACAGAAAAAACATAAAATGATTTTTATATTTATGGAAAACGTAACGAATATCTTGGCACGGCCACAACTTGCAAATGGAAAATTTAGCGCACATATAACACAACGCCCAGGGCAATTAAATTCAAATTTTAGTTAAATTAATTAAAATATTTCATTGAAACTAAGCGCGTAGAACACAGCGTGACATTTTCAAAGCGCACCACGCACAGAATTTATGCAAAGCATCTAAAATATGTGGCCAGAGGCGCGCAAATTGAAATCGAATGCCGAGTGCTAAAAAGCTCGTAAACATTTTCATATAAGTTGTAAATGGATTTCAAAAACAAACAAACATTCGACCAGTTCTTATTCTTCTGTTGGGCCGCTGCGCTTCATCAATCAGAGCGCTGACAAATGTTTTTGAGCTACCGTGCTGACCATTGAATATCAATTAGAGATGAGTAACATTTTGTTACTTTGTCACAAATATCAAGAAACACAAGTCACGTAGTGAATCAAGATTTGAATTTATTACTAACTTAAAACTAATGTTTATTGAACAGTTTATTATTTTTTTTAATAATTTTTCGCTGCCAAATGTGCTGATCATGATATCTAAAAATATATTAATAAATTCAAGTATGGCGATCATGTTCTCACCTTCGAATCACACGAAATTGTTTATGTTTAAATGGATCAGTTGTTATTGTTGCTTTATAAAATATAAACACTTGTTCGGTACCTAGATGCGAAAATGTTTCTATTTAAGCCGATCAAGCCGCATGAGATTCGCGAAACAGTGACAATTATCAACAATTCCGCTCATCTCTAATACATGTTCTTCTCGTTTGTCATTTTTTTGACTGCACGCGCCCTGTGGCGGCCTACTTCCGGTAGAGACTTGAGCATTATCTTTTTGGGATCATAAAATTGGTCGAGTTATGGGCTGCGTGGTGCTTAGCTGACATAATTGGCAACTGACGTCGCAACGTCAAAGGAGTACAAAAAGTCGTGTGTCTTCGCCGCTGACCCATTAGCATAATACAACCATAATCAAGTCATCTGAATTTCTGATCAGTTGAGAGCGCGCAATGGGTGCTAGAACTAGAATCATCGCTGACTCGGCTTAAGTGTTGCAGCTGGCTTGCCTGAACCGGTTGAATGGTGTAATTTTTGAGGCATTCTTTCGAAATGTATGTACATAAAAGACTGGGACATAGCTAATTTTTAACGACCATTTAAACGAAAAATCAATGCTAGGGATTTTAATTGCTTTTGCCAAGGCGCTAGAACATGGTCATGCTAAAGTAGCAATTTACATGACGGGGCGTTTGCTGTTCATTGTCTTGGAGTTCGGTGTTGGAGTCGGCGTTGTTGTCGGCGTCGCTACCAACTCAAAAGTCAGGCATGCCGACGACGCATAGTTCCGCAAACAATTTGTAATCACGTTGCGCATTAATTAAGTGGGCCGTGCTGAGCGAGCTAAATATGTTGTTGGAGTCCAAAAATACCTGCCATCATCTCGTTGTATACTTTGAAGAGGAGCCAGGAAAAAATACGCACTACAATTTCTTCTCTATGCTTCTCTTGTCTTTGTCGCTTGCCCATCCGTTCATCCGGCAGTTTCGCTGTAGCTAGTAGTCAACAAACGACCTTCAACTGCGGCTGTGAAAATAATGCGGCAGATCTAAATTATTAAGCTCTTAGCACAAATTGCAGTGAGCTGTACCCACAGGCCCAGAAGATACAGCCACCAGACTGGCTACTATCTTGACCGCAGTGAAGGTCACTAAGCTCTCAGACGTCGGCCGCCGCGCTCCAAGAAAAACCCATGAGTGTGTGCAT